CTTATTTTTTTGAGGGTTGCAAGATGATTAATCTTTTTTTATTAATGCAGGGTTTGTGAGACGATTCGTGCTGTGAATCAAAAACTGTCAGATTTTATGCTATTTAAAAATTGTGTTTCCAGACATACATACATATATAGGAATGTTTTGCCACTGCTGTGTTTAAAACATTCAATGATATTCCCAAGACGGACTTACATAGTGAAACTTTTGTGCAACTAGTTGCATGTGGCGAGTTGCCTCCAGCATTGTTTCTGTGCAACTTGACAGTTACATGAAGTAGTGTAAAACCAATAAAAGTTGTAACACATTCAACTACTCTACTAAACAGCTAAATTAGCAGCTCTTATCCAATTGGTTGTTTAATAAAACATTCAAAGTTTATCCACCTGCAACTGTTGCAGCTGAGTTTCAAGTTAGTTGTGGGATCATGCAGCTCAACATGCAACTAGTTGCAGGTTAATTTCATGTAGGTTTTAATTAACTAAAGCCAGCCTAAAAAAGACAAATACCAGAAACAGTATTCACAGTCTATTGAGATATGCTTGTCTTTTAAAATCTACTCGTTTATTCTGCTTTCACCAGACACTGTAGTCTTGTTATAGTAAAAGAAATAAAAGTACAATATTGGCATGCCTTTTTTCTGTAACAAAAATAAATCATATAGTGGTGCAAAAGCACAATACATATCGTTTTGTGAAGTTAGTATCGTTACAACCTGTACAATGTCTGTAAAACAGTGTAGCGTCCACTCAACCGTCGTAATTTTAAAAATTCCAAAGATATATAACACTGTCTCACAGGAACAATGCGGCTCCTGCACTTTAGCCCTGGGCAGCTTTACAGCCATGACCTTTTTGACCCTGACTCTTTTTAGGGAAACCAGTTCCTCTTCTGGAAATGTTTGGCTTGTTGGCTGCTATGACTGAATGGAGAAAGATGAATGGCTTATGACTGATAACTGAGCTGAATATTGCTATGAATGAGTTATTTCATAACTGAAGAATGTGAAGGGTTTGATGCACACTGCTAGTTTTCTCACCATTGTGCATGGCTCCATTAAGGGGTGCATGACTAAAGGGAAAGCCTGAGATTCACATGCTTTTTTCAGAGGGGGCTCAGTCTGCTGGGAATTCTGGGTTTGGACTGCAGCAAATGGTATTTGTTAATTGCACTCAGGTCTTAAGTCAAGATTTCACAATGTTAGACATAAAGTGCATAGAAATCCTAACTGCTCTCTCTCTCTCCCACACACACATACCTCTCTCTCCTCATAAAACAAGTGCAGTGCTTTGAGTCTCATGCATACTTCTCCTCCCGTATGCCTTATCTGGGTAACTGCAGTCATGGTCACAGGAGGAGCGGTTCAGGAAAGCATCCAGACCTGCGTTCCAACACACACTTGTTTGTGTCCATTCATATACACATGGGCAATGGAGGCCATCCCTCTCTACCTTTCCGAACAATGTTCGCCTATTACTTAGGACTTACTGACCCATGTTCAACATGGAACCCTTCTCCACTTTGGCCTTCAAAGCTCTCATTTAAATATATATCAGTTGATTTTGCATTAGACCTAAACATCGACCCAGGCCTTCTTTTTGGCCAGTTGTGTATACATGAGAAAATGCAGCACAAAATGTGCTTTTATGTATCTGAAAATTAACCCTTTGTTTACTAAGGCTGTAGCTGGTCATGCAACCTTGCCTAGGTCTACCTACCAATTATGCTATGCTTAAAAGGCACAGGGTTTAAAAGACACAATGAAAAGACAAGCTCCAGACAAAGATTCAGTGATGAACTGTGTTAATAAATGAAGTTCTTTCCTACCAAAGAGAGTTAAAATACTGTTACTCTTCATGTCCTTGAGGCCTCTGCCTCTATCTAGCTGTTATGTCTGCTGCCACTGTTAAAGCCAGTCTCCCAGCAACACGCTTCTGAGACACTGCTGCTTTTTTATGTCTGTTTTTTATGGTTGTTGGGAGCGAGCTTTACACATACAAGAATTCTAGATGCTATATTATGATTAATACCACTTTTATTAGAGAAATAAAAATGTATTTTCCATTATACACCAACTGTTAGGCTAAACAGAAACCTGGTGTATCCAACATTGTTACAAATGGATATGAAGCATTTTGGAATGAACCTCTCCGTTCATTTCTATCCTCACAAAATGAGGAAACAGTGACATTAGGCAGGCTACTCTCCATTTTGGAAATGCGAAAGTAGTGTGGAGAGATTCATCACTTTGCTATATGTTGAAACTATGTGCTTCCATACATAGCTTGGATGGTTGCAGCCCCTTCTGAGCCCCATTTTAGCAGCTTTCTGATCCTTTTGATATTGCTGTGACTCTGATCTGTCTTCTTGGTTGTCATCATATAGATGCAAGAGACGACAGTGATTGGAGTTCATGTCACTGGCGGAAGTTTGCACGGATAAAAATGTTCGTTGTGTAAAGTCCTTTACTCTGAGTGTCTCTGGTTAGCCTGTTAGTGTGTTAGCAATTTGCAGAGGTAATTATTAAAGTAAAATTAGTTTTACCATAGGATCATGTTTGCTATGGTTTCGGTACTTGCATTTCATAAATGCAGGAAACTGTGACCAATTTGTGACTACAAACATGCATGCATTATTGAGATGCATTGGGCTGTGCCAAAGTATACCTTCTAATGTATCACAGTATGCGTGAGGAAACGCAAAGCCTATTTGAAAATCTGATTATGATGGTTTGTTGGTCACTTCAGAATCTTTTAAATAGAGAATGCTGCTGCATCTAAAATAAAATGTTTTGTTCCACCTATACTTTAACCCCTTACATGGCCAGGACCCGCCTAAGAATAACTCAGCTAGTTTGCATAGAAGTCCCTGTAGTTACTGAATAATAAGCCTGGAATTTTAAGGGGTTAACTTGAGGATGAATTTAGCGATTTTTGGATAAATGTTTGTTCTCTAACTCACAGGCTCATCGACTGCAGTATATTTACACATTAGTGAAGAACAGTAGCAACGTTTGCCTGATATAGATGTGCTACACCACTGCACCCAGCATTATACAGCACAGACATTAGACATGTTTAACATTAACCGCCAGACTGTAAAGATAGGAATGCAAGGGAGGTCTTTATAGGTTATGTAATACAGTGTGAGAAAGAAGATGGAGAGAGAGTGAGAGAGAGAGCGAGCGAGCGAGAGAGAGGGACTTGCACTTGAGTTTTGCACAGTTTGTGAGTGTGCGGCATTTTAAAGTTTGTTTATGTTTGTAAGAGCAGGGAGAGGCAAGGAGTTGTGGTGAGTGACGCTACAGAATGTGGTTATTGTGGGAAAAGGAATGTAGAGAAAATACAAGAAAATGATAAAGGTTGAGAGATGGAGGGTTAGAGAGAGAGAGAGAGAGCATGATCATTTGTAGCCAGCTGGGAGCCACACATGGTTCACATTAGCGCACTGTTAACTCTTTCTGATTCAGCAGTCTCATGACTCAGCTGAGATTTAATGAATGTCACACTAGTGAATATTCTCTTTCACTGTGAAATGCAGTTGGTGTGATGTGAATCAGATATTTCTCTGATTGTTCCGAGATAAACCCTGATGTTTACTTCATGCAATCTAAGACGTATGTACCAGTTAAAGCTGTAATTGACTGTATACAGTCATGTGTTTATAGGACTTGCCTGAAATTAAGTTTACAGCTCTTGAGGAGAGGGCAATTATGTTAATAACAGGCAGCAGCGGGTAATGTAATTGGGTTTAATGCACAGCTTTTGAGCTCCTTTTACCTTGAATTTTCAAGTATCTCACGATTTAGTGAATCAGCGAAGACTTGTTCAAGACATTTCCATGCTTTGCTTCTTTACTTTTGCGCTTATCTAAATTTTCTGATCTCCAAGTGGGAAAAATCTGTTTGAATGACCCTCCAGTTGGTCATTCCTACTCGGAAAGTCAGAGTCTCCCATAACACAAAAAAGTACTGAAACTGGTCAATCTGTTGTGAAGATATTTGATCAAACTGCATGGTTTGTGCCCTGTGATGGACTGGTGACCTATCCAGGGTGTATCCTGCCTTCCACCCAGTGACTGCTGGGATAGGCTTCAGCTCCCCCTGCGATCCAGAAGGATAAGCGGCTTAGAAAATGTGTGTGTGTGTGTATGTGTGTGTGCATGGTTTGTCATTTTTAAGGACTGCATTAATAGTAAATATAGCCTGTATTAACATTCAAAATAAATGAAGCACTAAACAAACAGTGCTTTAATTCAAATGTAAATACCATAGAATGACTATAGCATTCACTCTTTTGAGAGAGTAAATACACCACAAACATTAAAGTTTCAAGTCAAAGTTAGCTGTCAGCATTAGCCGGCTAGCTTGCTGATCACTCTTATAATTTAATAATAAAGTGCCTGTATGAATTTTCTTTATGTTCACTCCCCAGTCCGTACTGCCTATATATGGAAAATAAGCTGTGAAACTTATTTTCCCTGTATTGATTTTATGGACTTTTATGGACATGATGTCACAAAAAGTGTATGCATTTCCATATTTCCACCAATTCAGCCTACATCAGTTTAGCCCTGCCAACTCACACTGTAATTATAAGGAGTGGAGGGCTTTTTGAATGAGCCACAATACACGACAGCCAATCAGAACATTTATGATATATCAGTCTTAAAGGCACAGTAAAACGGCATCTTTAATTGTAAGTGATAAAGAGATGTCGGACGATTAACATGTAAATTGAATAATAACTGTTCTTGGTACATAAAAATACACAAATGTAAATTGACGTCAGGGGAAAAGATTTAATGCAAGAAAAATGTAAGATGAAATGTTATTTGAAGTTTTTCACACTTCGTAACTCTTTGTGGTCAAAAATTTGATTTTTTTGCCAAATTATCACTATAGGAAAGAAAGACAGAGCAAGACAGATGAGCAACAAAATCAGTGTTAATGAACTTTTTTCATTCAGCTGCTTCATCTTTTTTCCTCTGTCGTTCAGAATGCCAGGATCGAGCATGTCAGCCCGAGATGGAACAACTGTTGGCCGTTTCCACGGCGTCACCGCGAGCAACGGGCATGCGGTGCCTGAGAGGGAGACGGTTGTTGTGGAAGAGCGGCGGGAGGGGGGTTGTCGCCGCTGGTTATGGAAGGCTTGCCCTAGTTGCTGTCGACGGCAAAGCGGCTCGTTTGATGTCACCTATGAAGAAAATGCCACCAGAGACAAACCAGCAACAGGCCCTGAGCCACCAGAACCTCGCACAGAAGACAAGGAGCTGAAAGGTGAGCATTTTAACAATCTTTTACTTACAACCTCACTGCCTCTGTACATTCAACATGGTTCAAAGGTAGGATAAAGTTTACAGTTCTTGTGTAAGTTCTTAATTTCTGTCAGGCTGCAATGGGCAACATTTCTAAGCTGGCATTAGATGGTGAAACCTTCGCGCAACTCAAACTAAATTTCACTTGTGTTGAAATGATGCAGAGCCTCAAGCAACACACTGGAAATTTGTGAAAGAGTTGCAACCATCTCAACTTTGTGAAACACATTTTGTGAAACATTCAGAAATGCATATAATGTTCCACATAAATATGCTGTATAATGTATAATGCTGTATAATGTTTTCATGTCACTTACAAAACACGGAGTTTTAGTTCACAGACAGAGCCTTATTTTAGCCACGCCCCTGCATTTTAGAGCAGGAAGTAAGACTGCATCCCTGTCCCTCATGGCCACATGGTGAGCAGTTAGATCCCATTGCTAGTCATATTCTGTACATTTTTTTTGAATTCTGCTCAAAATTGGCTAATTGTCAATTCCAAGTCAGTTTAAAGTCCACAATGTGTTTTGAATTTTGACTTTGAACCAGTTTAGTAGAATGATCCATATAAGGGGCAATCTGTAGGCCTGTTTGGCTTTGTAATATAGGCATATGTGATTTAACACAGTGGTTCTCAAACCGGTCCTCAGGGACCCCCAGACAGTTCACATTCTTCCTCTACCCCTATATGTTGCGTGTTGGGTTGGAAAAAAAATGTAGACTGTCTGGGGGTTTCTAAGTCCAGTCTGAGAACCATTGATTTCACATAATATTAGTTGACCTACAAAATGATCACACAAATCAAAATTCACATTACAAACTTGTCATCTTTTTGTTTGAAATATTTTCATATATAGCTCTGTTAAAAGTTGTTACTTCACCGCTTACATCAGCAGCTTGTGTCCTCATATTCTGCATCAAAAATGTGCATCAAAATATTCTGCAAAAATTCTCTACACATACCTTACTCAAGTTCAAATAAATACTAAAATGAATTTGAATATTCACATATTCTAATTATCACACCCTACTGTAAAGGACACGTTGTCACATCACAAACACACACAACACCCTTTTCTCTTTCTTTCAGAGCTGCCTCTTATTGTGCGTTCGCTGGACCTGCTCAGCTCAAAAACAGATCAGAACCGCAAGGAGCACCACACTGACCAGTACCACAACGACGAGCTCATCATTCGCCGAGGCCAGACCTTTCAAATGGAGCTTGACCTGTCACGACCTTTCAATATAAACACAGACAAACTACATCTGGAGCTGAAAATAGGTTAGTGTGAGGTGTACACATTATGACATACATTTTACTACAATGATATGTTGGTGCTCACTGGTCAAACGTTGTTATAGTCAGAAACTGACCAGTGATGAATTGGGTGATAAACTGTGTGTAACAAAAGACGGGATACAGTGTGTAGAAATGCACCTACATAGTAAGCCTATAGATTAGTTGTTACTAATACAGTGGCCAGTGACTGGATGTACAGGGTAGATATTTCTGATAAAGTGGCCAGTGAGTTGAAGTGCGCGGTAGGTGTTTCTAAAAAAATGACCAGTGAGTTGATGTACAAGGTAGGCGTTTCTAGTAAATTGCCAATGAGAAGAAATACAAGGTAGGTGTCTCTAATAAATTGGTCACTGAGTGAACATAAAAGGTAGATGTTTCTAATAAAGTGGCCAATGAGTGCACGCATAAGGTAGATGTTTCTAATATAGTGACCAATGAGTGCACGTATAAGGTAAATGTGACCAGTAAAGTGAATGGAAGTACAATGTAGGTGTTTCTACTAAAGTGGCTGGTGATTGGACTTATATTGAAGGTGTTTCTAATAAAATGGCCAGTGATTGGACGTATAAGGAAGGTGTTTCTAATAAAATAGCCAGTGAGTGGACGTATAAGGTATGTGTTTGGAATAAAGTGGCCACTCATTTGAAGTATAAGGTAGGTGTTTCTGATAAAGTGGCCAGTGAGTTGAAGTGAAGGGTAGGTGTTTCTAATAAAATGGGCAGTAAGTCATTATACAGGGTAGGTGTTTCTAATAAAATGGGCAGTAAGTTGATATACAGGGTAGATGTTTCTAATAAAATGGCCAGTGAAAAGAAATGCAAGGTGGATGTTTCTAATTAAAGTGGCCAGTGAGTGGACATATAAGGTAGGCATTTCTAATAAAGCGGCCAATGAATGAAAGTGCAAAATACGTATTTCTAATGAAGTGGCCTGAGAGCAGAAGTAAAATGTTGCTGTTTCTAATAAAATAGCCAGTGATTGGATGTATAAGGAAGGTGTTTGTAATAAAATGGCCGGTGAGTGGAAATATAAAGGTGTTTCCAATAAAGTGGCCTCTTATGTTAAAATATAAGGTTGGTGTTTCTAAAAAAACGGTCCAGTGATTATGTCTGAGCAGAAGCGGATGTTCACGACAAACTATACACACATCTGTGTTAGAGAGTTACACAGTTCTATATGTCATGTACATTAGTTATTTTGGATGTTCCTGTCTGCAAAGTTATGCATTAAAAGATGAAATAGAGCAGAAGGAGTCAAGGCCTGGTATTCAGTTGAGTGATAAGCACATGCTTTCATGCATCTGTGCTCAAATACCTTCTTCATCTCAGTCCACCCTGAAAGGAATGTATGGCTGACCTCTCTATCAGGGTGCGGACTAGAAAAGGAGAACGAGAGGGAGGAGTGCAGCCCTGTAGCCCACTGTAGACAAATGAATCAGTCATAGAGTATGCTGCTAGATTTTCTTTCTCAAGCTGTGCAAACATCAATACATTGTGCAAGACTTTAACCATTAAGTGGTTGAAAATAATCCATTTTCCACTTACTTATCTGATGAACGTTTCATAGTGTAGCAGCACACTACAGGCAGGCACACCCAAACTGAGCTCGAAAAACATTTAGCATCATGTCCTTATCTTAATTTTTATGCACCAGAGAAATAGCCAGAACGTGTTTCATTATACTGTACCCCCTATATGTGTAATGGCAATAAAGTCGAATTGAACTGAAAAAAGTCTTTAATGAAAATGCCCAGGCTGGATAGAGACCCAGATTAATATGCAGAATTTGTGAAAAAGACAGAGACCCTAATGTTATGAAGTAACGTTAAGCTTCTAAGAAAAAAAAGCATTGAAAAATGCTTCTATTGAAAAACAACAACAAGAACAAAACTAAGGTTCCCCCAGTAAAACCTGACCATGTTGTTGCAACAAAACCTTATATTCTGAAATGGCGCTTTTATAGGACGCTTTCGATTTCAATGTGTGTCAGTACAACAAAGCTCTTCATGCTTTGTGTTTAAGCAAAATGGTCCAAAGCTATGTTTTGTTTTGCCTTACTGTATAATAACCAGGAGCACAAAACCTCAACAACAGATGAAGCTGTCTGACTTGACACTCAGTTCAGAGTGGCTCAGGAGGCAGAGGAAGGAAGGGCGTTAGCATTGTCATCGAAAGCCCCGAACAGTACTAAACTTCCAATAACCCATTTCTTCTTTGGTGAAATAGCCACACAGATGTTGTGATGTCTTACACTTAATGTGTAAAGGACTCATTGTTTTTTGGAAATGTTACGACAGCTAGAATATTTTGGCCGGTATCTCACGTAGCCTTGCTAACAGTAACATGTACACACAAACGGGAAAGTGAAGCAAGCTGGGTGCGTTCTTCTTCAATGTTCAAATAGTTTTCCATGCACTGATTTCAGAAAAGGGAAGGTCAGTGATTTCAATGTGCATGTACTTAATCTGTGATAAACCGTGAGGGAGTATGAGTTCAGAGGAGGTACCTGTGCTGTGCTTCAGGCCTCAAGTTAAAGGGGAATTCCACTTTTTTTTTTTTTATCTCCTCTTGTACTTACAAACACAAATGTGGTATGGCTTGAGAGTTTAGAATCTGCACTTTCAACAGAAATTCATTCGAAATTTTTAATTTTGAACGTGTCTTTTAAAGGGCCACTGCCGCTGGTGTCGAAAGGCACACACATCATCATCCCTCTAGTGGAGGAGCTGCAGGACCTGTGCTGGGAGGCCAAGATCGTAGAGCAGAACAGCAACCGAATCAAGCTGTCCGTCAACTCCCCTCCAAACAGCATCGTCGGCCAGTACAAACTCACCATCACCACCCAGAGTCCAGACAGCGAGTCTGTGAACACATATGACCCCAACAAAAACATCTACATGCTTTTCAATCCCTGGTGTGAAGGTGAGAAACTGAGACTAATCAAACCACACAATAAGTTGCAACTTATCCCCCTACACTGCAAGGGCCTGTATGTATGCTTCAGTTCCTCACTCTCATAACTTGATGTTATCATAACTACATATTGTTTTATGGTAGTTAATGAATAAAAAGTCTTAGGATTGTCCACTGAATAAGGCAGTGGTTTAACGGGTTGAAGGAATACAACGTTTTGCAACCTGACCTCTGTCTGCCACATCTGTAGCACAGAGTTGTTTTCAACAATACAATACAACAAAACAAAGACAATAATTTTATTATTTCACTGTAAGAACAGAGCTCATTCACTCAAAACTCACATAAGAGGCTTCAGCACCTGCCCATTGGCTTCTATTATAGGTGTGTTTTGAGTCGGTATGTTCTTTGTTCCTTTTTAAGTAGAGGGATGTTATTGTCCAAGGTAATCAACAGTATGCTAATAGAGATCTTCTTTGTGTAGCAGCAGCATTTAGCCAGAGTGGGTATCAAGCTGCCGTATCTCTTTTGTTCAGGGAGATTGCAAAGTTACAAGTGCATAAGCTCTTAATGAGCCTTGACTATGAGGCAGATATTGTCTGTATAGCAGCATTTAAGGTGGAACAGAAAGTTAGCTTCATTACCTGCACGGGAGTTTGATGCAGTTGACTAGTATTACATAAATCTCTATGAAGGTGGTTCATTTGAAGCATTGCTTTACTTAACTCTCTGAGTAATGAAGATTTTTCTACTTGTGTTGTTAGGTAAAGTTGACCACTTAAAAAACAGTTCAGCACATTATACGTGGGCCTACTATGTTTACATACCTGTCCAGGAGGAACTTTATCTGCTCCATCCTAACGTTTTCCAATCATGGTTTCTCAGAAACTTGTGCTGATGCACTTTTGAGCATTTTCGACGTTTTCTGGATTATTTGTATTAGTAATAGAGAAAAAAAATGGACTAATTAGCCTTCAATTATTTGTTTCATTTTTTTATCACAGTAGTTCTATTTTTTGGATGAAGAGTTTCAAACAAGGCCGATCAAGTCCACAATACCATATCGTATCACATAGCTAGCTTTGGGTGCATCAAGTGTGTCCGATCATTGTGTATTAATGCGTTTACTGAGCGCTCTTTTCTCAGGAGCTCTGCGTTTGCATTTCCCAGCAATGACAGTTTGGCATATGGAATATTACTCTGTTTGCCATATCCCACCTGCTGTTAGGTTTAGCCTTAGGTGTCTCGCATGGTTTAGTGCATTAGTTGTGGTTCATAGCCATAAATCACAGCGTTTACTTTTCTATCTAAACTCTGTTTGCTTGGCTCAGCGATCACCCCCTCAGGGCCAGTCTGTGTAGGGTGTGTAGCAGGTCATCATGCTTTCTTACACTCTCTTTCTCTCTCTCTCTCTCCCTCCACTGCCAAATGCCAGAGAGGTTGAGTAAGGATCCTTTAGCTGTCAAATCCCAGCCAAATCCCCAATCAGCACTGCCTCTCTGCTCTTTTTCTGTACTTCTTTACTTTTTAGTTCTCTTCAGTTTGCTCTCACTTTTTCTTTTTCGCACTTGTGTTCTCCTTCATGATACTCACAACCCCTTCTTTTCTCTCTATGTGTAATTATATTGTTAATTAGTTAATTCTTGTTAATTAAACTCACAATAAATTACAGGTATAGTTACATTCTGTATCGCCCAGGTAAGAGGCTGTTCTTGTATCTTTTTTCCATTTGTTTCAAAGTCAAAAAATGCAAAAAATGCTAAAATGTAAAAGACATTTCCTCATTCCACAGAATAAAACAGACAACTGTAACTTTTTATCATAATAAATATCTCCTTTTACACTTACAAACATAGATGTGGAATCAACTGAAACTTTAGAATATGCACTTTCAACAGAATTTCTTGTTTCAGAGAGCTACGAGTGAAAAACAGTTCCTATAGAATGACTCCATGCTTTTGTTGTCACCAGCGATAACTGCGTCTTCGAAGGCCAGGCCAAGAGTCATTTAAGAACCACCACCATCAGAAGTGCACTAGCAACAGCTCACATGTACCACTTCCTTACCGTCTCTGCTGTCAGATGTCTAATTTCCTTCACTGCCCTTTGGCTCAGGATTATGAACTGCTTGTATTGTTACTCAGTGTGTGGCCTCCCACTTCCACAGGGAGTGAATGAGTGTGGCCTGTGTGGTCTGTCCTTTCTCTTTTCTTAGTGTGTTTTCCCTCCCTTCTTCTTTCCTTTTTCTGCTCTACCACAGCCGAGTTATTTTCCTTTCCGTCCAACTGATCTGTCTTTTGTTACACAGATCTGTACACACACAGACACACACACTTGTCATACACCTTGTCAGGACATAAGTCACATATATATATTATTTCATATTTACAACTCTTATAAGTTGCAAAAAAGACAAGTTACAGCAAGTAAAATGAAGTATAAACATTCAAGATCCTGCACTATTTGTAGGTCACTATTCAAATTTGCAAATTTGCAACATTGACCAAATTAAGACCTTAAAAAGGTCAGTTTTTTTAGTCTTATTCCTTCTTGTTTTAAAACAACTCTCAGGTGGAATTAATCTACTCATCAGATTCTTTAGCACAAGCTAATGGGGTCATACTGTCATTAAAGCAAAAGAGGGACATACCACCAAATACTAAGACATTTTACAGATCATATTCGAATTTAAAAGATTCCTCTTTTCATTCAAATTGTCAGGCTAATAATATATTTGTAATAACTTTGTACTAAAATATAAAGGAATGCAAAACAAAAGAAGCATTTTAACTAGTGGTCACTGACATTTGAACCCCACTGTATATGTAATAAGGATTATTAAAGCCTAATACTGAACTTGGCATTAATTTAAAAAATGAAACATGGAGCTTTCGTAAAAAGCTTTTTTTTTGTAGGAGAGTTTTGTCCTAAAATTGTCCGAAAACAAACAACCACACACCCACTTCTTACTCTTCATCCTTTTGTGCACTACCACGTCATGGTCCTGCTCTCACCACATTCCTCTGATAATCATGCCCATGTGTCAGTGAAGAAATAACACAGCCAGTGTTCTGGATCATGTATTTTGGGTGTGGAACACTGGTTACACTAGAACACAAAGTCCTGAGAGACCCCACCTGCTGGGGGTTCACTTTGATGATGGTACACAATGAGAGCATTTCAATGAAGTTACTCAGCCCACTCAACAAAGTCCAGGAACTAGGTCTCCTTGCCTCTACAACAAACTAAAACTCTCTTTCTCTCTCTTTTTCTGTCAGAGGACTCAGTGTATATGGATGATGAGGCTGAGAAGAAGGAGTATGTGCTGAATGACACGGGGAGGATTTACTACGGTACTGAGAAACAGATCGGCGCTCGAACATGGAACTTTGGACAGGTGCAGTGAGAAGGGAGCGAATGAAGCTTTGGGTTTTGGTGCTCAGCTTTTTTTTACTGTGGTTTATACTATGAGTTTTTTTCCCCTTTCATATATACTTTGGATCTGGTACCTTTGTCATATACAAAATGACCCACAAACTTTAGTGAAAATGTAAAATCTTGGTCAGTAAAGAATGCCTGAGTGCAACATTCTTATAGAAAACATTACTGCATGTGCAGCAAGGGGTGAACAGATGTAGAAATTTGTACTAGCCACTCAGGCCACCAAGCCAATGAATTTTATGGCCACAAATAAAAGGAATCCTGACTGTTAATACATGTAAGCCTCAATATGGTCTACATGTCCAGTACTGTTGAAATATAAACTAAGCAAAATACTTTATTTATATAAAGAAAATATACCAAATTCCTATATTAGAAAGTTGACATTTTGGTGGAAGCATCAAATCGTTGCTCTCTGTCTTGTCCATTAAGTGACTCACAGCCTTTACAACCTCAAGCAAGAATGTGATATCCAAGAGTCTGATTTTCCATCGGACTGATTCCAGCCAACCATATGACATCATCACAGTGCGATCTACTAGTTGAGGGATTTTGCCAATTTGTCATTTTTTTTAATAAACAAAACATTTCCATTTGGTTCATACATCATATTAAAATAGTTTTGGACAGGTAAACTATTTAAGGCATACAAGTCTTAAAAGTCAGGGTTGCTTCAAGAATTTGTGGCAAGAATTATAGACAGTTGGGCCTTTGGGGTTCATAGTTACTATCATTGTTCAATTATTTTTTATTGTCAGCACCGCCATGTGCAGGAAAGCCTTATTTGAATAACCCAGCCATCATGACAGGCTACAACAAAATGTTCTCAGTTCTAAAACACACTTGTCACTTACCGTTACGTTAACTATCACGGTGGTAATGTTAACATTATGGTTGGTGAATTATGACAAAATCTGGTATGATACAATTTGTGCTTGTTACCCATTTAAATGACCTAATATCCCACTGTCTCTCTCTTTCTCTCTCTCTTTCAGTTTGATGAAGGTATTCTGGAGGCGTGTCTGTATGTCCTGGAGAAGAGTGAGGTTCCCCCATCTGGTCGAGGAGATCCAGTGAATGTGGTCCGAGTTATCTCTGCTATGGTAAGGGTAAAACAGACAATAATCAGTCAAATTTGAAAAATAATAATAATAATAATAAAGATGCAATTTTATCTGTTAACCCCTGAACGTGGAGGCAAAAGTGCACATATTTCTGCCTTTTAATCTGCTTTTCTCTTTGTGATTTCTTAATGCTGTCAGTGCATGTATTTTGAACATGATTTAACAAAGCTGAAAATTTGTGGATGTTTAGATTGTTTGTTCCACAAACTACTGTTGTGAGCTCAGGAGTAAGAAACATACTTCACACTTCAGTGACCTTTTTTGTTGCTTATACAAATCAATAAGTATTTCCATAGCGAATTGCATTCTGAATGAATCTCATTTAGAAAATATCTCAGTACATCCAACAATAAAGGCAGCATGGAACTTCTTTTACGCAGTGATAGAAAACAATGTAGCACCACACGATGATCCACACCTCCACACACTGATCCATTTGACTAAGACCAATGTGAACATGCACATGCTTACTAACTACTATGGGGGCAAAATTTAATAATTTTTAAGGGGACAAAGACAAACACTCAATGTATTGCCGACAGTGTTTTAGGCTTCAAAGAGCGGTTTGTTCAGTCCTGATCTGCTTCTGTATCTATGTATTCCAGGTCAACTCTCCGGATGACCGCGGAGTTCTACAAGGGAACTGGTCTGGGAACTACGTAGGCGGGACACCACCAACAGCTTGGAGCGGCAGTGTGGAAATCCTGAAGAGATACCACAGGGAAGGGGGGGTACCCGTCAAATATGGCCAGTGCTGGGTCTTCTCTGGAATCACCACCACAGGTACATTACCTTTCAAAATTTAGAATAATCATTCAGAATTTGAATCACTGTTCAAAGGTTTGGAATCATTGTTCAAAGTTTGAACCCAGGCTTTAACAGTTTGGAATTGCTGTTCAAAAGTTTGCAATCACCGTTCAAAAGTTTAGTTCAGATGAACATGCAAGATAAATGTGTCCAGAAGGACGAACTGAGCTGTACATCATAAAATGACAGAGACAGCTAGACAGCATCAAGAATGAATACAGAATGTCTTCTATAAAGAGGTGATCAAATCTTGAGACAGTAACTGGAAATGTAATGACCATAAATATATAATTGCAGTACATTATTAATCATTTTATAACTTAGTGTTCTCCGAAGTCTTGAAAAGTCTTAAAGGTCTGGATATACTATACTGAGTTATATTATATAACTCAGTATAGTATATCTAGTACATTACTAGTGTTATTAAGTATATACTGTACATACCATATTAGTATGCATACTAATATATAACATACAAAGACTTTTATTTAGTATATATTAGCTTATAAAATATATAATAAAATATAAATATTCATATGATAAGTGATTTCAAACATTTGAACAATTGTGTGTATGTGTGTGTGTTTGTGAAGGGGGCGCTCTGGGTCTTGCCTCACTGCTGTGCTGTGATATTCATAGCTGACCCTGGCTAATAAGTGTGTGTCTCTGATGGGTCAGTGCTGTCTAAAATACTCCAGCTGCATTCCAGTCATTCCTCCAGGCCGTGCCTCTGGCTGATGTGTTAATGGGTGTGTGTGTGTGTGTGTGTGTGTGTGTTGCTGTGCTTCTCATGCCACCTAAAGACCCTCTGACCAGACAGCACTTTAATAATATTATTAAATCATTAAGTCCTTATTATTGTAAAACTGTCTGCGTCTCTCTCTCTCTCTCTCTCTCTCTCTCTCTCTCTCTCTCTCTCTCTCTCAGTATTGAGATGTCTCGGTATTCCTGCCCGCAGCGTGACAAATTTCCAGTCTGCCCACGACACAGATGTTTCCTTGACAACTGATGTGTATTTTGATGAGAATATGGAGCCAATTAACCACCTCAACTCAGACTCAGTGTGGTAAGTTCCTGTGCTTAATCTGCCCTTGAGTCCAAATGGTCAATATAAAAAAACACACGGTACCTCAGCGGATTATAAACATTTGTCAGGGATGTAATGATTGTAAACTTTTTGTTTTATTAGATTTGCCTTTTGACCTTAACATCACTATTCAGTTCAATTTACAGTTTTCTCAAATAATGACCTATCAAGACTAAGAACACTGTACACTCGGTGCCAGAATGTGTCTTGATGTGGCTGCAGTATGTGCTCACAGTGCATCTGAACAGCCATCAACAAGTTTGGGACAAAAAAGAAAATAATAGTTCAGTGATGCAGTAGTGTTAATAAATGCAGTTATTTATTCATTTTACTGCAAGCACACATTGTGGCCGCAACACAGCATATGTTGCGCTGCGTCTTCTCATACCCAATTCTGTGCGAAAGTAAAATCCCACACTTCATTCATTACATTTCCAGTCAAAATGGCCATTAGATACGAGTTATTAATTTTTCTGCTTCAGAAAAAAAAGAAAATATACTTAACATAGAATCACACTGAAAAAATTACAAATTACAAAATTTTCCACTCTCTGCCTTTATTACAGCATCTGTTCTTTTCAGGAGACTTTCTTTTAGTTTTTAAAGAAATTTGCAGGGATATTTTTTCAAACCTCCAAAGTTCAGTCCTAGAAGTTGGTTGCAAAAGCAAAAAAAAAAAGCAAAAACATATCTCAGCTGTCCATGTCCCACTCCCTCATCTCTTTAGGAATTTCCACGTCTGGAACGATTGCTGGATGGCACGTCCTGATTTGCCGCCCGGTATGGGGGGCTGGCAGGTCGTTGACTCCACCCCTCAGGAAACCAGCCAGGGAATCTTCCGCTGCGGCCCTGCCTCCATTGCAGCCATCCGCGCCGGGCAGGTGTACTTGAGCTATGATGCACCATTTGTGTTTGCTGAGGTTAGTCATGACGTTTTGACCCAAAACAGCTAACATTTTAAATAAAATCACTAAACTACGCAGTGGTGTATTGGGATGGTTGCCTGGACAGAGCTGCTAACTGCCCTTTCCATGCTCTGCCCTAGCTCTTGTGAGGTTGGACAAGCTTTAGAGAACTCTGACCAAAATCCCATTTAACTGTGACGCCAAACTTTTCATCAAAATATGGACATTTTGAGCACTTTATTTATTTCAAATGATATTTATTGTGTATGCACCCAGGTGTTATTGCATGACTTGGAATTCACAGCTAATAGAGACCTAGATAAAACAAGCTTCATGCTTAGGACTTAACAGTTAGTATATGCAGGTATAAAGCAAGTAAAAAAATGTCATAATAAGTATTTATTTAATTGGTCCCTGTCACTCATGCCATGCCTTTAGGTGAACAGTGACAAGATTTACTGGCAGAGGAACCTGGATGGCACCTTCAGTCAGATCCACAGTGAGAAGAACACCGTGGGACGCTGCATCAGCACCAAGGCTGTTGGCTCTGACCAGCGCGTTGACATCACACACCTGTACAAATACCCTGAAGGTGAGAGCACACAAACACACACAGATACACTCTTTAACACATCAGTGTGTCAACTCATGAAACATACTGACTGCCAGAATGGAGCTTGATGGTATTATAAAGGCAATTGATAAATCAGGTAAAATGTGCAGTGCATGAGAACCACTAGGGAAGACCTTTGATTTTACCAGCTTTCACAAGGTCAGGGCTAGGATGCATCCAAATGCACCCAAATTTTGGCCACCAAAACATTTTGGCCAAATATGGTTAAAAGTTGCTTTTTCAGTTTTTGGTTGAAAGGGGGTCAAAGATTTTGTCCAGAAAGGTCAAAGATTTTGGCCAAAAGTAGAGAAAGTTTAAATAGATTTACAATTAAGTGTAAAAATCTAACACATAAATTATTTTAATGTAAAAAAATGAGAAATAGTGAATAAAGATGCTGTTTGTGTCCTTTGGCGTGAGTCAGCACTGACATGTTCAAACACTGCAACTGCATTTAATACGGTCTTTAGCTAACATGCTTTTCAACATTAAATGATTTAATGAAGATCACATAAATAGTGGAAATCACATGAAAAATACTGACTAAGTCAGTATCTTTTAGTAATAAACTTTTTAACCTCTCGTTTTGAAAGTCGTTACTGCACACACACGTTTGTTAGATCCTGCTGAAGTTTATGGCTGTTTCTTCACTAAATGACGAATACTTAAGTGACTTGCACCCCTGCTGGAGAAGCTTCAGAATGCTTAGTGAAAGTTCCATAGCCACATCCACGTACTTTACATATTAAAAACAGGTGTTTTCTGTTGTTATAATGGAGAAACCTTTGTGAAACCAGCAAGTATTGCATTCTACAACTTTTAATATTAAATATTACTTGAATTCTGTCTACATGTATTATTATGACATGAGCATAATTAGTCCTTTTCAGTTGGATTTAGTACATGTAGCTGTTGTTTGGCAGCTGTGCCTATGATCAGATCAGAATTAAAATCTGACTTTCCCTAACTCTCTTTCACTATCTCTTCACCCTAATCAGGCTCAGAAGAGGAGCGCATTGCTGTGGAAACGGCCTGTCGCTACGGCAGCAAGCCGGATGTGTACTTGTCCCCGGTGGCGGAGGACGTGAGAATGGAAGTGAAGGTGGACGGGGATGGGCCGTGCATGGGTGAAGACGCCATGCTGAAGATTGTGTTGAAGAACAAGAGCGATCAAGCCCGTAGCGCCACCCTCCACAGCCAGGTGGCAGTCATGTACTACACTGGCGTGCTGAAGGAAACAGTGAAGACCGAAAAGATCCCTGTTGAACTGATGCCCAATGAAGGTGAGCAGGGACAGTGCAGTCTAAAGCCAAGGAACAGGCCATATTGAATGCAGTAACCTGTACTAGTGCTGGGCAATGTATCAACTATAGAAGTATGCCAGTATTAATGTCAAACAGCAATACTGGTTTTTAGTTTTGGCAGTATTGACAGATAACAGTGACTTAGTGAACTGCAATTTATTTCATTAAGGGTGAAATAAGGGTGCTTGTTTAAAGGAATAGTTCAAAATGCATGAACTGAGGAGTGACGCAATTGGATTGCTGGGAATATAGTGTTAGGATCAGAATCTGACTGGTTTCGAACTCCGGTCTCCCGCTTATAAAGCCAATTGTAAAGTACACACAAGTGCACAGCGCACCAACTACTCTATCCTTAGCTACTATCCTATAAACCAAACGTGATGACGTGATGACAGTGTTACACAGTCATATGCAAAAATTTGTTCACCTTTGCTCAAATGACATTTGTTGATTTGCTTGTTGAGAGTAAGTACACAATTTTTTAATGCAACACACAAAACACAATTAATGTTTACTTGCTGAATTTGACATATTGAGAAATATAAAACATAAAATATGGCCTGTGCAAAAGTTATTGGACATTTTATGCTGCTGTTATGTTCTCTGCTTTATTTTGTTCCAATATCTTAAATTCAGAAAATATATAGAGACTAAAAATTTGCAGAAAAATGCCACGTATAAGTTTGCTGTCTGTAGAAGATGCTTAGAAAATCAGTAAAACGTAATTTGACTAGGGTGCTGAAACTTTTGCCAATGGCTGTATGTATTTTTTTGAATTGTTAGATGAATCTGTCTTTTTATTTTTTGCTTAAAGGAGATTTTAGTTAGATTTCTGTTCACACAGCAAAAAGAAGTCTGTACTTGTCGCCCAATATGTTAATCAGAACTGTCACATCGTCATCACATTTAATGAACATATTGTGCAGCCCTACCAAAAAAAATATTACGATGCTATTAAATGTAGTATGACCTGTCACTGTAAAAGTATTGATAAGTATGCTTAAGGGTCTAGAAAATTGACAATATATCATTGTATTCCAGTGATAGAGAGTTGGTCAAATTCTTGTTTGTACCTCGTTATTCAAGATTTTTTACAGTAGTATGAAGATCACTTTGGGAAGCTGATACCATTTGGTTTGAGAAATGTGCCATAATGAGCTAATGTTGGTTCTTCCTACCAGAGAAAGTTGTAGACTGGGTCCTGCCCTACCACTCGTATGAGGACCACCTGGTAGACCAGGCTGCCCTGATGCTCACCCTGTCTGGCAGGGTCACTGAGACTAAACAGGTGCTGGCCTGTCAAATCAGCTTCAGGCTCCGCACCCCAGACATCAACATTGAGGTAAGAAAAGACTTAATACCACTTACTCTTAAAACAGACTGTAATCACAATTTAAACTGTAAATAGCGTGTCATATATTATATTTTTATAAATTAGATTAAGTGACCCTTATTAGTCCCACAACGGGAAAATTTCATCTCTGCATTTAACCCATGTGTGCAATGAAATACCACATACACACTGGTGAGCACACACACACACACACACACACACACACACACACACACTAGGGGGCAGTGAGCACACTTGCCTGGAGCGGTGGGCAGCCCTATCCGCAGCGCCCAGGGAGCAGGGCTGGTTCCCTAACCTCCAGCCCATGACTGCCCCACTGCCCCAAATATGACTGTTATAAACGTTATAGGGGCTGTAACAAATGTTAGATATATTAATATGCACTTAATTTAAACTTTTCGGCTCTTGTTTTTGCAGCCTCTGGGAGAGGCTTTTGTGGGTAAAGAGGCTTCAGCAAAGCTCACCTTCACCAACCCACTGCCATGCACGCTCTGCAATGTGGTAGTTCGAGTGGAGGGCCTGGGATTGAGGAACCTCCATCCTATCGATGTGGGGTAAGAAAACAGAGCTTGTACAGCTTTTCTGAAAACTTCCTTGTCACGAGAGTATTCAATTCTGCAAACGGGATAAATGAAAACTGAAGACCTTTTTTGTTCTAATTCAGTGGATCTCAGATGTATCTCTACTTAGCAAGTTTTGTCAGATTATTAATTATGCATCTAAAAATGAGGTAGTTGTTTTTTTTAAAAAAAAAGATGTTTTTAAGCATTATCAAAATGAAATTTGAGTCAAGCAATCAGACCTCATGGCCATCCCGTGCCCCCTTAACAAGCTATCTGTAATGTCACAGAACAGCGGCATGACTGGTAAGATATAGTCCTCGATCATTAAGTGGAAGTAATAACTTGGGGGCGAGGGAGGAGCAAAGTACGAGGTGGCCATAAATAGGACCTCAGACAAAAAGTTTTCCAATTGCTGCTCTAATTTACTCACAGTGTGCTAATATCTTTTTCCCTGTGTCTGTCAGTGATGTGGCTAGGCACGCCACCGTGACGGTGACGGAGCACTTCATTCCTTCTCTGGTTGGGACGAGGAAGCTGGTGGCCTCTTTGGACTGTAAACAGATCACCCAGGTGCACGGCGTGGCTGACATCATTGTGCGCGAGAGTCAGTGACGGCACACATTTAAATTTTTTAATATATTCTACAGCATCTCACAGTATATCATCTCACTGTCCACTTTTTTAGAAACACCTACCTTGTAGGTGCACAGTTAGAGACTATAGCTCTTTTCTTTTTACACAATTTGTCTAAATCATCCTCTGTCCAATTGTCAGTGGTCAGTTTATGTCCACAGAGCCGCTCGTGGCTGGATTTGGACATTACCGTGTCACTACCGCATTTGGTAGGCAGTGGTCCTATGGTGGTACGTTTCCATTGAGAGACAGGGTAGAGGGGGGCTGATAAATTGCGCTGCAACAGATGGGCTATAGTCTATAACTATAAAACAATATGGTAGGAGTTTCTGATAAAATGGCCAATGGCTGTAGGTGCTAGGACTTCTAATATACTGGTTATTCAGTGTAGTTTGAGTGGGGTTCCTAAGTGGCAAAGCTGGCTAAGACAGTTATTGCCAGGACCCTAATTTGATTCCTGATGATGCCACAATCATCCATGGTCAGGAGTCTAAAAGAGCACCATTACGCAGATGCTTTCTGGATGGGAAGGATGAAATAAGCCTTATTGGAGTTGGACTATTTTTACCAAGGGAGGTACCTTACATAACTACTGACAAGATGAGATTTTAATCCAGTATGAATGTACACAGTCATGAACCTCGAGAGCTTTAATCCAGGCTATCTGTGGGAACCTGGGAAAAGGTACCTTATCCCATACCAGTCGGTCAGTCATATTACACAAATTACATTGCAGAGCTTCCATTTGCAGTAAAGCTTTTGTCTCTCTCTCCTACTGATTTACAGTGGGGCTCACCCTCACAAAATGGTTGGTGCTGTACGATAAGAGATTCAGACAGGAATTACGTGGAATTAGCCATAACTAACTATGGGCAAACATTCAAAAAATATAAAATAGTATCTGTATGAGGGAATCTTTGAGTCAGAATACTGAACTAATGCTATAGATCAGAATTATTACACTGAGATGCTTTATGAATACAATTCATGTCATTTTCTGAGCCATAATAGACCTGTAGCACTGTAGCTGTTTTGTAAAGTGCTATTGCGGGATATGCATAGATTTTAACAGTAGTAAGATAAGTGTGAAATACCTCTTTGTTATAATTATTAATTTAAGAATTTCCAAGAGTTTTGCTTTTGAAAGCTCTTGCATGCTTAGCCTAAAGATCTTCACTGGCCTACATTTTTATCAGCCTTTTCAAAGGCATTTGAAGAAGTGTTTTTGTGATTTTATACTTGCAAGCTAAAAATATATACTGTATAACCTACGATCAATGCCTCTAATAATAACAATAATAACAATATAGAGTCTATAAATGTTATCTTCCGTCTAACTTCACTTGCTAAAAAAGAGATCAATGGACAACTGTGCCACAGAAATGAAGTCAGTATTAAGATGTACCATTACCACAAGTGTTCTTATGATATAACTTTTTGAATATACTACTAGCTTGGAAGAGTCTATAACCATCTTTCACTGCCCTCTCCTCCCCTGACCACTGCATGGGTTACTAATCCCCTGTATGTTAAAAAAAGAAGTGACATGAAGGAAAACTTAGTCAGATGCTATTTATGTAAGTCTTGACATTATTTATCAACATGCATTATTTTTTCTCTAAAAATGTTATTTTGTTGTTAATAAAACCACATCTAAAATCTTCTCTGTTCATCTTAGTATTTTTTTATATTAACTCTATATATAAACTCACACAGACTACCAAGACAGACTCACACAGCTGACAATACAGCCAGAAATGGGCAATCACACACACACACACACACACACACACACATATTAACCATGCAAAGCTACCCAGCCTGATAGGCTGCAAGATCCTCAATAACCTTACCCCGAGCATGGGAACAGTGCACCTGCTGCCCTCTAGTGGATTCTGAAAGCACTACAATTAAACAGGCATACAAAAGAGGTGTTAAAACATACAAATCTGTATTGTCATGTTATAAAATACAAGCATTTGTTACAATCAGAGAATATTACATAATATTTTAGGAGTTATGACTACTTAAACCATTTAAATTAAAGTCTTAAGCTGAATAGGTATGCGTTTCTCTGCAGTCCTGTATTTAACTTCTTTTTGAAAGATAAATTAATGGATAGCTTATGCACAATTTTCTAATGCTGCAAGTGAAAGTGATGTAAACATAACAGCACCAAAGCAATAAGTAAAAAATACATTACAGAGCAGAAGGATGCTCACAAAAAGTTTCAAGCCAGTGAAAAGACAGTTCTTTCATATTCAGTATGGTTCACTAAGCCAAAATGACAAAGTAAGAAGATGTGAAAAGTTGTCAGCGTGTGGAGGTCAACACTCAACTTCGCCCTTATGTTTAGTCCATCTTCTATTATAGAAAACATGGCCCATACATATATAATAATACCCAGGCTTATAACACCTGGACTCACACAGGTTTCGTAGCACTCACTCACTCACATGCACGATTGTTTATCATTACACTTGTGGTAACATTCAGTCCACAGTATTACAGATGTTCTCCACCACTCTGCTGAACTCCTCAGGTTGGTCTGCGTACACATGATGAGAGGCATCATCAATCAACTGTGGGGCAGAGCATGAGAGAGAAAATACAATAAGGCTTGTGTCAATTCAAACCATATAATAGAGAGAGAGGCATATTATTCAGTTAATAATCTTTTGCATTTGTCTTGTATTTTATTTAGTCTACTTATAACATTTGTATGGTTTAATGTATCAAAAACAGCTATCATTTATTTTACATGACTATTTTCCAAACTCTCTTCACCCTTTAGAATTAAACAGGCAGTTTTTGTTACTGTGCCTTTAAGACTGATGTAGTCCAGGCAGAAAACACTCCTTATAACGTCAGTGTGAATGGGCAGAGCTAAACTACAGTAGGCTTAACAGATGGGTATATACGTAAACATTTTGAGTTTTGTCACATTGCAGAAACAGTGAATTCAGATTGTTTTTGCAGCTTGGTTCCTGTATATCAGCTGCATGGATTGGGGAGTGAATAGTTTTGAAATTTTAAAAGTGTTTACAAGCTACATCAAACTCTTTTAAGAAAGTGAGGAAAAAGTTTCCCGTGATGTGGGCCTTTAATGCTGATGTAATAAGTGATTTAAATTATGTAACTTTCATATGTAAGGTATATAGTTATGGGAGAGAGGATCGGAAGTGTGAACACATACAGTTGGTTCCCTAAGAGTTTAAGGGGTTAAATAAAAAGATCGCTCTAATAAGATAACTTTGTGTCAAGAATGGACCACTAAAAATGGTCCAAAATTACTGGGAATAAAATCTTACATACATTCTTTTTTCTTTCTCTTATGCAGTTACCATTTCAGATACAGAAGATTTTAGTGATATTTTACTTTATAGTAACATACACACAATTTCACTGTCCAAAAGTCTTTAGACACCTGGTCGTCCAACACTTGTTCTGAAATCAAGACTATTAAAATGTTACTGCTTTGCTGCAGTAACAGCCTCTACACTTCTAGGAAGATTTCACACCAGATGTTGGAACATTGCTGTGAGGATTTGATTGCATTCAGCTACAAGAGCATTAGTAAGGTCAGGCACTGATGTTGGATGATTAGTTCTGGATCACAAATGTCCTAAAGGTATTGAATTGGGCCTGTTCTCCGTGACAGTTAGCCTAATTAGCACAGTAACAGCTCCCAGTGATGTAAAACGTATTTACCTCTGTTTGTTGATTTATTTAATGCAAACCATAACAAGACAGTAAGATTCCCATACATGAACATAACTGACCTTTAGACATGTTGGGTGATGTGATATTCTACATTAATATCGCATTTACCGTACTCAACATAGACAAGATTGGGCCTCATTCACCAACATCTTCCTAGTTTTTCTTTCTTACATTTGTTCTTGACGAAAAGTCCTAAGAAAAAGTCTATGTCAGATTTGTGACTTAAACTGCAGAATTGTTCGCTCTTGAGTGTGTGTAGATTTTGTTCTTACCTAAGAACAAATCCCACATAAGAAAACACTGGTGAATGTCTTCAGAATCTTCATGAAAACTGCGTAAGTGAGTTTTAAAAAGAACTTTCCTCTTAAGAACGGTTGCTGGATGAGGCCCATTGTTCTAAAAACGTCAACAGTTCAACATGGTCAGTACTGCAGGCACATATCAGGCCTTTACAAAAGGAACATCTTCAGACCACAGTGTCAGGTTATAGACATCAGAAAAAACAACTTCAGGTCTCAGAAAAATAAGTAAAATCATGTATCAGCTCTTGTACATCAGGTGACATGGGCTGTTTCAAATGGCCCCAGGAGAAATGGCTTCACAAAAAAGGCATCAGGGGAAGCTAAGCAGCCACAAAAATTTGTGACATTCGACAGGGCCATTCTTTCATACTAGATTAATTACAGTTTCTTGGCCAAATTAAAGATGTACCATACTACAACTCTCACTGCAATGTGCTTTATTATGTTCTTTTATTTGACAAAGAATAGGAGTCATCTCACATGCTGTCACTGTGCTTTGTCCAGCATCTGCTTCAGGGTTAAGTACCATCATAAAATTACTGGACAATAAGGTAAAGCAAGAGGAAAATGCAGTGCTTGGCATTGGTTATGATGCCCTGCTCATAGCTGCTCCAGAGCATTCCATTCTACTGACAGTACTTTTCTATGGAGGCTATACAAGTGGTGTGTGCAACTGAACACCTTCAAGTAGCTGAACTCACTAATTAAAAGGGCTGTCCAGATACTTTCGGGCATATAGTGTATAGTAACATAAGGTTTTCTTATGATAGTAACAATATACACTACCGTTCAAAATTTGGAAACATCTGATGAACTATTTTCAGTTATTTTTAAATACAATATTAACTTATTCAATGTGGATTTAGATATTAAAATGTATGCACCAAAAGCTATTTTTAGACGTGTTACTCAATATTTTATAAACAAGAAGTGAATAAAATGATAAACAACATACTGTAATTTTCTATTTACATTCATTTTTGTCACATTATCTGCCTTTTGATATATGTTGGCTCCTGGATATTAATGTTGATGTTACACAGCTTTCTCAGTCATTTAGAATCTTGTACAGGTCAGATTATCATTTTGTACATTTTTTCATTTGTATTTACAGCTTCCTAGTGTTCTAATAGTTAGCATATTAAAATAATTTTACACACTAGTCTGCAATTAAATTTATTTATTTATATATTACATATTATATATTATGTAATATATAATATTATAAAAAAAAATCAAACTTTTAAACAGTAATGTATTTTTCTTTTTGCTGTCTGTCTTACTCTTGGAAGCAAACCCTCTGTGTCACTCACCATTACTCTGGTGGGGCTCTGGCCTCTGATCTGTGCCACATGTTTGCCAGTGGAGCTGTCCACCCAGGAGCGCGCTCCATACAGCATGCTGACGGGCAAGGACGGGGGCAGTAGGTTGACTCGCTGGACCATTGGCCTCTTCGCCCAGCCGAGAGACTCAGACATGGCCCTGAACCCAACCTCACCACTGAGAGTGAGAGTAAGAGTGAGACAGAGAGAGAGAGACATAGAGAAATGGCCATTCAATTCAAAATCTCTCCAAATACTAGGTGGATCCATAAAGAAGTGAGCAGTGTTTTTGCAGCCACTCAGTTACTTTCAGTGTTCTGCAATGAAACATTTAGAATTCTGGTGGCGATTTGTCATTACCTGGGTGTTTGAGCGTTACAGTGGTACAGATACTCAGTCATAGTGTTATCATCAAAAAGGTCCTCAAACTTGCTCTTGAAATCAGGCCGGAATCGATTCACCAACCCTGGCCCTGAAAGGTAAGAATGGAATAAGTTAACATCATTAAACATTTAATGGCCAGTGACACACTTTGTACTGTTTTGTATTCTCCATATTCCTATTTTCTTTTATTTTTTACTTATTTACCTGTATTCAATTAGAAAAAAAATGCCATAGATCTAAAATCTCTTTTACAGGCATGTGTTGACCAAGACAGACAACACATAACAAATTGTTCCCACAAATAACACAATACAAACATAAAACTCAATAATTAACAACCCTCAATAAATCATTTAAAACACTGACAAACAGTTTTACCCACTTCCACTGTTTGAAGAATGTTTTTAAAACTATTCAGTGACAAAACTATATACAAATGACTCAGCCTACATGTAGTCAATGAGGCCAAAGCTGCTGGTTCATAAAGAACACAGTGGTGGGAAATTGGCCGACAATTAGTGATAAATCTTAAAGCACCACCACAAGTAAAGGTGCATGCATGTAATTGATGTCTCCATAATAATTTACTGGTAAAGAAGTAGCAGAAACAAGTTTCATTTCAGCTTAATAGAATAGAATAAACAAGACTTACTCCTCACATATAATCCCAATTTCATCTTCAGTTTTTACCAAATGCATAATATGAGGCTTAAATGTCAAAGAACTATCTAATACCAAAACAAGATATTTGTATGCAGATACATTTTCAACCATATTTCCCCTTCAAAGTGAAGGTTTGAGGGCATTTTCCTTGAATTTGTAAGCAATATTGCTTTAGTTTTATCAACATTTAAAACAAGTTTCAGACTATAAAGCCTGTATTGTATAATATCTAAGCATCTTGTGAGTTACACAAAGCTCGGAAGCTTGATTTGGATTAGGTGCTGAAGAGTAGATGACAATATCACCAATGTAATAATGAAAATTTGCATTTGGCACATTATGACAAAGACTATTGATATATACAGCAAAAGGCAGAGGCGCCAAAAGCGATCCTTGAGGTACACCCTTATCCATCGTCAAGGTGGTAGACCTAAAACCTTCAGCCTGCACACAATGCACACACTTCAGATAATCCAATGTTCATAAATGTAGACTGTATGACCCACTGTGTCAGCCTTTGATAAATCAATAAAAAAGGGGTGCAGAGTGATACTCTTATGAAACAATTATGCAATTTATTACTTCAGCACCGCTGTGATTGTACTGTTTTTTTTTTGCTCATTATCAGATAAAATGTTATTTACTGTTAACTCCTTCACCTGCTCACTCACAAAAGATTCTAAAATCTTTGCTAAAACTGAAAATTTAGAAATGGGCCTATAATTATTGTTTAATATTGTATGATGTCCTTTTAATAAAGTCACAACAAAAGTAGATAATAAAAGATTAAAATATCAGCTGCAATAATATCAACTGCTAACTTAACAACAATAGATCTAGATTATCAACTCCTGCTGATTTATTTGTGTCTAGAAGCTTAAGAGCTTTATGCACTTCAGAACTAGAAATCTGCTTAAAACTCAATGGCACATTTGCTCTATGGTCACTGTCAGTATTTACATCGTTAAATTTCGGGGTGTCAAGAGCTAATGAATCAAATATAGATCCAGCCACAATACAGTGAAGTTAAGCAGGCTGTTTTTGTTACATGCCTTTAAAACTGATATATTTAAATGACTTGTGTTCTGACTTACCCCACGGTCCCGCTGCTCTGATGATGGCCAGAGGGTTGAAGAGGGTGACAACAGAGGCCACTGCTTTCACCCAGCGAGGCGGTCCTGGCCTCTTAACCTCTGAACCCTGACTGGATGACTCTTCAGGCTGAGGCTTGGGTCTCTCTGGGAAGCCCCAGGGATCCACCAGGATGAGGTGACTGACTCTGAGGAACAAGGCCACAACATTAGTCAGAACTTCACTACACTCAGACAGAGGTCCACATGTTTGCTCATATCTCAGTAGGCTCAGAGTGTCTGTGTGAGTACAAAAAAAAAAACATCCCCAGCACTGCCCAAATTCTGCTATATTTTGTTTTAGCATTAGTTTCACATAAGTACAAAATATTTCAGATGATAACATGATTATAAAATGCCTATTACATTTATATATCCTTTGCACTGTAAACATTTTTGAGTGACCTACACTTCGACAAAATAAGCTTCATATCTCCACTGCAAAATTAATGAAGCAAGTGTTGGTCAGTAAATATGTCTTGCCTGATCTGCTACATTTGGATAAAGGAGAAAATTGTATACATTAATTTGTTTTATTTTATTAATTTTATTTGGTGACCTATAGTCTGTGCAAAGTCAGAGACCACCTGCCATTTATTTAATTTCCAGTCAAAACAGCTGTTCAGTACCATTGTTCAGCATCAGGAAAAAAAAACAGAAAGCATATTTAACAGAAAAACACAAGAGCTTCAACAACTAAATATAATTTTTCAGTATTTAGTGTGTCCACCTTTTATCTTTATCACACCTTTCATTCGTTTGGGACACTTTCTTTCAATTGTTCAAAAAATCTACAGGGATATTTTTCCACATCTCTAAACTTTAGCCTTAGAAGCTGTGTGCATTTTCTGCTTCTCATGATCTAAGTCTGATCAAACAGACTCAATGAGCTTTGAGCTCGGGAGTGGTCAGTCAACTGTTCTGAGATCAGCAGCAGCTTCTTTGTTTTCTATTTTTGTCTATTTATTTTTCTCAGTAAGGGCTTCTTGACAGCTACACATCCTTTCAGACTCATAGTGTTGAGTTGTCTTCTCACAGCTGAAGAATAGGCAGAAATACCTGTGGACTTTTTCAGATCTGAAGCAAGAGTGGAGCTTGATTTTCTCCTCTCTCTCAAAGATGAAAGCTTTAAGTGCTTTTTATCCAGTGGTGACAGTTTTGGTGGTCTATGAGGTCCTGCACAGTTGTTTTTCCACTTATTTTCCTTTGACTTTCTCCTTCCTTATGCAAGTGGATAATCTTATAATCACCATAGAAATAGCTAAAAAATGACTAACTTGTCTGTTTTTAACTGGAAATTAAATAAATGAAGGATGACCTGTGACATTTGCACAGTACTGGATATAATTCTGTTGAAACACAGCACTTAAGTTTGAAATGTCTACTAATCCAGAAGACATGAACAGCACAGACATTCATTACTGCATAATTGTACTCAAAGAAGCACCCCTTACCTTTCAGGATACTGAATGGAATATGATGTTGCCAGGTAACCTCCAAGGCTATGACCCAATAAGATCATGTGCTCCAGCCCCACTGTCTGCCTCCACTGCTCTATGGAGCTGACAAACTGCTCCTCAGCCAACGAGGCATCAGTGGGGAATGCGGGACGGGAGCTACGACCGAAGCCCAGCAGGTCAAAGGCATAAACAGGCCGCGAGCGACTCAGAGAGTCCAGGTTTCGGATCCATAGCCCGACTCCTCCTCCGAACCCATGGACCATGACTAGTGGGGTCTGAGAAGCTGCAAAAACAAAAATTGGTTTTAGGTGTTGCTGTAACATATTCTTCTTATGTGCAATCGATTGATGCATTTGATTCATGTAAATTCAAAGCACCACATTTTTTTGTGGCCGGATACTAGTAGTTAATATATTTCTGCTTCAAACATAATACTATTATTAATAAAGGCATCTTTATACGGGAGATGGAAACTGCAAGAGTGAGAGAGTCTACCTTGGTCTGAAGGTCTGCGTGCTGTCCTGTTAGTCACCGTAAGGGTCCATATTCTGTTCTGGTTTGGCAACGTCACAAATCGGGACCACACTTCATTCTGAATACCTTAATAAAAATAAGAGGTTATGGCTCTAACAAAGCAGAAAACATACATTTGTCAACAGATATTAATCTACTGCTGTACCGGTGAAGAGATCTGACTTTTTTGAAGAAAGTAGGCTGTCATTACGGATTACTTTAGTAGTCAGTGAATTATTCTGATGATTAATTTGAGTTTAAAATAGGCCAGATAATAAAGATCAAACCCATACGTAGGCTTCCAAACATACTAAAATACTTTTTGTAAAAAGATAAAGAATGAAGTCGTTAAAAGATATCATTAAAAATATTTACAGATGACAAAACACCTGAACAAATGAGTGGAGAATCATAATCAGAGCAGATGTTTCCAGACAGAGGTACTGCATGATACAATTAAGCAGTTAACATCCTACCATGGCCTGTGGAGTGTGCAAAAATGCTAAGCAGGCCTAGCTGACCTTGTTTTTGGATCAATATGGCAAGAGGAAAAGATCTAAGTGACACTGAAGGAAAGTTCATTATTGGGGATGGCTTCAGTAATAAAGACTGCTCAACAGGCTAGTCTGTCAATAGAAACAGTGACTAATATCGCATCTGCATTTAGATTTTTGGGAAAAACATCAGTAAATAAGGCTGAATCCTATTTCTGTCCTGATGGTAGAGGTCTCTTCCATCATGACAATGCAGCCCACAAGACACGAGAGATGAATAAATGGTTTGATGAGTATTAAAAAAAAGGATTAAAATCGTATGCTGTGGTCATATATGATATGACAGTGTTCTCTCCACAACCCTCATTAAACAATTGAGGATGTGAATATCTTAAGAATGAAGGGTGTCTCATCCCTCTAGTACAGTTCCAGAGACCTGCAGAATCTACGCCATGGTACACTGAATCTGTTCTGGTGGCTTGTCGCGGTCCAAGACACTTTATGTAGGTTTTTCCTTTGTCACTGTATATAAGAATATTATATGGCAAAATGTATAAGTGTGTCCATCACTGTCATCTGTTTTTTACTGGACCAGTAGACAGCAACAAGTGGAAAATCATCATGCAAACTACAAACAAATCACTGCTTTTTCATCAAAAAGATAAACTGTTTGTATTTTAAAACAGAATAATCAAGTTTAATCAAGATAGTGTGACAGCCTTAATAATAATACTAAGATGTATAGTAATAGTAATACTAGGCCAGTGATGAGATGAGACAACAACAACAACAACAACAACAACAACAACAACAACAACAAAACAAAACAACAAAAAAAAGATTTCTGGTACTTACATGCAAGAATCTTGGCCTCAGCACTCTTTAACAGTGACATAGATGTCGGTCGCCAAGATGGCCACCAGGACCAGTTTCCAGAGTTTGGCCTAAACAAGAAAAAAAACCCAAGTTATAAAGGGACAGGCTGTGAGTAGGCCATAGGTCAGTCAGGTAAAATGCACTCACTGGTCCTGAGTCATGCTCTGCAAGCAAACACACCCTAATAGGATAATGTGTACTTTTGTACAGACTTTCTCCACTTAATCAAACTTATCAATGCATGCACAGCAAAGCTCATAAAAGCCACTGGTAAACTACCAGATATCAGGCATTAAGTTTACTATTGAGGATGGGGTTGGTTTCCCAGATTAAGCCTAGTCCTAGACTACATATTCCCCCATTCAGAATTCTGTGTAATCCATGACTAGGCTTAACTGCTGTCTAGGAAACCAGTACAGAATGTGTTACTGTCCGAGCACTGCTTTAGTGATTCATATAAGCATATAGCTTCATCTGCTATTTCACAACAGAGAAAATGGAAAGTAGATCATTCTCAACTGTGAGATTCACAGGCCTTGCACTTTCATTTAATGAGAGAGCAATGATTAAGCATATATCGTGGAAAAAAAAAACTTCACACACTCTTTTTTTAAAGTTAAAGTTTGATGTAGTGTGTAAACATATGTGTGAAAAATATGCTATATACAAAAAATTCTTTAATTCTTTCTGATGTAATAAAATGCACTTACACGTATCTGCATGTTCAGCCTATATCAGCCTAAAGGAGGTAAGCCCAGCTAAATCACAATTAAGCAAAATTACATATACGCTTAAGGGAAAACAATAGTTAGTTCACAGTATCTGGGACCCTTGGGTAGCAACTAATACTTTAACAGCTAACTTTTTAAGAAACAAAGACCTGTCAATGATGAATCTATATATGAGTCTATGTGAGTACAAGCCTACTTTTTAGGCCTTTTTAAATATTTTTAATAATAAATGTTTTGAAAAAAATAATTGTATTTTTTTATTTTATTTATTTTTATTCATTCATTTACCTATTTCTTCCTTCTTTCTCTCTTTTGTGTCTGCTAATTATGTTCATTGTTGTTCGTTCAGAGTTTGTTGAATGTGTGCTTTTGAAAAACAATAAAATGTGATATGACCAAAAAATGTACAAGGAGGCTATAAGGAGTTATCAATCCAGACTGCTTTTTGGATGAGTCACAACACATGGGAGCAAACCAGAAGCCTGTTTAAATATTAAGATCAATCAAGACATGTACATTAAGAGATGTAAAAATAAATTATGACTGTTTTTGTTACATAACACTGCACAACTCACGGGAAAAAATGAAAAAAAAAACAAAAGAAAAATGCAGGATCTGGGTTCTTTAAAGCCACATCTTATTCATATACTTAAAATGATTTTGCTTAATTGTATACAAAATATTTCTTGTCAAAAAAACATTAAGAGCCAGGAGAAAATGTCTCACTCTTCACTGAACCAACAGAGTTTCTAGAAGTTGCATCAGGCTCCTCACTAGATGCCCCGAACTGGCAGTGAATTTAAAGAACTAAAACTTATATAACACACAGCATTTAGTGCATATAATATAGAGATATAAACAGTAAACTGATTTATATACAGTATATAATACATATAATACAGTATAAATACTATATACTCTTAAAATGATGGTTCTTCAAAAAACAGTGGTTCTATATAGAATCATGAACACTCAAAAGAACAATTTGCATGCTTAAAGTGTTCTTTTCATGGTGAAAAGTTGACATAGAAGATCCCTTTCTTGGTGCTATATAGAATCCTCTTCAAAAAGCTTTATATAGAACCATATACTACACATTCTCCATCAATCTGAAGAACCGTTCCAGCATCCAAAGAACCCTTTAAGCATGCAACTGGTTCTTTTAGTGTTTACAGCTCTATATAGAACCAGTGTCTTTGCTAAAGAACCCTTGAAGAACCACATTTTTAAAGAGTGTAGTTTAGAATATTAGCATTAAACATTACTACAAGACAATGCTAGAGAAATAAACTGGGGGAAATGATTGATTTTAACAGAAGTATTATACAGCACTGTTTACATATCTGCACTGTATAGAGATTTTTTTTACTATACATCTTAGGGTATACTATTTTAGGGTAGTCTTGAACGACCCCTAGATTGTCCAAAACAAAAACAGCCACCTTTTTATATAATCCAGAACCTAAAATAATCTGTGTTCACGTAACTGTACTGAAACAAATACATTTCCGCAGTTAATACTAGTCACAATTCCTTACTGCCAGAGAAGTTTAAGGTAAATCATCCTGTCAAGACCACAAAGATCTGCACCAGAGGAGCGGCGTGTTATGAATAACAGCACTCAACTCAGTATGACCAAGTAGTTCAACCTCACAGCATGACGCAGCATGAATCCAAGACTAAAACGCCGGCTAAATGAATAAGACTACACCTCGCAACCGAGAGCACTAATCAGCATTTCTTTTAAATGTAGCCAGCCTAGAAAAAAAATTATATCGTGTATTAACCAGTGTAGTACGTATGACAACCAACAAGTGAAGCAAAAACATGATGTAACATTAATCAATGGCAGCAGTAATCGGGTTACATAGCCACACAGCTCAGGTATTTTAGTAACGACAAATGTCCAGCTACTTACTCTAGTTCACTCTCGTCTTGCATTTTGGGGCTCACAGGCAGGTTAGTAGCGAGCATAGTACACCTAATGAACACGTCGTTAAAGTGACATACTCATAGTCACCTTTGTGTTCCCAGCTGTGAACAGAGGAATCGTTACGTATTACACTAAGTTCAGCGGAGGACCTTGTTTTGTAACATGTACACTACAGTCAGCTGACTGGAGAAGGGGGCGGGCCAGTGGACACTATCTGTACTTCACTGCCCCTCTTCCTGGTGTTTCTTCAGGGTCAAATCTCTTAATGTCTCGTTTTAGCACAAATGAAGCTGCAGCACGAAGTTAGCCAAGTAACGGCAGTTAGCGCAGCAGGAGAAAAACGCCTCAAAAAGACTGTAGACTTCCATTCAACAATGTCCGGTTCGTAAAAAATGGTATTTGTAAATGATGAATCATTTTTATAAGCACTCGTTTTTTTCAACACAGAACAGCCTAAAATATTTCAACACGGCTGTCATTTTTTAACACTTTTCAGTTTGCAGGTTGTTGGACTAACAGCGCTTTTAGTACCTTTTACTCAACCAGCTGATGAGCTCACCAGCCAATCAGCACTCAGTAGCCGTATTGCTAGTGGAGCCTGTGTTGTGCCGAATCCCGACTCCCAGGCGGAATCCGACTCCCCTTCGCGTGCTAGTGGAGCCGGTTAGGGGAGCCGGGACACTTCCTGTTTATGCAAACGCCAGAGGGCGCCCGCGAGCGAGTTCTCAATGAATGAGGGTGAATGGAGCTAAAAGGCTAAAAACGAAAAGTTAAATAGTTTCTAACTACTTGTCTAGGACCTGCCTTTGAATTTGGAAACGTAGAAGTATTTATTTCACACACACACACACACAAAAATAATAATAATAAATAAATAAAAATACATTACATAAAGTTTTTTTTGTTATATAATCAATAACAAATCTCTATAACTCCTTCCTGAGCTTGTTATGTGGGTACAGTGCCAAAACAAGTGAATAAGGATTTCTGGGCATACATCATAGAATGATGAGGTTTTTTTGTTTTTGTTTGTTTTGTTTGTTTGTTTTGTAGGAACACATAAGTATACAAGTATACACCAACATAACATCCAACAACCAACAGCCAGGGGCTGTAATTACACATCATATAAATCATAATTAATATTTATTTCCAAAGTCCTTTTAGCTTTCTTGTTTTCAATGTTTTTTTTTTTTTTTAAATAGTGCAATATATTATAATAAGTGGCTTTTTTTCAGATCATCTCTTCTTATGTACATGATCTTTACCCACAATAATTAAATTCTGTGCAAAAAGTAAATATTTAATATCCAATCTGTCCTTAGAGAAGTAAATAAAAACATCTGAAACACCCCAATGCAATGGCTAGTCTTTTTTCTTACAAAATTCTCCTCATCAATCCAAAACACTTTAAAAAGTAAGTACACTGACAAAACAGATTGAAACGTGCTTCCTTTTCTAAACCACCACAGAATGAACAGTGATATCCTTTTTCAGCCTAAGATTCTGGCACACCGGTTAACATTTAAACTGGATCTAAGTATAAATTATATAATATATGGTTATTTTCATATATAAAAATTCACGAGAATTTAAATGACATAAAAAGAAAGTAACTGAGCAGATAAACACCTACAGGACAATTCTTTCCTTTAATAAATAAGCCATGTATCAAAAGATCGTCTTTATCGCAGTCAAAAAATTCAGAGAAGGTCGGAACTAAAACACGCGCCTGTTTCAGCAGGGACGCTGTTTAGTGACACACTTGACGGCAGTGGCTACACGTCATTCATTTGGCTGAATTTTCATTCTCTTTTACTGATTATTAGCCGTTAACCTACTAAAATAATGTCTCATTCAGTGGTCGCCGTCATATCCCGCTTTTTGGAGGAGTACAGGAGCAGCACGTCGAACAAGCTGAAAGTCATAGACGCGTATCTGCTGTATATTTTACTGACAGGGGCGTTTCAGTTCCTCTACTGCTTACTGGTCGGCACATTCCCTTTCAACAGCTTTCTGTCTGGATTCATTTCCTCTGTGGGATCCTTTATTCTTGCAGGTACAGAACGTTTACTTTGTGAATTGGATTGCAATTTTGAGATGCAAGTTAGCTAAATAAATACAGCCTCAGCAGGACAGCCAGCCTGTAGTATTATCATTGGCACCCTTTGTAACCCGTGAATCAGGAAGTCGTGCATGGCCAGGTAAGAGTTCCTAAAATATAAAGGAAGTATTTGTCACTTTTTTTTGTTTTTGTTAACAAGAATTTCTGGGAGTGCCAGTAATTATGATACCTTTTTTTCTTGAGAAAGGTGAATTTCCTGTCTGAGTCATTTTTCTGGTGGGTCGGTATAATTTTCCATTCTGAGCTCAAGATTTGATCTGATTTTCAATATTTTAGGCAGAATTGTCTAAATATTTACAACACAGATTGGTTTGGCTCATATAAGTAACATTTTTCACATCTAAATTTTCAGCAAATTTTAACAAAATAAAAAGTGTCAATTCCTAGACTTTGTAAGTAACTTAAAAAAGTCATCTGAGCATAGTCTGCTGCTTTGTTTTTTACCAGGTTCTTGCAGATCCGTATAAAGTTTTATAAAGTCGTTAATAGATTTAAAATATTTAAAGTCTTAAAATGCCTGAAAATGTCTTATTTTTTACTGTTAGAGGTGTTAAATCTTAAAAATTATGTCAGAATAGTCTGCCAACCAAAAATATCCAAACAGCAGAAAAGTCGAACAGACTTAGTGAAAAGAATGCCAGGATTGGGCGAGCTCAAGGTGTTTGACTTCCAGCCAGTTAAAATACACATGAATTGATGCCATGTTTGAGTTTCTTTGTGTTGTTGTGCAGTGGAAATATTATTTTTTTATTTTTTGAGGCCTTTAAATAATGTTAAAAAGTACTGAACTTGATTTTAAAAAACCCCTGGTCGACTGCTGCATAACATTGCTTCTCTCTCCTCTACAGTGTGCCTGCGTATCCAGATCAACCCTCAGAACAAAGGAGATTTCCTCTCTGTGTCACCTGAGAGAGCCTTTGCAGACTTCTTGTTCGCCCACACTGTCCTCCATCTGGTGGTGGTTAACTTCATTGGCTGAATGAAGATCTCCTGGTGACACCTTTTTGCAGGTGCGTGGTGTGACCACACTTTTTTTTTGGTACAATAAGCACCTATAGTCTTGTGCACTGCATTTATCTTGTTTGCATTATATGCCTGCTGTACTCACAAATCATGTGTAGCTTTGGTGATCTGTGTAACTGTGTGCTGTATTTCTGTGCTTGCAGAGGTTTTTTGTGGTGTAGACATCCTTAAAAGCTTAAGTTTAGCATCAGCATGCATCACTGTAATCTGTATGGCTTCTGTACACTCATGTATAGTGTACCATTTTAATACCAGCCTAGTTCAAACAATCTAGTTCAAAAAGTACAAATAGTTATATAATGGTGTGTGTATATATATATATAATAGCAACAGGTAATAGGAATATAGACTATAGTGTATATATCATCATAGTGTTACTATGATCAGCTGAAGTGTAACTTTTTTTTTCTTTGATGATCTTTGTGATGCTTAGCAAACTAGGTCAAGATAAATTATGAGTAAGTAAGTAAGAAAATAAAGTGCAGTAACTGCTGCTTAGTACTTGGAACCACATTTTTTGATTCCAGAACGTTTCAAAACATATCATTCACTCCCCACTCCATACAGTTGATATATGGAAACTAAGCGGCAAAACAGCCTGTTTTCAATTCATTGTTTTTTGTGATGTTGCAAATGCTAACATATTTACATATATCCACCCATTCAGCCTATATGTTATTTACATATATCCGTTTTAAAGGCCCAGTAACAAAAACAGCCTGTTTAATTCAATCAAGAGAGTTTTTGTACATAAACTACACAAACATCATAAAAGGACCCCGGGGGAAAAAAACACAAGAAAAATGTAGGATATGGGTCCTTTAAGAGTCACCGCTAACTCACTTATTAAAATCAGTCTGCAATAAGAACTGGGAATTTGCAGTGCAGGAAGTAGTTAAGATGTTCTGATGATTCTCTGAAATTAAACAGGTGTCATTTTTCACACAGTCAGTGATACAGTTTCTCTTCTTAGTAAAATTACTGTATTAAATACGGATGAAACAGGGTGAACGTGTTATAACCTTGTTAACCACATCCTCTTCTTAGTTCTGCATATTATTATAAATATTGATCTTGATCTTTTAAAGAATTGCATGTATACATCAAATTCAATATTTGATTTAAACTCAATAGAGCACATAACAACCTGTCAGCAGAGAGACTATTTTTTTTCCAACAATTAAGTATTTCCTGGCCCTCTCTGATTTCCATTTTACCTGCGGGAAATTTTGATTGTAGTAACTTCACATGAACTATATTATAATGTCGCTCTAATTATTCACTTTTTATCTGTTTCAGATATGGAGACACAATATGGATGCCTTGCTAACCAACATCTGGCAGTGACCCTTGACAGGTGTCATCAAAATGCAGTTTACTATTATGTTTAATATAATTTGTCAGTATGGGGATTGTTGTATTCTTTCTGAGAACATCTGTTTGTCTGTCTCAACAACAAGCTTTTCTACTTTTCTAAAATTCTTCAGTTACTGCAACAGGAATAAAGTGATTAAGAGTAATCATGACGTTTTTGTAACAGTGTTTTATTTCAGTTAACGTTGTGGTTCAGGATGACTTATGGCGTTTATTTGAAGAAACATGCATTACCTGTTTTCCATGTATAGTCAAACACATAATATATTACAGTTCAAATGTGTTTCTTGTTTATGAAACACCTGAAATAACACCTTTTTAATACAAAATAATTTAGAAACAGTGTGTAATATATATAAAATATAAAGTGGTGGGTATTAGATATAAATTATACATTGCTTATAGTTTACTTTGCAAAAGATGACAATTAGGAGATATTTCTGAGGAGATTAGATGTATGCATAAGGAAGGGGAAAAGCAATGGAAAATAAAGCAGGAAAAAACAGGAGCTTCCATACCAGAGTTCAACAGATTATTTAAAGATTCAGAGAAAATGGGACTAATAACAACCAATTAAGAATGAGTAGACCACCAAAACTGTTACTATCGGATAAACAGTACTTAAAGTGTTTATCTTTGATAAGCACTTGGAGTCATCGAGTGCTGAGGTGCATAGTGCATAAAAGTTGCCAACGTTCTGCTGACTCAATACCTGCAGAGTTCCAAACCTCCTCTGACATTAAAATCAGCGTTAAAAAATGTGCAAATTTCTATGGCTGAGCAGCTGCATGCAGGCCTTACATCACTAAGCACAATGCCAAGCGTTTGACCTCATAAATGCTCTTCTGGATGAATGGACACAAATTCCCACAGACTCAGTCTAAACTTTTGTAGAAAGCCTCGCATGTCTGCAGCCAGACTCTACTGGGTTCTAGCTGCAAAGGGAGGACCAGCTCCGTATTAATGCCTATGAATTTAGAATGGGATTGGATATATATAGATATACGTATATACATACATGAATGTATGCGCACAGGCCACGGTTTATGTTTCCCCAATATGTTACATTAAGCAAATAAACTAAATAAATTGTGCCTACATGTATAAATAATGTGTCATTTATATTATTTAGTTTCTCTAAGAAGCGTAAATACAGCGATATTTATGTTCTGGAGCATAAAGGGTTAAAGAGTTCCTCACATCTGGAACTGGGCAGTGCAGAAGGGAAGTGAAAGTAAGTGCAGCAGAAATTATTTTCATAACAGCTGCGCTTGGGAAAGAAGGCCAGTGCGGACCCCTCACCACTCTTCAGAATGACTCCGCTCCTCTTTTTTGTTGTTTTTCTCCTTCGTCAACTTCCAGGTGAGATTTTATCATCTTTGTAAACTGTTCTGAGTTTCAGAAGCAGATACTGACTCTCAGCACTCTCAGCACAGTGTCCGGCAGGATTTTCTCCATCTGTATGCGCAGCTGAGAGTGAGCTCATTGCAGAAGTATTCAAAATAAGAAAACTGGGCCAGTAATAGAGATGAGTGTGCTTTTTTTTTTTTATCAGTGGTGATAATCTAGGGTTTGGAATTGATTAGTAGATCACTGACTAAACCCTGAGCGGTGTCTTTAGTGGGACGTTCAACAAAGCAAATTTGTGACTCATCTCCCCGGAGTGTCTTCAGAACCGTTTTCTTTACTTTGGTAGATGTTACAGCAAATCTCTTTTCTGAGAGCAATTTTTTAAAGGAAGAGATATAATGATTTTGTAAGAACTAGTTAAGAGGATTTTTTTTCAGTTTCTTTTGAAAAAATACAGCAATGACAAGTTTTACTAGTGATAATATAAGTTATGGACAGAAACAGAACTAAAATTTTGTAAGACAGTAAACTTATCACTAACAAAGTGTTGTGGGGGCAGTAGGACAGAGGGTAGAAGTGGCCTCCTTGCTGGTCGTAAAGTTATGTTGCTTCAGAGGGGCTGCAAAACAGTTCTGGACAACTTCTATAATATTGCCTGCCAAGAAGTGTTTGACGACTCTGTTATATTTTTGTGCTTAGTTATATCTGGCTCTTTTTTATTCTCAGCTATATGCTCTGTACTGTTTGTATTGGTGGCAAACCATGACTATTAGAGCTCAGCCTTCAATTCAGGCCATAAATGTTTATTTAAATGTAATATTTTTCAATTGTATGTAGTTTTAACAAAGGTCACAAGGATAACTAAATATATATGAACTGAAAGAATGGCACTGGCTTCGCATTAACTGTGTACGTATGTGATGAGACAGCACTCACACAAAATGTATTCAAAGATATCAAATCACCAAACTGCATTTTCACAGTATATCAATACCTACAACACTTGCTTTTGCCATATTAAAGGTTAATTTGCTAATACTTATAATTAAGATGTTTGAATAAAAAAAAATCATTTCAAAAGGTATCCAAACAGTGCAAGTATTTTAGCTATTTTCACACATTTTCAAATGTTTTTGATAAATATATTTACACACAATTATTTTGTACAGTATATTTCTATGTGTAATATTTCTCCATACATTTTAAAATAAATATATTTCAAAATATATTTTGTTAATATGGCAATATATTCTGATCCCTTACAAAAAAGTCCTGTGGCATGAGGACGGGGTTGCTGTGTGTTACTGCCACAAAAACAAAAATTACAACACAGGATTACCACAGCACTCCCTAGGGTAAAATACCACAACAATTCCCTCAAAAAATGGCCTGCTGTAATGTTAAGGTATTTATGTGGTATTACCAAAAGAATGTTTACTGAGATTTCATTGCTATAATTTAGTGTGTTTGTGATTTTTTTGGTAGATTGTTACAGAATTGTGTTTACAGAAGCAAACAAACAAATATTAAACTGTTTACCTTGCCTTAAATGTTTAAACTCTTTTCCTTACATCATTTAAGTTCATGATGGAAGAATTTTTCATTTATCTCCATTGGAAAATGTCACTGTCACTGTCAGTCACAACCTTGCCAATTTGCAGAAAACATGCCAAAACTAATATAACATTGCTCTTTGATCTTTTCTCAAGTTTACAATTGTAAACAGAGACAATAAGCTAGCAACCAAACTGAAAGAACTTTGAACTAATTGGAAATAAATCTACTCAGTAGCAAACCTTGTACTTCAGAGACCACTGACAACCAAGACTGAATGCAAAAACAAACGAATAAACAAACAAAAAAAACGCTTAATTAATTTTCCTCAATGTCTACATTTGTATTCACTTATTTTACTGCCCAAAGTTGGACCAAGAGGCCTTTAATTTGGACAACAAAAAAGGGACAAGTATTTTTATACTATATATAACTTAATAAATTATTATCTCCAGATACTTGCCTTAAAAACACAAACAATAGTCAATAAATGTATTTGAGCTGTGGCAGTATATAAACCTATATTTAAAAATGTTTAATAAATAGATTTTTGCTTAAATGTACAACTTCATTCTTTGAAATTATATTATAAGAACATCTCCTCTTCAGTGATATTCTATTTTAATAATTTGAAAAAGAAGGAGGGAAAAACAAACAAATGACTGGAAAGAGTTTTAGACCAATTAAAACATAGCATGGTTGAAGAAGGATTTGTCTGACTCCACCCCCTTGATTTTGCAGCATAAGCTCTTTCTAGCATTCAGTCTTACCTTTTAAAGCCAAATGTGACTATTCATAGCAGACTTTTTACTGACTTACTGTATCATTAATGGTTTTGTCATGTTTATTCATCAAGTGTAAAACCTTGTTCATGAGATTTTGCAACTGCTTACTGGATGAAGAAGAATGGCGACTTTACAAGCTGTAGCTGTTTCACAGAGACTCTTTCACTAGAGAGGCTTCTGAGCTGCTGCTGCTGTTTTCCATTTCTAACATCCCATTGATTCAGCCTCTGCTCGTATTCACATTCAGTAACTGTTTCTGCCTATTGGCGATCATACTGTGATTGGTTGATTCCTCTGTTGATTTTTCTGTTATATAATCGAATGTCTTAGGCCTCCTTTTCAGTGCTAGCCAAAAGGAGAGCAAGCTTAGCCAAATCTCCCAAAATATAATTCCTGACTGGCCAATTTTTTCTGCTGGGCATTTCACAAGTTTAGCTTTTTTGTTTCCACACAAAACTTAACAGTGAAAGGAGAGAAGTACTGTAATACTTACAAGGTTTAAATATAAGCAATGATTCTATTGACTAAATTTACAGAGATGTATTTTTTAGTTCTCAGAAATCATTAGGCCCAAGGGGTCCCCTCTGTTATGTGTACAGCCATTAATGTTTTAGTAATGAAAAGTTAATAATGAAAAGATGAAATAAGTGAAAAGAAATAAGTTCTGCAAAAAGTGACCTCTGACTCTTCTCTAATTTATCAATAAATTATTTTTGATTATTATTTTCAAAGCCATCAAAAAGGGCAGGTCCTGCACAGCCACAGTACTGGGAATAAAAATAACCCAGGACCAGGAAGAATGGACAGGATGTGATAGTGCTCAGCTTTTTTTTGAGGAAAAGGAAACAAGAATGCTGACAATGACCAGCTGCCTGTCATATTCACTCTTACTAATCCAATGATAGTGGGCTATCTTCTTCAGCAGTGGTTCCCAGTCCTGGTCCTGGAATTCCACTATTTTAGTGTTGTCCCTGCTCTAACATACACTATATTGCCAACAGTACACACTCATCCATCCAAATCATTGAATTCAGGTGTTCCAATCACTTCTATTCCCACAGGTGTATAAAACCAAGCACCTAGGCATGCAGACTGCTTCTACAAACACTTGTGAAAGAATGGGTCGCTCTCAGGAGTTCAGTGAATTCCAGCGTGGTACCGTGATAGGATACCACCTGTGCAACAAGTCCAGTCGTGAATGCTGAGGCGCATAGTGCGCAGAGGTCGCCAACTTTCTGCAGAGTCAATCGCTACAGACCTCCAAACTTCATGTGGCCTTCAGATTAGCTCAAGAACAGCATAGAGAGCATCATGGAATGGGTTTCCATGGCCGAGCAGCTGCATCCAAGCCTTGCATCACCAAGCGCAATGCAAAGCGTTGAATGCGGTGGTGTAAAGCGCCGCCACTGGACTCTAGAGCAGTGGAGACGTGTTCTCTGGAGTGACGAATCACGCTTCTCCGTCTGGCAATCCGATGGGCAAGCCTGGGTTTGCCGGTTGCCAGGAGAACGGTTCTTGTTTTTCAGGAGTTGGGCTCGGCCCCTTAGTTCCAGTGAAAGGAACTTCTAATGCTTCAGCAGACCAAGAGATTTTGGACAATTTCATGCTCCCAACTTTGTGTGAACATTTTGGGGATGGCCCCTTCCTGTTCCAACATGACTGTGCACCAGTGCACAAAGCAAGGTCCATAAAGACATGGATGAGCGAGTTTGGTGTGGAAGAACTTGACTGGCCTGCACAGAGTCCTGACCTCAACCCGACACCTTTGGGATGAATTTGGGATGAATTAGAGTGGAGACTGCGAATTAGGTCTTCTCGCCAACATCAGTGTCTGACCTCACAAATGCGCTTCTGGAAGAATGGTCAAACATTCCCATAAACACACTCCTAAACCTTGTGGAAAGCCTTTCCAGAAGAGTTGAAGCTGTTGTAGCTGCAAAGGGTGGGCTGACATCATATTAAACCCTATGGATTAGGAATGGGATGTCACTCAAGTTCATATGCATGTGAAGGCAGACGAGTGAATACTTTTGGCAATATAGTGTACCTAAATCAACTCAAGAAGGGCTTGTCCAGGTCCAGGACATTTTAGAGTTTCCACAACTCCCAGCACACTCGATACAATTAGTGACATAATCAACAAGCACATCTGGAGTAAAAACTAGGGGTCTCGGAACAAGGAAAACATGCTGTGGCAGGGCAGTGGCACTCCAGGATCAGGGCTGAGAAACACTATACTAAAAATTACTTTTAGAATTCATGTTACTTTTGAGAACCATACAGTACCACAATGTAATAGCTCAACTGAAAAGGTCATAAAATGGCAAACTTGACTAGCATTGCTATATTTCCAGTTATGACCGAACAACAAACCTTAAATGGTTACTTTGTTAAGTCATTGATGCTATAATGGTTCAAAAGTAACCACTTAACAAAGTCTGCACATTTTAACTTAGCACTCATTTTAAAACAAGACCACCTGCTTTTTAAAGTCCCTATGTTTCAGAAACTAAGGTTGTCTTCAAAAATCCTCACATACCTATTTCCCAAAAATAGAAAGTAGATTCAATACACCAAAGATGGTATACTACTATGGCCAAATGTTCCATTATGCAGCCAGAACTGTCTTCGTGATCTTCGTGTTCACAATAGCACAGTCATTTCAGAAGCATGTGACATGGACTTAACCACCTGGTGGTCCTGTGAGCCTGTAGGATAGTACACACATGATGGTGATTATTGCATACAGTGTACTATACTGTGTATTACTATGAGGATAAGTATACAGTTGCTGATTCAGTATATGCAATTTGCTGATTCAGTCGTATGCAAAAGTATGAACACCCCTGGTCAAATTACATGCTTTGTTGTTTTCTAAGTGAAAGTTGACACATCCTCTGCAAAGAACAAACTTAAATATGACATTTTCCTGCAAAGTTTAGTGCACAATTAGTATTTATTTCCTGAGTTAAGCATATGGGGCAATATCAAACAAAAAATATACAATATGCCATAACCCTTGCACAGGCCAAATTTAATTTTAGAACTCAACAAAACGTATGTGACCAGGGGTACCAAAACTTTTGCAAATGACTGTACTGGTACAGTGTGCAGGATACAATAAATAGTGGTACAGTATTTAGTATACAGTATATACTGTGACAATGTTCAGTATACATTATATACAGTGTACAGTACATGCTGGTACAATATGCATGATTCAGTATATACTGGTACAATGTCCAGTATACAGTGTTTACTGGCACAGTGTTCAGTGTACAGTATATACTTGAACACTGTTCAGTATATAGTATACTGAACATTATTCCAGTATGCAGTATACTGTATATAGAGGTGCAGTATGCAGTATACTATATACTGGTACAGTACATACTACATGCACACTATGTAACACTGACATTTCCTGAAAGTATTGTGCAAAGCTGAGATGGTCAGCCTTCTAAAATTTTGAATGGATTGACTGTCTATTTCTCACTATAGGCGCTCTATGCACTGTGACCACAGTCGGAGACCTGACAGTGTTAGAGGGTCAGTCAGTGACTGTTCCCTGCCATTACAACCCTCAGTACACCCACAATGTGAAGTACTGGTGTCACGGCTCTATGAGAGAGTTCTGTAGCAGCCTGGCCCGTACAGATGACCCGGAGTCCACTCCATTCGGGAGGGGCAGAGTGACGATCGCTGATGACCCGGCCCAGTATGTGTTTGCGGTAACTATGCGGGACCTAAAGGAGGCTGACTCAGGCTGGTACTGGTGTGGGGTTGAAGTTGGGAGCATGTGGAGTGTGGACAGCACTGCATCCCTTTATATTAATGTCATACATGGTGAGTGGGTAAAACTGTTCATCAAAGTACATTCACTATATTCAATATCAAGTATTATAAATGAAAGCAATTCATGGGGCGCTACATAGCCGCTTAGTTTTGTACATCACAAATACGCTTAAACCTATCATGGTCTCATACGCTAAAATATGCTAATGAGATGATTATAGCACGGCAACAGGAAACTTACAGTCACAGAACATATCTGCACTAATGCCGCTAAATTGTTTGAGATAAGAATATAGTTAGCTGCTAAACAAGAAAAATGGCAGAGATAGTTAAATGTCTGTTAACTACATCTAAAATATCGAATAAATCAAATGTGGTGTGTAGAGCTGCTGTAGTAGCAGGTAGCAGTAGCATAGTATGCTACAGCTTCACATAACACAAGTTTGATTCTGTCTCACTGAAGCTCCAATAATGCAAATTTACGGATTATCAACTCAAACGTGTTCGCGTTTTTGCTTAGCACCAGAGGCTAGCGTTAGCTTAGCCAAAAAAGCTTTACACACAACACAGATTTGATTTCAGCTCACATTGATGCAAATTCATAAAGTATAAAGGCTCAAAACTGAGCGACTAAAGTCAAGTGACTGGTGTTAGAGTGACAGAAAGACAAATGCTAACCTGTTGTGTGGTAAAACTGTTTAGGTCATGAGGGCATTTACAAGCAATCTCACGTGAATAAAGACGTGTAATGTTGTGCAGTTTTGTGTTTTATCAGGTATGTCTGTAGAGACCAGCATGGTGAGTGGAGAGGAGGGCAGCAGTGTCAGTGTTAAGTGCCTCTACAGCGAGAGACACAGGTACTGTACCAAAATAGTTGCCAACTTTACTGTAGCTAATGTTTCATAAGTAAACATGCATGCTATACATTTCGGTCCAATTCTAGAGGACCCCAACAAGTCTCCATTTTTGTTCCATCCCAACACACTTGAGCCTGGTCAGAGAGCTGCAGGCCTTGGTTACCTGGCTCATGTGTATTAGGAGCTAAAGCAGGGGTTCCCAATCCCAGTTCTGGAGACCCCATGCTCTGCAACCTTTTTGTTTTCCCAACTCTACACACCTGCCCCAGACCACCAGGAGCTTGTTAATTAGTTAAAGAATTGATTCAGTTCTGCTAGAGAAGACAACGCCCAAAAATGTGCATAGTGTGGGATCACCAGAACCTGGATTGGGAACCCATGAGCTAGAGAAACAGGAGGAAAATGCACAATAACTGTCCACTTAATTAGAAAGGCCCTATTATTTCCACTCATTGGTCCCTTTACAAGGCCTTCCTACCTTCTAGGTCCATTATATAGGTGTACAGTTACAGACTGTGGCCCATCTGTTGCTGCACAATTTGTCAGCTGACCTCTTGCCTGTTTCTCTTTGGCTACAGGACCGGCCAGATATAATTTGGAATGTGACCCATTCTTAGTGCCACATTAGCAATGTTCCAAAAGCTAGGCAGCAGCCAAGAAAAGTGGGTCCTCAGTAGGACTGTCCTATAAAGGCTCCTTGTTTATATGACAAAATACTAAAGGTCTACTAAGGCTATTATACTACTGGTGACAATTTCAACATGTTTAATTTGCTGACATTTCTTCTTTCTACGGGTCAGTAGGAAGACTGTGAAGGATACTCTGCTAGCATCCTTGAAAATTATATATGTACTCAAAGGATGCTTCTGATTGGAACAGCCTGCAGCCCACCTAGGCTGCAGCCTAGGTTTTGGAACACTGCTAGCGATATTGACATTGTAGTGGCTAATGAGTATCAGCTACAGCAGTGCTGCTGGGGTTTTTACACATCATTGTCACTTCTGGACTGAGAGTATTCCACCACCCTAAAAACATCCAGCTAAGAGCTAGAGGATGGCTAACACTATGGATGGCTAATAGTTTCTAACTCTACACTAGCAAGTGGACATCTATAAGGTAGGGATTTCCAATGTAATGAGTGTAAAGCCTTCTTCAGGAAATGTCCCTCTGTGTTGTTTTACATTAGAGAGAGTGAGAAGAGGTGGTGTAGGAGTGGCCACTTAAGCTCCTGCAAGGTGACGGACTTTAATGGAACATTCAGCAGTAGATCTTTGCTCATCAGTGATGATAAGAAGGACACTGTTACTGTAACGATGAAGAATCTGGAGATGCGAGATGCAGGATGGTACTGGTGTGGAGCTGGCCAGCACCAAGCCACTGTTCATGTGTTAGTCACACCAAGACCAACAACAAGTACGTGTCCATTATTAGCAAAGCATTATCATTAGCCTGTTATTAGAAAAGCATTAGCATAACAGAAAGAATAAATCCTTCTAATACTTATGTTATTTTGTGTCAAGACAAAGGCTTGTAGCAAAGATGAGATTTAGTTGAAATGTTAGATTAGTTAATGAAGAAACTGAAGTTATATCCAGGTATTATTTGAATGTGTAGCATACATAGTATATCTGATAAATATACATAGTATATGTGATGCTTAGAATTCAATTTTATATATATTTTAAAATAATAATCTTCAGCATTCATGGACCTATAAGCACTCTTGCAATAATCTGTGTCAACTCTGTTTCCAACAGCACCCTCAGTCACAACAATGGTCAGCTTAACAACACAGCATCCTTCTGTAGTGAAGGCTCAGGACTCCAAAAGGTGACCGAACCTGCTCTCTCTCTCTTATTTTAACTCAGTCCAGTGTGCTGAGGGCAAGTGTCCTTCTTCATACCACTGTTGTTGCATGCTTGAACAGACTACTTACCCGAGCTGTTCATTAAGGCCTTTAACAATTTGCATTCTCACCCAAATCTTTTTTTCATAAATACATTCCCTAAACATCTTTCAGCTTGCTCAAACCACATCCATCCCTTTATTAAGGGTATGCAGTCTTGCCGATGTGGTTTAGAGGGCACTGTAAAAGAACAGAAAAAAAAGTATCCAAATAAACCACAATGGTCAATTTGAGAAAAGGTTAAGTGAGTGTGAATAAACCATACATATACTTTTAACACTGCTGTTGATATTTTACAGAAATAGAATGTAAATTCAGAAAAAATAAATTATCACCTTTATTTCAAAGGTGATTTTCTCCTTTATTTATATTAATAGCTGTTATTGTTATTAATAGTATGGTAAAATACTGTATGTCAGAAAAACTAGATGAACTAGTGTTGAATTACAGTAAAAGGCTGTATTTCTAAGAAATTTAATGACTAATTTTACAGATTTTTGCCATCATTTAGAAAACATACTTTTACTGTAAATTAATAGGTTTTGTCTGGCACCCCTGCTGCCTTTGTCATAAGACTGTACAAATGCCCTGTCGTAGGTGTGTATAAAAATCGTATTTTATATTGCCTCTGCCATTCTTCAAGATTGCTCTGGGAATAGAGTATTTGATCTGGCTTGGAAAGAAGCATGTGTTGGTTGATCGACTACATCTGGGATAATTAGATTTTTCACAGTGCCATTTGTTTAAGCTCACTCATTTGCACAACACCATTAATCGCATTCTAATTCTATTGCAATGTCAGAACAATGTTGTGGGTTATGAGCGCTGAACTGCAGTATAGATATTGATCTACTGTATGCAGAAAATGTATTCTTCCTGTATTGTTTCAGTAACCTGTTTTGGAAGACTGTCCTGACGGGATGTGGAGCACTGCTGCTGTTACTGATGACAGTCTTGGTACTATGGAGGATACGGGAGCAATGTAGTAAGTTCCTTCATTTTCAGTTCACACCAGTTATAAAAAGTTTTCTGGAGAGGAAGGTCACTCTTCACATGTCAACTTTTAAGACATTTTATATAGTGATCTTACAATGCAATCCCAAGCCCATGGTGCAGGGGGCTTGCAGCAACAAGTACTGACTTATACTTAATGGATGTTTTTTTGGAAAGTAAATAAATGACAGGTGGTTTCTGACTTACACAGTATTGTATGTCACCAGTTAGCATCAACACAGACACCCTAGATGTTTATTTATCTCCCTTATTTTTCATAAAGCATTTTGTGAATATCACAATGTGGTATTATGTTCTTTATTTGTTATTGTTTCATTTTGCAGAGAAGGAACCTAAGAAAAGAGGAGTGAATGAAACAATGGCTAAGCTCATGGTCTGTTCCTTACGCTACTATGTTCTTAAATTGTCTTGAAATGCTGTTTTAAATTTGTTAAGGGTTGGAACTGCTGAGATGCTGACGTTCTTTTCTAAATTCCAGGTGTGTCCGGTGAATGGCAGGGATGGAGAGAACACTTCACTCATTTTCCTGAACAATTCAGCAGGTCCAGATGCTCTGTCCAAAAACACATGGGTTCTAAAAGGGCCTGGAAAAAAGAGATGGGAGGATGACAGTGGAAGGAATACTGTGGAGAATGTTTATTAGATATCTTTTCAAAGTTACATCAGAGTTTAAATTCGCTAATTTGTGGTGTAGCTGACTTCGGACAGACACATAATACAGTTACCACTAGGGGTGGGAGATGCTGTAAAAATTTAACATTGCAATGATTGAAGACACCTTCATCAGTCAAAAGACAGTAATGCTAACAGCAGTGCTAAATAAATACTGAAAAAAACAAACAATTAAAGTAAAAAATAAATTAGATAACGACATTATGCACTAATATCAAATCAGCTCATTGTTACTACACTCTTAAAAAAATAAAGGCTCCTAAAAAGGTTCTTGATGTGGACGTATTGCTCTAGAAGAATCCTTTAATTGGTATAAAACCTTCACCTATACATAAACTATACATACACCTATAAAAAGGTTCTTCACACTTGCACATCTCATTTATGAAAGTAATTCTTTAAAGAACCATCCACTGAAAGGTTCTTTAGAGAACCAAAAGTAGTTTTTCTATTGCATCACTCCAAAGTGACCGATGTTCTGCAAATACTGATGTGTTTCATGAAGTAATTTGTCCTGATAACAATTGGATATCACCTACCCCTAGTTATAACATATGCCTGATAGTTCTTTCATGAACTATGCACCTGATTCTATAAGGAGAACTTTTTGAGGAGTATAGGTGAAATAGAACCATTTTTCCAGAATACTTATGGATAGTGCATAGTTACAGATTAGACTTTGGTGTGACATTTTAGTGCCTTTTTTGTAGACCATGCTCTTCTTCTGGTCTTCTGATCAGAAATTTGTTTAAAAATTGTGTGGAAAATTCCAGATTGTTAATGTGAGGGCTTTAGACTCCGTAGCTTTTCTTACAGCTTCACTTGTATGAAATCCAAGTACTTTCAGTTCTCCATGAGATCAGAATGAGTGCTCAGTTTGTTTGAGTGTTTGTATGGACTTTATGAGAAGGGTATTGCCATTCATCTGTCTAGCGCATAATCAGATGCTTCAGGATCCATATTCATTTAACAATATTGTAATGATGTGTCTGTTGGTTTACCTATTATTGGCCTAATTCTTCAATAAAATCTGTAAAAAAATCCATTGAAATCACTCCTCAGTCCTTACGTTCTTTTCTAATGAAGTATTGATTCTCCAACCATGCATACATGCATATTAGGGTACTATGAGAGGCAGTGTATATACATGCAGTCATTATATTGCTACTGTAGGAACAAAACCTTGTATCTCCAAAATGGTAACTTTACAGGAAAAGAAAAAACCTACTTTACTTTTAATATAAGTCTATGGAACCAGACAAGTCATTTTGGGACTTTTGTCATGAAATTTACACACAATGTTAAAGACAACAGGTATATTCAAAGTATGCCAAAAACTAAAAAAATAAAAGGAGATACAAGGTTTTATTCCGAGAGCAGTGATGCAATCCTTCATCTTTTCTGCTGGTGAATAGTGGCTCAGCTTGGTCACTTTGAAAATCTTATGCAGCAAGCGAGCTGCCACATCCTGTAGATTTTTTTTCCTGGAGAAAAAAATCATTTAAATTTGACTGATTCATCAAGAAATGATTCCATGAATCATAAAATTTCACCATGACTAATTTGATTGTTTTGGTACATTTGTATAAACCCCAAAATTAATTAATTGACTTGACAATTAATTAAATTAATTAATTGAAACATACAATTTTAAATGTACTATAACTTGATGATTAGGCCCAAACCGACACACCTACGGACTCCTCTACTTAAGGCTGTGGCAAACAGCAGCCCTTTGTCACACCTTTGTAGAGGGGTGACTGGTACGTTACGTAGCCCAGGTGGGTATTTAAGTGAAAAGAAAGGAAAGAAAAGAGGGCTGGAAAAAACAAAGAGAGTGATTGCCCCAAAATTACTCAAGGCTCGAGCTACAAACTGCTCCAAGCAATAAAAAAGGTGTTTGCTTCACCAAGAGCAAACAAGTGAAACATAAAGTCTACCTTCCCTTCATACTTACAGTGGAAGTGTATTTTGTTTTCTCATTATCTTTTATTTCACCTTTCTAGTTCAGCCTTTGTTTGAGCACGCTGCTTTCAGTGTTTCTTTTGTTTGCCACTTTCCTGCCTTTTTATTTCCCCTTCCTTGAGGTGCTTTACCTGAGCCAGGTCTGGGTCACCTCAACTGCAACGTGCCAAACTCGCACTCCATTGCCCCACTAAATTTATTTAAAACACTTCCTCACTGGTTTTCATTTCTGCATTTGGGTCCGCCTCCCTGCCATCCCGTAACATACATAGTATTTAATATTACTTAATATTACTTGCTTTTCTTTTTTGGTTGCTGGTCATAGACAGTGAACCCCACATTTCCCAAAATATTTACAATGTCAAATTAGTCCTCTGTGAGTTTCTCAACTTGATAATTGTCACCTTTTGAGCATTGCCATCAGGTGACTTGTCACTCATTGTTGATATCAGATTACATGTCCCTATCGCCCAGGCCTAGTGTGCATTTATATCATGGAGATTTAAATAAATGTTGTTTGTTCCAGTTGTCTAAATAAAGATTTTTTAAAGGTTGTTTTATTATTACCAAAGTAATCCATTAAAGTAAACACAGTGCTTAGTGTCAAATGAGCTGAGAACCAGCTAATATACGATATATTCCATTCTACCACATCCAGACTTAAAATTATCATAAGGAAACTCTGAATACTGATAACAAACACTGATAAAATCATTAATTGAAAACCTACAAAGTACAACTGTATGGTAGTTGTTTCTGACAAAATGGCCAATGAGTGGAGTTTACAAGGTATGTTTACTTTAAGTGTACACTGAACTGAAAGTAGGTCTATTCACATCCAAAGTCGTCAGCATAAGTGAAACTAACAAAGAAAATTAACTTCTTTTTTCTAGTGAAGTGCTTTGTTCTTGTTCATATGCTCTGTGACATACAGAAAGATAAACAGTTAACAAAAAGATCAAAATGTTACTGTTACTGCTATAATGACAAGATAAGCTGACGACGTAACCCTGCAAACACGCCCATGTGGGTCCAGTGTTGGGCCACTGTGGGCTAAAAATTGAGCCCACCGCAGGCTGCCTTGTAGCAGGGACCCAGTCATTTATGAAACTGTGGGCACATGCGGACCCCAGCTTCAGCACCCCAAGGTTGCAGCCCACCATAAGCCGATTATGAGGGCTTAGTGTGAGTTGCCAGAATTGGGACCTAACATGTGGCACCGCATGTGACCCTGAATTCACGACTGACTGGAGCCTCATGTTGGGAAGCCCACAATAAGCCCTGTATTCTGTCCTCCATAGTCAAAAGCAGTGGGCGCTCTAGAGTGAGGGGGCAGTGGCTGGGTCAGATTGTGTCTGAGGGCCTGAGTGAAGTCTTCAGTTCATTAGTTAATTGGTCAGTCTTTTATCAGTTCATCTCTTATGCTGTCAGTCCATAAAGGAACACATCCTCTCCATCATGATTTTGTGACCTGACGCTAAAATTAGCTAACAGGAGCTGGCTCTGCTGCTACAGTCATAATATCACCAACGTAAAAGACACTGAGGAAGCAAGAAAAGCTACATCTTATTCAACATAAGACCGAGTCTTATGGACTACCTTTTGATGTTCATTTTCTTTATTCCCAGTAAGTAGACTTTCTATGTACGTTACTTTTTACATTCATGATTAAAGTAAACAAATTATACATCAACTACTGGACACTAAAGTCTTAAAGTAATGTTCCAACCATTAGGAACTAGCATAACTAGCAAACATAAGAAAATGGTATTTGCACAAAACAATGTTTGGCCCGGTGTCTCTACAGGCATTGACAGCTGGAGCTGGTCATCAAGGCAGTTATCTCTTCAAACTAAAGGAACAGTCACCATCCCTTGTCATTATAACATGAAATATATTCATCATAAGAAATACTGGTGCTATGATACTAAAGCAGCATTTAATTATTGTAAGATTCTGGCTTATGAAAGTACCACAAAAGATAGAGTAACAGTGACTGATTACCCAGCTCAGAGTCTCTTTACTGTGACTATGAGAGATCTGCAGAGTGGAGACACTGGAATGTACTGGTGTGCTGTGGAGATCGGAGGAAAATCTAAGACAGATGTGAAAAGACATTTATATCACAGTGAAATCAGGTATTAGATTATAAATCCACATACCAACTATTTATCACTGAATTGTGTGGTGTTTCTTTGATCACATTTTATCCTGGTGTCATTCCTGATCTGTCTGTCTTTGTGTCCAATTCCTGATCTATCTGTGGTGGAGAGCAGTGTGAGTGGTCAGGAAGGGGGCAGTGTCAGTGTCCAGTGTCTCTACAGAGCTGGATATCAGAATGAACAGAAGCAGTGGTGCAGATCTAAAGACTGGATGTGCTACACAGTGGGGAGGGCTGACACATCCCAGAATTCAGCAGTACAGATCAGTGATGATGGGAGAAGATCCTTCAGTGTGGAGATGAGTGGACTGCAGAAGAGTGATGCTGGCTGGTACTGGTGTAAAACTGGAGATCTGCAGGTTCCTGTTCACCTCAGTGTCAGTGATGCTCCTCCAGGTATGATCACAAACACTGATATTTGATTTCATTAATTGAATAAATTAACACAGTTGTAATGTAACATGTAACATTTAAGAAACAGTAAAGTGTTTCTGGTCAAGAAATGGGCCTGTTACACTGTTTAGAACACTCATTCATTAGCATGTAGATTCATGTTTCTCGAATCAGCTCGTTCACTTCTCAGACACAAGAGGAAACTCACTCTGCTCTGTAATCAGACCATTTGCCCTATTACACCCAATTATTTTGCGCTCATCTCAGCCATTCACTTTTAATAGAAGTGTTGTTTGCCAGACAGGCACAGTGATTAGCCGCAAAAGCTAAGATTTATTTAACTTTTACTCTGCACTTCACTGACCTTCAAATGCGCAGCCACTGTTGGTAGGTTATTGTCCATCAGCTCATCGCAGACCACAACCTGACACTCTTTCTCTGACTGCCTTGGATTATATTTGTATGTATATATATAAAAGTCTATGTTTAAAAAAAACAACAACTTCTGATTCTGTAAAAATAATTAGAATAATTACCAGAGAAATATATGTCCAGTAAAGAAAATCAAAATGGGATAAATTGCTTTTGGATTTTAATAAGGATTTTGTAAGGATATTTATGCTTCACTTGTACAATACAGGTATCAGTGAATTTATACAGTTTGAGGGCTTTAAATTCAAGTGTCGCTAGAGAATGACACCTCATGTCTACAATGAAAATATATACATTTTATGTACTATAAACATGTCTACTTTTGTGTCTTCTGAGTTTTTATATGTAATATTGATGCCAAAATAGTAGCAAATCTGAAAAAAAGTTTACTTACTACGTCAAAACAAAGTTTTGGGTCCAAATGTCATCATTCTAAGATTGGTTTAGAGTGACCACAGACAGAAAACTTATGTAAAGAGTGTTGTGCTACAACCAACTCTTTGTGAGTGTCTAAATTTTACTGTCTTTCACATTTGCTCAATGTTTAGTCATTTGCTTTCCCAGCAGGTGGTGTCTTAGCAACCACGTAGAAATTCCTTAGATATTTCTAACATTTTTTTCCAAAAAAAAGTTGCAATTTATATTCTTCATTTCTTATGTTGTTAACAGCTGTGATGGCAAAAACTAAGAAAATTGACACCACTAAGAACTTTTCAAGTACGTCTTTATGACCACATCACTGCTCTTTGATCAACAAATCATATCAGAGAAAGAAATTATGTACGTTTACGTTCTACAACAGTAACAGTCAGAGTCTGTTGCTTCATTGCAGCTGGATAAAACATATACAGTACTGTGCAGTTTGGAATTAATTTTTTTAGTTATGGGCTCACATAGGTTGCTCCATTGAAGCTGGATAAATATGATGAAAATATATAAATTGAAGAAAGTGATGCACCGAATTTCATTGAAGTGAAATAAATAATGAACTTCACTGAAATATATACATAATTTCCTCATGATTCACTGAATCATTGAAAAAGTAAGCAAACTGAAAATATACTTGGGTCAGTATAATATGCTGTAGTCATGTGGAAATGATGTACAAACTTTTATTGAGTAAGTTCAATGCATTACGTTTTACTGTGTTATCATAAGTTTCAAATTTTTTAATTCTTTGCCACAGTTTGGACCACAGCAGCAACATCACGTTCTGGGACTGAGAAACTCATGTGAGTACAAAAACCACATTAATACACAAAGCTGAATGAGAAAGTTCAGTGTCGGCCTGTTGTCTTAGCAGATGTTAGTGTAGGTTGTTGACCTCTATGGCTTTGCCTTCTTAGTTGTGTGTGATTGAATATTAAAGTGATGGTGGAGAACTCTCAAAATCTTAATGGACGTTAATTAAGCCTTTACCATGCTATTTAGACAGCTGTATTCTACAGTAATATGTAAAGAAAATAAAGTGCATTAGTGGTATCACACTTAGACACAGAAGCACACTGCTGAGACAGTGTTGCTCACAACAGAACTTCCTTTCATCTTCTTTGAATTTGCACAAAAGCATTTACACTTCAGGTGCAACAGCAGATGTGAACAGAGATAAACCTTGTAGAAGCATCAATTCATGAAATGAATTCATGACATGATATCTCTATCTTTGTCTTTATATACAGTGTGATTTGTTCCTGCTGTGTTTCAGAGAGCCAGTGCAGTTCTGTGTTGCACAAAACTGAATGATTCTACACATGCTGTGATCCCGGAGGTGTAAGAAGAGTCTGATACTCTCAAAATAATCAGCTCTCCTTCGAAATTCTATACAAGTTACTTCTTGTAACCTTTATGATTTTGCATTTAGTAACTTTAGTAACCTGCCCTTCACACAATCCAGCTCCAAATGCTGATTATCATATTACTTGTTTTCTGTCATTTTATTTATTGTGTCAGAGTCATTACTTTTGTTTTGGTATACTATTGAAAAATAATGACATTTCGCTATTTTTTAACTCATTCAGTACATCACATTGACATTTAATTTATATTTAGTATCAACAGATTTGATTTTGCACTGTCAAAAAATGACAAACATGACAAACATCAAAAAACGTAAAAGATGTTTTGTCTTTCTGCAAAATAAGACTATGATCAACAATTTTACAAGATTTTTAAAGTCTTTATTCCTGTTATTACCAAAGTATTGAAGCAACCCATGGTGGTTACACTCCACAAACTAGGAATATTCCACCACATCAGCACTTAAAACAACTGTATGTCATACACGTATACCGGAAATGCAACATTAAATTGAAACATTGAAGAAAAGAACGAAAATAAAGCTGTCCAAAAACACACAGTGCTCTCAACATCAACGCAATGACTTAGTTAAAACCAAAATATTGAAATCATGTTTAACAACTGTTTTAAAGGTACACTACATTCACTTTCCCAGAGGAAGTGTGTTTTTTGTAGCATTTCATCACAATGTTTCAAAATAGAAAAAAAATGGCGCCAGAACAGGGGATATGGAGTCAGTGTAACGTACAAAATATATAATTGCAATGTTTTACTTTCTCCTCTCTCTCTTTCTCTCTTACTGAATTATACAACACTTTACTGTAATTTATGACTGTAAAATTACTGCTATTGTTAACAGTGTAGTCAAAAGCAGTGCTCACTCTAGAGTGATGGGGCAGTAGCTGGGTCAGACTATGTCTGAGGGCCTGAGTGAAGTCTTCAGCTCATGAGTTATTTGGTCAGTCTCTTATCAGTAAAGTAAGACACGCTCTGTCATTTTGTGGCCTGATTGGTAGATTTAGCTAACAGGAACTGGCTCTGCTGCTATAGACACAGAGTCACCAACACAACAGACACAGAGGAAGCAAGAAAAGCTACATCTTATTCGACATAAGAACAGAGTCTAACATGGACTGCCTTTTGATGTTCATTTTCTTTATTCACAGTAAGTCGACTTATGTTACCTTTTACATTCATGAGCAAAATAAACTATTTATACATCACCTAATAGACAGTAAAGCTTTACAGTGATGTACTGATCCTAAAGAATCTTTAATGCAACTAGTGAAAATAATACAATAGTATGTGCAGAAAGTAACATTTGGTCTAATGTCTCTACAGGCATTGAGTGCAGGAGGTGGTCAGAAAGGCAGTTATCTCTTCAAACTGGAGGAACGGTTACCATCCCATGTCATTATGATATGAAATATATACAACATAAGAAATACTGGTGCTATAATGCTGGGGGAGCCTTCAATTACTGCAAGATTCTGGCATTTGGAAGTACTACACAAGATAGAGTAACAGTGACTGATTACCCAGCTCAGAGTCTCTTTACTGTGACTATGAGAGATCTGCAGAGTGGAGACACTGGAATGTACTGGTGTGCTGTGGAGATCGGCGGGATAACTGAGCTAGATGATAAAAAAGACTTTTACATCACAGTGAAATCAGGTGTTATATCATACAGTATGTTAGTGAATGTTTGTTTATCATTAAATTGTGTGGTGTTTCTTTGATTATATTTCATCTTGGCATCATTACAGAATTGTTTGCCTTTGTGTCCAGTTCCTGATCTATCTGTAGTGGAGAGCAGTGTGAGTGGTCAGGAAGGGGGCAGTGTCAGTGTCCAGTGTCTCTACAGAGCTGGATATCAGAATGAACAGAAGCAGTGGTGCAGATCTAAAGACTGGAGCTGCTACACAGTGGGGAGGGCTGACACATCCCAGAATTCAGCAGTGCAGATCAGTGATGATGGGAGAAGATCCTTCAGTGTGGAGATGAGTGGACTGCAGAAGAGTGATGCTGGCTGGTACTGGTGTTATATTGGAGATCTAGAGGTTCCTGTTCATCTCAGTGTCAGTGATGCTCCTCCAGGTACGATCACAAACACTGGTGTTTGATTTCTTGAACTGAATAAGTGAACACTGCTTAACATATCAATAACATAACAAATAACATACATTTACATTTTTTACATTTACAAGTGTTAAAATGTAAATATATTAGTTTTAAAGGTAGAAGAGCATGCTTTGAATACTCACTGATGTTTCCAAACAAGCACTCTATGCAGAGTTGCTAGATTTCAGCCATGTCAAAACCAGACAGGCATTGCTAGGGGAGAGGGACATGTTTTAAAACAGTTCCATAATTATCTGGTTTATTTAGTTTGTATTAACATTTTTCTTCATACTTGGAGAAAATGCAAAGATGCTACATGATCGTCAGAGGTTACACTCATTAAGTTCTGTAAAAAATACATTTTCCAGGCTACTGTTTGTTCTGCCACCATGTAAACACAAATAAAACCACAAGAAAACAACCCACAGTTTATTTGATGTCCCTTTTGTAGGCTGTCAGATACCTCAGATAAAGATACATATTTAACTGCTTTTTGAAACTAACTACAATTGAGTAACAAAGCGTTTATCCTGTATCCTGTTTATCCTGTTTTATCCTTTATCCCATTAATGCAGCCACCTTTGTCATTGTGCCTACACACAGGCTGTGTCTCAGTCCACATACTACAGTGCTAAATAGTATGCCCAAAGGAGCACAGGGACAACTGATGGTGTCCTAATTTAAGGTGATATTTAGTGTAGAATGTAGTTTTACACACAGCTGCAGAACACAGTCACCCTGCAACTGAAAATCTCCCCACAGTAGAGAGCGAGAGACAGAGAGAGTGAGTGAGAGAGACAGAGATTAAAGAGTAAAAAGCAGAGACAGAGAGAGATAGAGAGAGACAGAGATAGAGAGAGACAGAGATAGAGAGAGACAGAGACAGACAGAGAGAGACTGAGACAGACATAGAGAGACAGAGAAAGAGAGAGACAGAGACAGACAGAGAGAGAGAGAGAGACAGACAGAGAGAGAGACAGACAGAGAGAGAGACAGAGAGAGACAGAGAGAGAGAGAGACAGAGAGAGAGACAGAGGCAGACAGAGAGAGAGAGAGAGAGCGAGAGAGAGACAGAGAGAGAGAGCGAGAGAGAGACAGAGAGAGAGAGCGCGAGAGAGAGACAGAGATAGAGAGAGACAGAGACAGACAGACAGACAGAGACAGAGAGAGACAGTGACAGACAGAGAGAGACTGAGACAGACATAGAGAGACAGAGAAAGAGAGAGACAGAGACAGACAGAGAGAGAGAGAGAGACAGACAGAGAGAGAGACAGAGAGAGAGAGAGACAGACAGAGAGAGAGACAGAGAGAGAGAGAGACAGAGAGAGAGACAGAGGCAGACAGAGAGAGAGAGAGACAGCGAGAGAGCGAGAGAGAGACAGAGAGAGAGAGCGAGAGAGAGACAGAGAGAGAGAGCGAGAGAGAGACAGAGAGAGAGAGAGAGAGAGAGAGAGAGAGAGAGAGAGACAGAGAGAGAGAGCGAGAGAGAGACAGAGAGAGAGAGCGCGAGAGAGAGACAGAGATAGAGAGAGACAGAGACAGACAGACAGACAGAGACAGAGAGAGACAGTGACAGACAGAGAGAGACTGAGACAGACATAGAGAGACAGAGAAAGAGAGAGACAGAGACAGACAGAGAGAGAGAGAGAGACAGACAGAGAGAGAGACAGAGAGAGAGAGAGACAGACAGAGAGAGAGAGACAGAGAGAGAGAGAGACAGAGAGAGAGACAGAGGCAGACAGAGAGAGAGAGAGACAGCGAGAGAGCGAGAGAGAGACAGAGAGAGAGAGCGAGAGAGAGACAGAGAGAGAGAGCGAGAGAGAGACAGAGAGAGAGAGAGAGAGAGAGAGAGAGAGAGAGAGAGAGAGAGAGAGAGAGAGAGAGAGAGAGAGAGAGCGCGAGCGAGCGAGAGCGAGAGAGTGCGAGCGAGCGAGAGCGAGAGAGAGTTGGGGTCTGTGGGACCCATTTTCAATGTTTACCAAAAGAAAACATGATGAGATTTATCATTATTTGAACCTCAGATTCCTTGGCCTTTGCTCATTTTCTGTGAAGAACATATAAAATAATCAATTTTCAATATATTTATATTACACATGTGGTGTTGGGGTGAACCCACGGGGAATAAAACTGTGGAGGTGCTGTGTCCCTTCACTATGTTATCCTCCTACATTACCTGCTATTATGTGTGTGAGAGTGGACAACATGGAAAGGCTGCTGACTGGCTACAGCTGCTAAACGAAAACCCTACGCTGGCCACTTGTGATATTTTAAACACCTGGTATTTTTCTATAAATTGCTCTGGCTGTATTGATTTAAAAAACAATAATGTGGTGGGTCTACCAGACCACTGAGTAACAAAAACATGAACACAAAAGGTTTAAATGTGTACATGAGAAAAGAGTGAGGGTGAAGAGGAAAGATTTAATGCTGACAGAGTCGCACCATTTCATTGTGCTACTAACATCAACATGTTCCTCTTTTTCAACAGCAACAAAGACTGTGACTACAGCTTCTGCCACTGAGGAAACCAGCATCAGTGAGGCCACTTTAGGTATGATCACAATCAGTCTTTTAAATCTGCACTCATGCATGACATCATTCAAACGTTCAACAGACGAGGGGATGTGACCTGCGTTTACTGCAGAAAGATAATGTGTTACAAGCGATTTCATGTTCACAAATCATAAAGTGGGCGGCGTCCCAAAACCTGGAGAAATGGCCACATGATTCAGGACTGTTTTACTGTTATTTTTGAAACAAAAAAACAGCAAACTAACTCAATATTAAAATATCTTGAGCATTGTAGGGTGAAGTTTGTAAACCATGACATTTTTCTGTTGATTTTAGTGTACAATTTGTGTTTTTGGATGAGTTTAACTTATTGAGAAAAACAAAATATAAGATGTGCCATAGATTTTGCACAGGCCACATTTATTGTCAATATGTTAAATTAAAAAAAATAAACAGAAATTGGGCAGGACAATGTGCAGAACTGTGTTCCCTGTAGAGGATGTGTACTTATTTCACTTCACTTATTTTCACAAATCAACAAAACATGTAATTTGACTGGGGCACCCAAACTTTTGCATACATCTGTATTTTTATTTTCTGTATTTATATTCTGAACCTGCAGCAGCTATGAAGTGTTCAAGGTAACACTGCCTGTTAAAGAGAAGTGAATCGCTTCCCTCACCAACTGGCTGCTTTAGGGATCACTACAAGAAGCAGGGGTTAGAAGCTATTTGTTTGACTTGATGCAGGATAATATTGCTTTAAAATCATCAGAGTTCATCAGAGAGCAGAGAGAGCAGGGTGTGTGATACCACACCATCTGCTCTTTGTGGTTTCCTTTTATGAACCTGGTCTATAGTGTCTAGCATGATGTCACAGTATGTGCTGCCTACATGCTGCTAAAAACGCACCTTTAACCTTCCAGCACCCCTGGCACTTATTTATGCAGGCATGTGCAGTTTTACACAGTAAAACCATGAAGAGCTGCTGGTTGTGTATTTCATTACAGAACTCATTAGAAATGTTAATGCAGAAACCTTGTAATTCGCTTTGTAAGTTGCCTGATAAGCTGCTAGCACAATGCAAATTTCCACTAGCATCCCTATGGGAATTTTGTTAGCACTAAGCTAGCAGTGCTGTATTCAATTCAATTCACATCCAATTTTAGTTGTATAGTGCTTTTTATAAATGCTGTTGTCACAAAGCAGGATGACACTTTATTTTGAGTGGTCCTTTTTAGATGAAACAAACAATGATGTAGCATCAGTGAATACTTTCAGTCGATTATCAAGAGACTTTTAAATCAACTGCTGAAAAACAATGTTTAATCTGCTGAATTCAGTTTTTCACTTTATTTGGAAGGTCCAATTTTCTATCTGTGGATGCTGACCTGAGAGGTCACTGAACATGTAACAGGTCCAGACCATCTCAACATCCCCAGCATGCTGTAATAGACACACTGCAGACACCATTATGTTTAACTGAATTAGGTTTTGTTTAATATTAGGGTTAGAATTAGGGCCAGGGTGAGGGTTAGGATTCGGTTTTGGGTTGAGGTTAAGGGCAGGGTTAGGGTTATGTTTTGGGTAAGGTTGGCTAAGGTTAGGTTTTACTTAATGGAAATAACATTAAGTTGACTTCAAAACATAATCTCTTTAATGTAAATAATGTATCAACAGTACATCAAGATATTTGTATGTAGAGACAATAAATACATAAACAAATGGCTCTTGATTTTGTGATGACTAAATAAATGAAATCCTGACACTATGTTTGTGGTTTTCTGCAATCATAATTCATTTTTATATGGTCATTTTCCAACCTCTCTTTATCCCTTACAATCAAAGAGGCTGGTTTGTTACTGTGCCTTAAAGACTGCTAGATGTAAATGAGCTCTCTTCTGATTGGTTGTCCTGTATTGTGCCTCAAGATTTATAATACTACACCAAGCTCCTTCATTTCAAACAACTAAGGAAAGTTTGTTTCCACAGTATGGGCTATTTAAAATAATTAAAAAGCCCCCAACACCAAAAATGTACAGAACTCTAGCTGTGCAGAAAAGTGTAGGCTATTGCACATAATTTCAGAATGAACAACTGTGTTTCTCCCAGTGCTGTTCAAAGTGCACATAAACAAACATGCAGTTTATTAACAATATTTTTCAGGTCTGTTGTTTTCCACTATTTTTGCATCACTGTTAGAATGTTGAGGGCCTCCAAAGGCACTTGTGCCGCAAGGCCCTCATCAGATCATGAGCCGTGACTATTTCACTGAAACAGGCTGGGTCATAAAACAGAATTCATACATTAGTATCTGGTGTGACCACCATGTGTGTGTAGCAGTGCAACATTTCTAGGGAAAATATCCTGGACTTTTTTGACCAAACTGTTGCAAAATGGGAGCTAAACCAAAAAAGTGTTACACTTTTTGCTTAATATGCACATTTGTCATATTTACACACATTATAAGCAAAGTTAAATTGTCTACACAGTGTGTATGTATATTTGATATTCTGTGCATATACAGTACAAAACATGGCTGAATAAATATGTTCACTGATAATTTACTAAGTCACATTACAGTTATATAAAATTGCAGAAGAAGATTACTGTATTTTACGTACTGCTTATTACTGTAAGTGTACAGCAGAATTGCAGTGATCCAGGTGACTGTGGAGTCACAGTATACAGTTCTTGTTTTACTGTTAATTTATTTTAATCATTTACTGTTAATATAATAAAGTAACTTACAGTGAAAGTAATGCAACAAGTAGCTGGTAATTTACTGTAATCCACTAACTTTTGGGCAGAAGAAAAGGGCTCAGCATACAACGTAAGCTCAGAGGAAACTGTCAAATGAGGACATTGTGATCAAATTTACTAATAACTGTGTGAAATCACTATTCTAAGAGAATGTCATTACCAGACTCATCTCTAGAGGCTTATAGATGGGGAAGCCTGTACTAGAAGGGTCTGGGGGCATGTTCCCTCAGGAGTATTTTTTTTTTTAAAGGCCCAAAAATGTCTGTTTACTATGAACTTTTAGAGTAGCAACAGCCAGAAAATGTATTAAAAAGGCCAATTTAGTCAAATTGGCACACAGAAGATCTGTGTCTTTGTAGTTTGTATTAAGCACAGAAATAGTATGATTATAACACTATCCCCTCAAAACAGGCACAGATCAAGCAAAAAGTACTGAAGTCAAGCAAATTAGATAAGCTGCAAGGTCCTCAATATATTACTGAAATACACAGATTATAGATCAGTTCAGTCTCAGCTGGTGCAATCAGGGATAGTTTTGCTCCGTTGACATGTTTAATAAGCTAGATGACAATTTCATAGCCATGGTGACAAACATATTTTATTAGTTAAATTAAATTCGGTATTAAATTTTAATTGAGAATTTAAACAACTCGCCCTCTCTTCCTTCTTAATCACTAACCTCCATCAGATCTGCTCCTTCAGTCTTGTCAGTCTCCTTCAGCTTCTTTCTCTCCCTCTTTTTCTGTGTTCAGTAATACATTACGTTATTACACTCAGATTTTTTTGTTTTAACTGGTAAAAATCTGACTGGCCTTCGATGGAGCTGCCACCTCTTTTTTTCCATCTACAGGTTGAGGAATTGAGGGATATAAAACTGCGTTATGATTAACATTATATGATCTTTTCACTGACATTAACTTACTGTAAGCAATATATGGCAAATATACGTCTGTTATTGTTCACACTCTCACTGTGAAGTGAAGTTAAACGAGTTGGCTTGTCAGCAGGCTAGCTAGTGTTAGTGATTAGCTTACAGCCTTCGAGGTCTGCTATGATTGACCAGGTCATCTTTTCATGTTATCTTAGTCAATCTCTGGGAGCAGAGCAGCAGCAGCACTGGATTAGAGCAGCAGCAGCGCCTCCCTCAGGTCACCTTCTACAATCAGTATATTGTGAATGAGAATGAACTATAATTTAATTGAACTAACAAATGCACATGTACTTGGGAAAACTGGCCTAGTGATGCCCCTGGCCATTATGTCTAGTGCTGCTGTCATTACACCTAATGGATGAAAATAGAGTTCACCCTTAAATGAATCAAATCAACTAATGCATATAATTAACACATTTGCTTTGTCTTTCTAGGTTCTGCCACTGTTACTACAAGCACAGAATCAGCAACAGATCTGTGAGTAGCTCACTTCTGCAAGTGGTTTTAGTCTTTAATAAGAAATTCATATCAACACTTCATTCATATCACCCCTCCCCTTTTTTGCTGCTTGCAGAAGAACATCTGAGAATGTAAATAGCAACACAGGAAAGAATGAGAGAGTGCAAGATGGGTATACTCTGAAACGCTGAAGAACTGAATTTTTATTGATTCTGCTGAAATGATGATTTTATTAGTCAACAGCATGTGCACTCTGAGGCCCTGATTTACTAAGATCTCAAATAAGTAGTACTAATTTGCATGTGCAGTGCAGTACATTGTGTGAATGGTTAGTGTTAATTTTTGGGTGATTTTAAAATGATAATTGTGGAGATGACAACAAAAAGGAGGAGAAAACTATGTAAGTGAAGCGTTTGAATGTGCAAACTGTGACAAGGTTAGATCTTAAAGAGTGCTAGCTGAAGTATGACTTTATAAAAGACGTTATGATGATTACAGGTAGAAGCTACAAAATACAGATGAAAGAACAAGACAAGGGTAGAGGCTGGACAGGGTGGAGTCAGAATCTGTCATTATGGTCCCTGATATGAAACACTATGAACTGAAGTCTGACACCTCTGTTTGTGCTTTTATATGCACTGATATATACAGTGATATGTGATTTAGTGCTGCTTTGTTTCATGTTGCAGAGAGCCAGTGGAGTTCTGTGTTGCACGCAACTGAATAATTCCACACATGCTGTGATCCTGGACATGTTGAGAGCTGGTGTTGAGGGCAGAGAGAGATATTCAGCAGCAACTTCTGTGTTTGTTCATTTAGAATAGTTTGCTTGCAGTAATGAGAACTGATTAGTAAACAGCAGTGCAGTATATAGATCAGGGTCCAGCAAGGTTTTGTGGTTCCCCTATAACCCCCACTAAACATCAAGAGTAACAGATGAGTTGAAGTTTAGGAGTGTTTGAGCTGGGAAATCATCAGCCCTCCAGGACCAGAGCTGTGCCCCTCTGATATCCATCTGTCTCATGTGATGTCACTGTATAACAGGGATGGGCAATTCCACTCATTTCCTTTTTCAATGTTTGTTTTGTTGTTTTCTTTTCGTCATTGCTTGTTGTTATTAACTGCTTGTGTCTGTATTGTTCTTTTAATATCCTTGATTCTAATGTGTGTTTTGAGCATGTTATGGCTTTGACGTAGAGTAATTATTACATATTATATATTAATAAACAAAAACAACCCCACTAATGGTCTTTTCCATCCAATGCCAAGTAATTCTAATATCCTGATACCAGTACTGATACTTTCAAAAAGGATAATTCTTTGTGATTTCTACAGTTAAAGCAGTAAAAAGTCAAATTTATATTTGAAAGCCTTTGCATTAATATTAATAAACTGCCACATTGATCTGCCATTACAGCGCATTCACCGAGTCTTATATGACTGTTTGTAATAAGCAGAAAGAGAAGAGGAAGGAAAAGTAGTTCCTATCCTATACGTTTATAGTGCTATACCAAAAAAGCCTAATATTGATATTGTCATCAGAGGACTGATTTTCAAAAAGAAATATCAGGATCAAGATCAATAACTACTCTTTCTACACTAAATACACAGTATATGGATGTAAACATTACATTTATGTTTTTAGCAGATGCTCTTATCCACAGAGATTTAAAATATGTAGTGTGAGGAGTCATGCAAAAGTACTTTTTTGTTGGAACAGCAATGTTATCACAGCAGCCTAGCATAATCTGAACCTTCTGCTGTTTCAGACTACAATAACAACATAATCAAATATTAGTTTGAAATATCGGACAAATTCAAACATCAACAATTATCTGCCAATACAGATGTACTTCCAATATCGTTGTGCATCCCTCAATATTTGTTCTGTTATATGATACTCTAAAGTTACCCTGAGTTTAAAAAAAAGATTATTTAACATTTTTACTATTTTGAAAATAATGACAGTAATGTCTATTACTATTATTTTTATTATTGTTGTTGTTCTTGCTGCTGTTGGTGGTGGTGGTGGTGGTGGTATTATAAAAGCAGTTCATTATAGTTCCTTTTGTTTACATGACTTTAAAATGTCATGTTATTATTCCAGTTATTAAAATATGAAACATTATGAAAAGAGCAGACAGATAGCTCATGTACAAGCGATGAGTGTACTGTGATTTATCACATCAGCACTTAACATGATCATATTTACATAAACATTGTTCAAGATCAAGTAACAACTCACTAAACCTCTCCACACAACACAGTCCAACTGGGTTCTCCAGACTGTTTAAGGTTGTTTTTTCTTAAAAAGACGTCCATCTACTCAAAAATCAAATAGCTGGGTTAGATTTCATCCCAAGAGCTAAGTCTTGCGTTTATTTGTGATTGTCAGTTCAGTTCAGTTCAATCAAGTAATGAACACATCTTCTGATTTCTGGTTTGACATTATGCTTTTAAATTTAGCAAACAGGAACTGATTTAGCCTCTACAGACACAACAGAGTCAGCAGTGCCAGCAACACAGAGACAGAAGAAACAAGATAGTCTTACATCTTATTCGACACCCGCACACACACACACACACACACACACACACACACACACACACACACACCAACTGACATGCTTTGCCTTTTATATTTTTTCTTACATGTAAGTAGATTTTCATGCACTAGATTTTTGTATTGCATTCATTTAAACCAGTTGTATTATACAGCTAAAACCAGACATTAGTGTTAATGTACCAGTAATAATATTTCAAAACAAGAAGTGACAGTTACTTGCAGTCAGTAACAATAGCGGTTTGTCTGTTTTCTCTGCAGGTGTTGAGAGTGACAGGTTTGTAGCTCTTCAGACTGGGGCGTCTGTCACTATTCCATGTCACTATGATAACAAATATATACAACATAAGAAATACTGGTGCTATCATTATGGGGGAGAATTCAATTACTGTAAGATTCTGGCATATGCAAATACCACAAAAGAGAAATTAACAGTGACTGATTACCCAGCTCAGAGCCTCTTTACTGTGACTATGAGAGATCTGCAGAGTGGAGACACTTGTTTAAAAAAGGTATGAGGTTCCAAAAGGTAGAAGAGCATTTTACAGGCTTTGAATATTTTCTGAGGTTTCCAAACAAGCACTCAGTTACTTGTTTTAAATATAGAGTTGCTAGATTTCAGTCGTGTCAAAACCAGACAGACATTACTGGGGGAGGGGGCGTGTTTTAAAACAGTTCCATAATTGTCTGGTTGATTTAGTTTGTTTTAACATTTTTCTTCATACGTGAAGATAGAAAAAAAGCTTAGTTTGCATATATGGACTGTGTGGACTGGAGAGTGATTGTTTTGAAACTTTAGTAGTATTTATAATACTGCACCAAGCTCCTTTATTTTAGACAACTGAGGAACGTTCAGCTGTGCGGGAAATTGTAAGTTATTATACATTAATTCAGAATGAATAACTGTTTTTCCCCAGTGCTATTCAAAGTGCATATACACAAACATGTTTATAAGCAATATTTTTCAGGTCTATTGTTTTCCGATATTTTTTGCATTGTTGTTAGTGTTAGTGTGTCAAGTGTTTTTATTAAACTGCTGCAAAATGTGAGCAAAAGCAAAAGTGTTACATTTATATTTTTGTTTAGTGTACACATTTTGGTTATGTTTGCATAAATTATAAGCAAGGTTAAAAGTTGTGTCTGCACAATGTGTATTTGCATTTTAAAATGCATGTTTGAGATATTCTGTGCAAATACAGTACAAAACATGGTCAAATAAATATGTTCATTGATATATAATTTATTGGCTACTGAGCTGCATTACTATTTACAGTTATTATGTAAAAATACAGAACATTACTGTGTTTTAGTTACTGCTTATTACTGTAAGTATACAGCAGAATACAGCTACACTGCAGTGGTCCAGGTGACTGTGGAGTCACAGTACGCAGTTGCTGTTTTACTGTTAACTTACTTGCAACTAGCCGCTAACTTACTGTAATTTTTGGCATTGTCCACTAACCTTTGGGCAGAAGAAAATGACTCAGCATCAGAGGAAAATACTTTACAGTAGAAACTGTCAAATGAAGACATTGTGATTAAATTTGCTAATGTGTAAAATCAGTACTCTAAAAGAATATCATTACCAGGGTCATCTCTGTGTTTATGGATGGGGGCTACGCCTGTACTATGGGAGTCTCAGGGCACGGTCCACCAGGAGATTTTTTAATGTCCCCAAAATGTCTGTTTATCATAATCTTATAAAGTAGCAAAAGCCAGAAGATGTATCAGAATGGCTATTTGGTTGAATTGGCACACATAGATCTGTACGTTTGTAGTTTGTATTAAGGCCAGATTTAATATGACTTAAACAATTAATAAGTCCACTCACAACAGACAAAAAAACTGAAAGGTGTAGCAAATTAGATAAGCTGAAAGGTCCTACATGTATTACTAAAATACACTATAGATCTATAGATCAGTTCAGTCTCAGCTGGTGAAATCAGAAGTAGTTTTGGTCTGTTGGCATGTTTAATAAGCTAAGTGAAAGAATTTTGTGGTCAGTGACATATGTTTCAGTTAAATTCTATTAATTTCAGTGATAATTTTAACTGAAAGCTTGAACATCTCTCTCTCTCTGTTACGGGCAGCGGAGAGGAGGACCCAAGTGCAGAAATGAAAACCAATGAGAAAGAGGTGTTAAATAAATTTAGTGGGGCACTGGAGTGTGAGTTTGGGATGTTGCGGTTGAGGTGGCCCAGAGCCAGGCTCGAACCATCGATGTACTGATCGAAAGCAGCGTGCTCAAACAAGCTGAACTAGAAAGGTGAAATGAAAGATAATGAGAAAACAAAAAACACTTCCACTTTAAGTATGAAGGGAAGGTAGACTTTATGTATCACTTGTTTGCTCTTGGTGGAGCAAACACCTTTTCTATTACTTGGAGCAGTTGTTACTTGTAGCTCAAGCCTTTTTTTTCCGAGTAACTTTGGGGCAATTACTCTCTTTGCTTTCTCCAGCCCTCTTTTCTTTTTGTTCAAATACCCACATGGGCTGCATACCATACCTGTCAACCCTCTACAAAGGTGTGACAAAGTGCTACTGTTTGCCACAGCCTTAAGTAGAGGAGTCCACAGGTGTGTCGAGTTGGACCTAATCAGCCTGAGGGCTTCTGGGAATCGGAGTTCCCTGAAGTTATGGCCCTTTGCCGCCATCGGCCTCTGCTGGCAGCACAGGCGGCACAGACTAGGCACCTTGCTGCCGTCGCCCTCTACTGGCAGCAGGCGGTGCAGACTGGGCACCTTGCTGCCGTCGCCCTCTGCTGGCAGCAGGCGGTGCAGGCTGGACCTTTACACTGTCCCTCTCTTTGTACGTTTGTCTCTCATTCACACTCTCATGGTGAAGTTACACTAGTTGGCTTGTCAGCTAGCTAACTGATGTTAGTGATTGGCTTACAACTGTATATGATATGATTGATCTGGTTATCTTTTCGTGTTATCTTAGTCTCTGGGAGCACAGCAAGAGCAGCGTTTACAAATCATTGCAAATGATTTGAACTAATAATGTAAAACCGAAAACCGGCCTAGTGATACCCCTGGTCGTTACGTCTAGTGCCGCTGTCATTACACCTAATGGATGAAAACGTGAGTTCACCCTTAAATGAATCAAATCAAGTAATGCATATAAATAATACGTTTGCTTTGTCCTTCTAGGTTCTGCAACTGTTTCTACAAACATAGAATCAGCAACAGATCTGTGAGTAGCTCACTTCTGCAAGTGGTGATAGCACAGGAGCGAGTCAGGGAGAGCAAGATGGGTATGTTCTGAAGTGCTGATGAACTGATTTTTTATTGATTCTGCTGAAATTGTAAGATTTGCATATGCACTGCAGTTCATTTTTGTAGGTGACTTATAGATGATAATTATGCAGATGACAACAAAGAGGTGGTGAAAACACTGAATGTAAAAAGCTTTTGAATGTTCAGGCTGTGGCAAGGGCATAGGGCTGGGCGATAAAACATTAACAATAATTTCACAATACAACTTTCTTTGATAGAAATATAAGAGATGTTCGATAAATGTTCGATAATAGAGCTTCTGCGTTTTAGCGACAGTCCTGGGGGCGTTTTCTACTGCAATTAAAGCGACACTACTCTGCTGTCGCCACAAGAGGGCGCACCTCTGAGTTTTTTAACATGATTAGAAAAGTGGGGTTTCAAAGAGTGAAATGAGTCCCCAAATATACTTTAGCAACGTCTGAAACGTGGAGTTATACATTTCGTTTGAGTGAAGTGATCCTGTGACCAGGTACGAGTGACGAGATAAGTGGTGTAACCGTACTGTCCTACAACGAACTCATTCTATCCTTCTATACATCCTAACAACCTTTAGCTGCGTTAAATCACAGCTGCTCCACAACTACAGCACTCAAACAGTCATATTTTAGTATTAGTGCATTCCCAAGCAACAAAAGTGAGAGAAAGAGTACTGCACTGATTTAAACAAAAGTAAACTGAAGATTCTGTGTATGTGGCGCTGAGGAGTGGGAGAATGCTACCTTCCCAGGCTAGCTGTTTTTAGGAGCAGGCTAACTTGAAGCAGCGCTCTGTCACTTGCACAGCATGGTGAGTTGATGTCACTGTAGATCAAACAAGACAAAATAGCACCAATTTCAGTTGAAATGTACCTAAAAGGAGGACTCTGTTTGTCTAGTGTTAGAGATTCACACAGCAGTTGATGCTTTTACACAGCGAGTGTCAGATATATCGTGGTTCTTCTGCCCCTCATACTGCTATGATAGAATAGAGAAATCTGTTACCTTGTGTTTGAATAGTGTGAATACATGCTCTGACATGGATGTGGTAAGAGTGATGGCAGTAACGCGGTGTGATCCATTATTGATGTACTGATCCAGCAGTTTGCTGTTTGTATTAAGCTGACGTTGTTGAGAAACTAAACAGTTTAGCACTCGTCGCCAGACAGCTAAAAATAATGTTTTTCTTTCTTAAATTACGAATATTACAAAAATTGCAGCCGTGCTTTTCCAGCTGGTAAAAATAGCTCACCAGAAACTTTCTCACACTGTCATTGTGAAATGTACCACTGTTTGGTAAGTGTTTGTCATGTTCTGACCATAAAGGATAGTTTAAAACAGCAATAAGGCTCTATTTCTTTCAAACTTGAAAGAAATAATGATTTGACATTTATCACAATATGTTTCGATATCAACTGATATGAAATTTTTTATTGTGATAACATTTTTCGCCATGTCGCCCAGCCATATATATACACATAACATTATGACCACCTCCTTGTTTCTACGCTCATTTTCTATTTTATCAGCTCCACTTACTATAAAGGTGCACTTTGTAGTTCTACAATTACAGACTGTAGTCCATCTGTTTCTCTGCATACTTTGTTAGCCCCCTTTTTCCCTGTTCTTCAGTGGTCGGGACTCCCATGGACTCTCACAGAGCAGGTACTATTTGGGTGGTGGATCATTCTCAGCACTGCAGTAACACTGATGTGGTGGTGGTGGTGTGTTAGTGTGTGTTGCGCTGGTCTGAGTCACTGAAGAACTTTTACACTGAAGAACAGGGAAAAAGGGGGCTAACAAAGTATGCAGAGAAACAGATGGACTACAGTCTGTAATTGTAAAACTACAAAGTGCACCTGTATGGTAAGCGGAGCTGATAAAATGGACAAAATGGAGCGTAGAAACAAGGAGGTGGTCATAATGTTATGCCTGATATATATATGTGTATATATCAGGCATAACATATAGCTCAGAGTTAGGGAGAGTGTGTTTGTGTTTGGTGACCCTCAGAAGAAAGAGTAGGGCTAGGAGTGACCTACGTCAATTTTCAGTTGCTTTTCAAGTGGCATTGTTCTCCCTTGCTCTCAATAAAAGAGCATTTTTCAAACAGAAATTATGGCCTCATCTGACTCTTCTTCTGCACCATGTCAAATTATGTATATATTGAAACTCCACCCCTCTGTGTCTTCACATCGTATATCAGCCACTCTCAGGTCACTCTGTCCACGGGATCACTGTGTATAGATACTGGTCACTTTATCAGAATTCCCTTCTTTTAAGCTCCACCTGGAGTTTGTTAATGCCCATTTATTGATGTACAGTTTTTCTTGGCCATCCTCAACCCTTCAACAGCGACTTTCATTCAATATATATCAATGTTCATTATATATATATCAAAGTTCATTCAATATATATCAATGTTCATTGTATATATCAAAGTTCATTAAATATTTCCTTTTTGCCTTGCCATTTTATGACCCCCACCATGATATTAATTTGCACTTCCAGTGCCATTCTTTTCTCTTTCAGGCTTTGTAAACAGCACTGCAGAAGTTAAACTAATCTGTTTGCAATGGCACCGTCCTATGTTTTACACTCCTTTGAAAACACACCCCAAATTACATATTTGTTAAGGCAAACACGCAAAACAGACAGCACTGACCATTTTACTTTAAGTAAACCGTTTTGCACATGTTTTTACACACACAAAGCCTTACTAAATCAGGGCCTGAAAAGTGTAATGTGGAGCAAATCTTACATTAGAGATTAGTGATTGTATGATGATGCAAAATTCAAGAATCAGGATGTGTCTCCTTTTGGTTCAGTGAGTATAGCAAATGTTAGCAGTGCTAACTTACTCATACCATGTGTCTTTGTTCACTGCAGGAATGGAGAGATCCTGTTGGTCTGGGTTCTACTGGCTGTAGGTCTTAGACTGTTGCTGATTCTGGTCAACATTATAATCTGCGTGTTGAGAAAAAAGTTCAGTAAGTAGTCTTATTTACTTGAAAGGCTTTTAAAAGTGTTTTTAAATGTGTTTTTGAAATTCTTCCATTGAAATGTCTTAGAGGGTCAAAAAGGCTGTACAACATGCATGATATACAGAAACCAGACAGCATAGTCATACGGTTAAAGAGCTTAGATAATCACCATTAAAGTGCCTATATCATGGAAAACTGCCTTTCCCTTGCTTTTTTAAAATAAAACAGATTAGAGATTAGAGAATGGTCTGTGAACATTGTTAAAGTTTCAAAACATACCGGTCACTTCCCAGACCATACAGTCCATATATTTATATATATCCACCTATTCAGCCTACAGCAGATTAACCCTGCACTTACACACTGAAGTGATAAGGAGCCTTTCAGCCCAGACTACTTTTTGAATGAGGCACAATACAGGGCAGCCAAACAGACGACAGAGCCCATGTACATTTAACAGTCTTAAAGGAACAGTGACAAATAGCCTGTTTAATTCTAAATAAAAAGTAAGCAAATGATAGAGATGAATTCCTAATTGTAAGTTATGTAATAACACAAACTCATAATATATGAAAGTACAACATGAATAATAATAGTAAAAAAATAAATGAAATAAAACTAATTTACTAAAAGGCCCATTTCTTACATTTTGCTTTATCCACTCTCTCTCTCTAACAGATTAAAAATCAGACAGAGACCAGAGAGAGAAGCAATAACACTGCAGTTCAGACGGTTAGTATTGTGGTTGATGGGAGGCAGTCTGGTTTAGTACTTTTCAGTTTAGTTTTTTTTAGCTTTCAGTGCTGACTGGTGTTCTAATGGGGGCAAAAGTTAGTGAGATGGTGTCTTAAAATAAAGGTGTCAAAAGGGTTCTTTATGTAATGCCATAGAAGAACCATTTTCATTTCCCTTTATGGATAATCCTTTAGAGAATCGTTTTTGTGAATGATTTGTGTGAGTGTGAAGAACATTTATAAAGTACCTCCACATAATTTAAAGGTTTTACGAAGAACCCTATACAATATAGAAATGTAATAAAAAATAGCTTATAAGCCAATTATCAGATCTATCTGAGAACTATTAGGGCCTAATATTTTGATGAGCCACCTGTTTGATGGCCCTCAATTTAGTGCGAGTGGTGAGAAGCAAATTAAACAGGTCATACATATGCAGGTGATATTGTAGACCCTGTTGTGTCCACAGCGCAATAAAACCATTATTCAGCTTTTATATAGCAATGTCTTAAGGAAGGTGAGGTTCTTATTCACTTTACTGTTGGAGGTGCATCCAGGGAAGACTGGTGTGGCCAACTGAATAAAAGAAATGACACGCAGGCAGACAGGTGAGCCTAGCTCAGTTATGCTTGCTAGGTTAGTTTTCGCTTGGTTGTTAGCTTTCTCACAGTGAGTTTCTCTGACTCAAGCACAGAGAGAACACAGATGAACAGAGTTTTGTTATTTGGTGATTGGTGAGGGGACTACTTGCGTACATGAGACCCAAGACTAGCACTTTTTGGCAAAACACATCACCCATTTAGTGGGCATTGGAAAGTTATTTTCAGGACATACTTCATACATGTATTACATGTATATTGTGTGCCCACAAGAGCAAGATTAACCTACTTACACTGTAACCCAATGGATATATCAGATGGTTGGTATCAGTCATTACTGACAACTCACAGATATCAGCAATATCAGCAAAGATACTGTGGATAATATGCCAATAATCAGTGACTTTTTTGGGGCGATGGCATTGGCAGGATTCAAATATGTGATATCCTAACAAAAGATCAAAACCTTACAAGGTTGCCTGTGGAGAGCTCAGTTAGTAACTGCTGAACTTAAAGGCTCCACCTGTTTCCTTCTATCACAGCAAGACAAGCTGTACTGGTGAATTTGAACACAAAACACCATCATGGTGGAAGGGCTCAGCCTGTGCTGCCGGCCGCCAGCAGAGGGCGACGGCAGTGAGGCACCACAAGTTCAAGGAACTCCAATTCCCAGAAGCCCTCGGGCTGATTAGGCCCAACTTGGCACACCTGTGGACTCCTCTACTTAAGGCTGTGGCAAACAGCAGCCCTTTGTCACACCTTTGTAGAGGGTTGACTGGTACAGTACTTCGCCTATGTGGGTATATTGACAAAAAGAAAAGGGGGCTGGTAAAAAAAAGAATAAATTGCCACAAAACTACTTAAAAGCCAAAAAGAAGGCTTAAACAAGAAACAGCTCCAATCCATACAAAAAGTGTTTGTTCCACAAAGAGCAAGCAGGTGAAACATAAAGCCTACCTTCCTCTCATAATCACAAGAAGTGTCTTTTGTTTTCTGATTATCTTTTATTTCACCTTTCTATCTCAGCCTTTGATTGAGCACACTGCTTTCAGCACCTCCTTTGTTTGCCCTTTCCCGCCATTTTTTTTAAATTCCCGTTCTTTGAGGTGTTTTTCCCATTCAGTACATCAGTGGTTTGAGCCTGGATCTGAGCCACCTCAACCCCAACGTGCACAATCACTCAATTCACACTCCATCATTTCTCATGGGTTTTCCTCTCTGCACTTGGGTCTGTCTCCCTGCCGTCCCGTAACACATGGTGAACAAAACAAAAAACATATCAAATGCATCCAGTCATGCACTTTAGCATGGACATAACATTTTGTAACACAAAAAATTGCTATAAATAAAACTGATAAAAAAATAAGAAAATAAGAGGTAATTAAGTGAAACTAAACCACAAAGACTTCTGGGTAACCTTGCCATCAGGTAAAATCTCCATTGTTGCAAATGAAAGAAAACAGATTTATTACAATGAAAGGTTTCTTTATTTTCTCATTTCAGCATTTGCCCCTGTACATCTAACATGTTTTAAAAAACATTCTTCTCCTTTAATAGGAACTATTCAATATTTATCAATGAGGCTAACTATTCACTGCTAATTAACATTAGCGAACATAGCTAGCTGGCTTTTATACAATTGCACTTCTTTCATGCCTAGTTGGGCAAAGCGTTAACATTCCTGGGAAACTGTAGTGAGTACAGAAACTGATTAAGGTCATTAACATTGCTATAAACAGTTACAGGAAAAGATTTTTAAAAGTCTTATGTTAGCTTTTGCACTAACTTAACAGATAATTTAGTTACTGTAACTTTAGGTAATGTTCAGTGCTGTAGCCACATTATGAAGTTAATACTATACCTAAACATGGTTACGGTCTTATTAACTACACATTTGAATTTATCACCATGGTTAAAAGCAGCTAGATACTCTCTCTCATAATGAAATGAAGCAGGTTTCTCCTCTTATCTTATTTGACTGGTGCTCCCTCTAAGCTGTAAGCAGTGGAGTAACAGGTAAACTACTGAGCATGCAATGCAAGCATTGAAGCCATGCATGTGCAGAATGAGGTCTGGCATTGTTTTGCTGAAACAAGCAGGGATGCCCCAGGAAAAGACAACATCCTGATGGCAGCATATTTCTAAAATCCTTGTGTATTTATGTAACCTTTACATCAAAGTCACCCATGCTGTGGGCACTGATGTACTCCATACCATGACAGATGTTGACTTTTGCACCTTTTGTTGCTAAAAGTGTGGATGCTCCCTTTTGTCTTTGGAGAACTCCGTGTCTGTTTTTCCCAAAAACAAGCTAAAACAGGGACTCATCTCACCACAGCACACACTTCCACTGTCTTTTGGACCACCATAGATGATCTTGGGCCCAATAAATTCTGCATAGAATTGATGTATGGATTTCTTATTTTTTTCTTCTTTTGAGTTTCAAATTGCATTTCTTGATGTAGCAGCAGACTGTGTGACATGGTTTTCCAAAGTACTCCTGAGCCCATGTGGCTGCATTTAACACAGTAGCCTGATGGTTTCTCCTGCAGTGCCATCTGAGGGCTTGAAGGTCACACATATTCAACAGTGGTTTCCGGCCTTTTTTCTTTTTCTCCAGTGCTTTGTTCTTGTTCATATGCTCTGTTTTCTGACATTAAGAAAGATAAACAGTTAACAAAAGGATCAACATGTTATTGTTACTGTTATAATGACAAGATCAGCAAACTATTTACAATTACAACAAAAATGATGATGCAACTGTGTCTTCATTCATTTCACCAAAAAGTGTGAATGGGAATAAGATGTGTAAACACACCTGCTGTTTCGTCTTATATGACCCATATTCTGTGCTTCATAGTCAAAAGGAATGCATGCTCTAGAGCAGAGATGTCAAACTAACCAGTAAAAGGGCCATATTAAAAATCTCATCAAATCTGTGATTTTTAATTAATGTGGTATAATCTGAACTGGCCATTATTTATTTAAAATATGCAAAAACTTCAACAGTAAAATACAGACACTTGTAGTAAACCATGAAATATTACATGAACACTTGAAATATTCAAAAGGTGCTTTTTCTTTTAAACCTACCTATTCGCTTGAACTAGACACCCTTTCTTTTTTGCGAGTTCTTTAAGACTTGGGCTCAATTTCTGAGCTGCTGAGCTAACATTAGATGTTTATATTGGTTGAACTGCAGCTGAAATGCATTTTGGTGATACGACTGGTGTAAAATTGTACAGAATTGTTTAGAATTTTGGTTGTAATCTCTGTCCCATAGACTGTTGTTAGGGTAGGAGAGTCGTAGCATGCTACGTTGCAGTGCATGCTGGGGACTGTAGTGCAGCACATTGTGAAAAGGGCTAAAATTAATAGAAAATGAAAATACTTTTTCGGACTGGATAGGATTGTGTGGCGGGCCTGATCTGGCCTTGTGTTTGACACATGGGCTCTAGAGTGAGGGGCTGTGGCTATGTTAGACAGTGTCTGATGACCTGAGTCTTCAGGTTATCAGTTACTTGGTCAGTCTCTCATCAGTTCATGTCAGTCCATAAAGTAAGACATGCTTTCTATCATGGTTTTGTGGCCTGATTGGTAAATTTAACTAACAGGAACTGGCTCTGCTGCTATAGTCACAGTGCCACCAACACAACAGACACAGAGGAAGCAAGAAAAGCTTACATCTTATTTGACATAAGAACGAGACTAACATGGACTGCCTTTTGATGTTCATTTTCTGTATTTCCAGTAAGTTGACTTTCTATGTTACCTTTTACATTTATGTGCAAAATAAACAATTTATCAACCAATAGCAAAGTTTTAAACTAATGTACTGATCCTCAAGAATCTTTAATGCAACTAGTGAAAATAAGATTGTAATATGTGCAGAAAGTGACGTTTGGTCTGATGTTTTCACAGTCATTGAGAGCCGGAGGTGGTCAGAAAGGCAGTTATCTCTTCAAACTAGAGGAAATGTCACCATCCCATGTCATTATGATATGAAATATATACAACATAAGAAATACTGGTGTTATGATGCTAAAGCAGCATTTAATTACTGCACGATTCTGGCTTATAGAAATACTACAAAAGATAGAGTAACAGTGACTGATTACCCAGCTCAGAGTCTCTTTACTGTGACTATGAGAGATCTGCAGAGTGGAGACACTGGGATGTACTGGTGTGCTGTGGAGATCGGCGGAATATTACAGCCAGATGTTAAAGAAGACATTTATATCACAGTGAAATCAGGTATTAGATTATAAATCCTCTCGCTGACTATTTGTTTATCACTGAATTTTGGTGTTTCTTTGATTATAATTCATCCTGGCATCATTACAGATTTGTCTGTCTTTGTGTCCAGATCCTGATCTATCTGTGGTGGAGAGCAGTGTGAGTGGTCAGGAAGGGGGCAGTGTCAGTGTCCAGTGTCTCTACAGTGCTGGATATCAGAATGAACAAAAGCAGTTGTGCAGATCTAAAGACTGGAGGTGCTACACAGTGGGGAGGGCTGACACATCCCAGAATTCAGCAGCGCAGATCAGTGATGATGGGAGAAGATCCTTCAGTGTGGAGATAAGTAGACTGCAGAAGAGTGATGCTGGCTGGTACTGGTGTAAAACTGGAGATCTGCAGGTTCCTGTTCACCTCAGTGTCAGTAATGCTCCTCCAGGAAAGATGACAAACACTGGTATTTAATTTCTTGAACTGACTAAGTGAACATAGTTGTAATGCAATGCTTAACATTTGACAAGAAACAGTAAAGTGTTAGTCAAGAAACCAACCTGCTCTACTAAACGTTAGTGAGCAATGTTTAAATGTATTAAATGTAAATATAAGTTTTAAAGGTAGAAGAGCATTTTACAGCCTTTGAATTCTCACTGAAGTTTCTAAACAAGCACTCAGTCACTCATTCTAAATATAGAGCTGCTAGATTTCAGCTTCATCAAAATGAGACAGCCCTGACTGGGGGAGTGGGGGTGTTTTTAAAACAGTTCCATAATTGTCTGGTTTAAACAAATAAAACATGATTATCAGAAGTTAAATTAATTTAGTTCTGTATAATAATAAATGTTCCAGGCCACTATTTGTCCTGCCACTGTGTAACGCAAATAAAACCACAAGAAAACAACCCTACTGATGGCACTACTGGCAGTGTTCTAATTTAACATGATTTATATAGAATGTGGTTTTACGTGCAGCTGCAGAACATAGTTCTGAAAATCTCCCCACATCAGCCTATAACCAAAAGAGGCATCATGAGAGAGAGAGAGAGAGAGAGAGAGAGAGAATGACAGCACTATGGAATCTCATCTTATGGAATGTAATGAGATTTGGTCAACTCAAATGTGTACATTTCCACATGAATAAAATCATGAGTCATGGCAGTCAAAACTCTGTAATATGCTGAATTCATACAGAGATCATTTTAAATCATGTCAATTCAATGATAGCAATATATGGTGTATTTTCAAAGTAAAAGGGTGCATCAGACTCTGTGTACTGAGCTTTACTTTTGCACAGTTGCTTCATACTAATTCCAGCTTTCTCTGAAGAGGAAAGATTAAATGCTGACAGAGTCACAACTTTTCGTTGTTCTACTAACATCAACTTGTTCCTTTTTTCAACAGCTACAAAGGCTGTGACTTCTGTTTCTGCCACTGAGGAAACCAGCATCAGTGAGGCCACTTCAGGTACGACCACAATCAGTCTATTAAAGCAGCAGTCATGCATGACACCATTCGAAGTCATGCGTGTGTACATGCATGTGTGCTTATTATACTTATTTTCACAATCAACAAAACATGTAATTTGACTGGGGCAGCCAAACTTTTGCATAAAACTATTTTTATTTTCTGTATTTATATTCCAAACCTGCAGTAGCTACACACCGTTTATGTTAACACTGCCTTTTAAAGAGAACTGAATCGCTTCCCTAACCAACTGGCTGCTTAAGGGGTGTGTCACTGCAACACAAGCAGTAATTAGAGGCTGTTTGTGTGGCTTGACGCGGAATTATATTGCTTTAAAAACTTAGTAGTTTTCTCACACTCCAGTTTTTCAACCACTATAATAACTTTCCGTGTTTTTTATTTTGCATGTAGGCTGACTATGAGCTTAACAAAAGCAGGCTCTTCCTTTTATCAGCAATCTGATTGGTCAATGCTCATCTCATTTGCATAAAGTTCATCAGAGTGCAGAAACAACAGGGTGTATGATGTGTGCATGTATATATTGTTGTCTCTCACCACAATCTAGCACATTATGATACGTTCTGTTTTAATCTAAATGACCCAAACAATTTCAATGACAGAAAGGGCCAGATTTATAAAACTAGGCAGTAACAGCAAAAAGTACAGCACAGTAAACAGGAGCTATTCATTTTTTAATAATTTAATTAAAAAGTAAATTAATGTGTTAATTTTACTATGGCAAGCCATTTCAGCTTCTAATTCCTTTTTTTTTTATCTCAAGAATTGTGAAAATTAAATTTATACTTGTAAATATTTAATTCTTGATATCAGTAAATGTAAAAATTGCTAGTAAAAATTCAGTTTTTACCTCTAAAAAATGATTTTAAAATGTATGAACTGAATTTCTTTGTAAAATCTGTTGTAAATTGAAATTGTTGAGTGATTAGTTCTGGATCACAAATGTCACCTTAACTCACCCACAGGTTTCTGATGGAGCTCTGTCACTCCAGAGAACTCCACAACCCCAAAGCTGGGGGGCTTTATACCCCTCTAGCCAATGCTGGGCTTGGCACAAATAGTGTATCTGCTCTTTGCAGTGCCTTTTATAAATATGGCCTATAGTATCTAGCATGATGTCACAATATATGCTGCCTAAATGCTGCTAAAAATGCACCCCCAACCTTCCGGTGCCCCTAGAGCTTATTTATGCTGGCATGAGCTTATGCTGTATGTATTTGAGTCTATGAAGCGCGGAAGCCCCCTCCCCCGCCGGCACTACTGCATGTGTGTGTGTGTGTGTGTGTGTGTGTGTGTGTGTGTGTGTGTGTGTGTGTGTGTGTGTGTCTGATAAGCTGCCACCACAATGCAAATTTTCACTAGCATCCCTATTGGACCTGGTCGTCTTTTCACATTATATGTTAGTCTCTGGCAGCACAGCAAAAGCAGCAATAGGTTACATGAGCGGCCCCTCCCTCAGGTCTTCTCCAGCTATCAGTATATTGTGATTGAGAATGAACTATAAATGATTTGAACTGGTAGTGAACATTTATTAGGGAAGAGTGGGCTGGGGGAGTTCCTACAACTGGTCTATTGATGCCCCTGGTCATTATATCTAGTACCGCTGTCATTACACCTAATGGATGAAAATAGAGTTCACTCTTACATTAATCAAATCAAGTAGTGCAAATAATTAACATATCTGCTTTGTCCTTCTAGGTTCTGCAATTGTTACTGCAAATACAGAATCAGCAACAGATTTGTGAGTAGTGCACTTCTGCAAGTGGTGTTAGTCTTTAATCAGGGATGGGAAGCAGCTAAGTAGCACACTACTTTTTGTAGCTAACTACAATTTTTTGTGTAGCTATAGTGATAAATTTCGCTACAGGCTTCAGTCAATCTGCGCAAAATGTGAACCACAGAACGCAGTCGTTAACTGGGCTAGTGGTGATTGTGCAATCTTGACTGACCCGCGGACAGTTCAAGCAAACAGTTACAAACACCCCTTACTAGTAAGCTTAGCTCAGGTGTCAGCAACCAAAATATTAAGAAGAGCCATTTTGTCCTTTGAACAAAAATCAAACCACCTTGGGAGCCACAAACCTATGTCCGTTTTGCCATCTTGGCTGTAAGTATGTCTCAGTATGTGCTAATGTTCTAGTATAGGCTAAAAATATAATATAAACACAGACTAACTTTGCTCTATTTTAAGTTTTAACTCAGCCGTAGCCACTTCTCTCGGATCTCTGGAAAGTTTTCCACAAGTTACTTGTAAAATGTCTCTCCCTCAGTTATGCGTTAACGCCAGTGTTTAAGGCCATTTATTGAGAAAACTGTGTTAGACCTGTGTGTTATAACAATTTTAAGGCAAAGGAGGATTATGTTACTTTACCTAAAAATCTAGTTCTGCTGTGGAGCCACAACAGCTCTGCAGCAGTGGAGAGATTATTCAGCTGTGCAGGCTTGATTATCACCCCAAACAGAGTCTGGGTCACTGATGAGAATTTTGAGGCTGAATTGTTGCTGAAATTTAACAAAAGACTCTGAATGTCATGTCTGTACGGTACAGAGCCCCTAAGGGGCCATGGTTAAAAACAAAAAAAGTTAATCACATTGCGTTCCCTCGCAGATGTTTTGCATTAAGATGCAAACGGTTTGCAATCGCTTGCAAAAGCTGTGCTTTGCTTAAGCTCAGAGATGGTGCTGCTCATTGAATTTACATTGATCTTGGATTGAAATATAAGGACAGTGTCGCTTCTCAAATTGTTCTCTGCTCACTAATAGCATAATCATGTTTGATTTTGAGAAGTGACACTGTCTTTATATTTCAATCCAAGATCAACATAAAATTCAATGAGTTGCTCCATGTCTGAGCTTAAGCAAAGCACATCTTTTGCAAACCATTTGCATCGTAACGCAAAACATTTGCGAGGGAATGCAAAACATTTGCGAGGGAATGCATTTTATTTGCAAGGGAATGCAAAACATTTGCGAGGGAATGCCATGTCTAACTTAACCACAGCTAAGTTAGGGGCTCCGTATGTCTGTACAGATCTTGCTGAAATGTTTAAATTGGAGTTTTATTTCAACAGTTGACAATGCTTTGCACAAAATTGTTTGGTTGTATATGGTTATTTGTGTTGTTTTTGATGGGAAAAACCTAGAATGATTGACTTTGCCTTTAGTCTAAATTTTTATTGGATATCACACCTTTGGTTGTGTAAGTTTGATTGTTGGTTACACTTAAACTTACTTTTTGTAATCTTTGTATATTTGCAGCTTTTCAATTGTACGTTTCTTTCTGGCACATGATTAAATGCAGTGTCTTCTTAACATTTTAGGTTTAGGCTTGTTTGGTGTGTCAGGTGGAGATACACAAACATTGACAATCACGCTTTAAAAGTAGCTAAAAAAGTAGCCACTAGTTTTCAAAGAGTAGCTAAAAAGTAGCCACTACTTTTTCTGGAAAAGTAGCTAAATTGTAGCTAGCTACAAATTTTTCAGTAGCTATCCCACCCCTGTCTTTAATTAGAGATTCATTATCACACCCCATTATCATAACCCCGCCCCCTCTTTACATGGGTATGTTCTGAAATACTGATGAATGGATTTTTTTATTCTGCTGAAATGGTGCTTTCATTAGTCAACAGCATGTGTATTCTGAGGTCCTGATTTACTAAGATCCCAAATAAGTAGTACTAATTTGCATGTGCAGCGCAGTTCATTGTGTGAACAGTTAGTGTTCATTTTGCAGGTGACTTATAAATGATAATTGTGCACATAACAACAAGGAGGTGGTGAAAACACTATGTACATGAAGCTTTTGAATGTGCAAGCTGTGGCAAGGTTGGATCTCAGAGTGCTAGCTGAAGTATAAGTTTGACAGATATATAGCAAAAAAACAGAGTCAGAGAGTGATAAAGTGAAAAAACAAAAAAGCAAACAATGACGTTGGTAAATAAAAACATTTGTGGAGTGACAAGATCAGAACTATTTAGTTGCGGGATGAGGTTAAGTAAATAACCCTGTAAGCTACATGCTGGAAGCACAATCATGCCACAAGCTACATGCAGCTAGAAATATGTATGAAATACACCCGTTTGTCCTTTGCAACTGTTTTGTTTCCTGGTGATGCACCAATGATTGCTATGCCATCAGTAACAGCGAACAGAGTACAGAGCTAAAGTATTAATCTAATATAAAATAAATCAGAACACATTTTAAGCTGCACTATGTAAAATGTGGGTATATGGAGACACTGTCTGGTGAAATATGTAATTACATGCAACATGCAGAGTAACATTTTGTAACATTGGATGTAATGAAACTAAAAATGGGTCGTCACTGGCTCTTCTAGCAGGACAGTGTTCTGAAACGTATGTCCAGGTCAACACAAAAATCATTTAATAAACCTGTGTGGTGAGTTAAAGACGAGAGTGCACAAGAGAGGACCAAGGACCCTGGACGATATGGAGAGATTCTGTAGAGGAATGGTTTCAAATTCCCCGCTCTGTGTTCTCCAACCTTATAAGATGTTAGAGGAGAAGACTAAGTGTTGTTTTATTGGCAAAAGCAGATTGTACAAATTATGAAATGCAGGAGTGCCAAGGTTAGATTTTTTTTTTTCCATTTTTGGTGTGAGATTAGGCTAATTATCCCTAAATTATTACCAAATAAGAAAGTAAGTTGCAAATCTTACATTGGAGATTAGTGATTGTATAATAATGCAAAATTCAAGAATCAGGATGTGTCTCCTTCTGGTTCAGTGAGTACAGCAAATGTTAGCAATGCTAACTTACTCACACAATATGTGTCTTCATTCACTGCAGGAATGGAGAGATCCTGTTGGTCTGGGTTCTACTGGCTGTAGTTCTAGGACTGCTGCTGATTCTGGTCAGCATTATAATCTATGTATTGAGAAAAAAGTTCAGTAAGTAGTCTTATTTACTTGAAGGGATTTTAAATGTGTTTTTAAATGTGTTTTTGAAATTCTTCTATTGAAACCTCTTGGACAATAAAAAAGGCTCAGCTTTTGGAACATACAGTATACAGAAACCAGACAGCACAGTCATACAGTTAAAGAGCTTAGATAATCACAGTTAAAGTGCCCATATCATGGAAAACGGACTTTTCCTTGCTTTTTTTAAATAAAAGATTGATGTATGTAAATATTTTTAGAGTTTTAAAACATACTGTTCACTTCCCAGTCCATATATGGAATCTATGCCACAAATTCAGCCTGTTTTGAATTCACTGGTTTTGTGATGTCACAAAAACCAGCACTTTTACATATATCCACCTGTTCAACCGTCAGCAGATTAGCCCTGCGCTTTCACACTGAAGTTATAAGGAGTCTTTCGGCCCAGTTGAATGAGGCACAATACAGGGCAGCCAGTCAGATGGCAGAGATCATTTACATAACAGTCTTAAAGGAACGGTGACAAAAACAGCCTGTATAATTCTAAGGGATAAAGTGAGGTTGTAAAATGGTCATGTAAAACTGAATTATGACTGTTTTTGGTACATAAAACCACACAAAATGTTACAATTGGCCCTCAGGGGAAAATATGAAAAGTAAGCAAAATGTAAAATATGGGCCTTTTAGTAAATAAGTTTATCAACTCTCTCTTATCAATCTCTCTAACAGATAGAAATAAGACGGAGACCAGAGAGAGGAGCAATAACACTGCAGTTCAGACGGTTAGTATTGTGGTTAATGGGAGACATAATGCTGTCTGGTTTAGTATTGCTTTTAGTGTTGACTGTTGTTCTACTGTGATGGCATCGTGCACACTTAAAAATAAAGATGTTAAAAGATTTCTTTGTGATGCCATAGAAGAACCATTTTTGTTTCCCTTTAATGGATAGTTCTTTAGAGAGCTATTTTTGTAAATGTTTTGTAAGAGTGAGAAGAACATTTATAAAATGTAAAGCCTCCACATAATATAACCCCTTAAAATCCCAGGCTCGCGACATACTAAGGCTTATTATTCAGTAACTACATGGACTACAATGCAAACTACCAGAGTTATTCTTGGGTTATAGAAGTGTGTAATAAAACTTTGAGCATGCCACCCTGGCCATTTAAAGGGTTAAAGGTTCCAGGATGAACCGTTAAATTGGTAGAGAACCTTTTCATTACGTGAAGGTTCTTTCAGTCTTTAAAGTTCCAGGGAAACAAAGTGTGAGATTTGTGTGATACTAATAACACTCAATTTTAAACATCCAGCAAAGTATAAATGAAATAAATAAGATAAATGTAATGAAACATGACTTAAACGTCACTTATCAGATCTATCTGAGAACTGTTTGGGCCTAATACTCTGATGAACACACTTGTCTGACAGCCCTCAGTTCAGCACAAGTGATGAGAAATGAGTGAAACAGGCTTGACATGTGCAGGTAGTATTGTGTCCACTGTGTCCACAGCTCACTGAAAACATTATCCAGCTTTTATATTGTAACATCTTAAAGAAAGGTGAGGCTCTTATTCACTTTACTGTTGGATGTGTGTCCAGGGAAGACTGGTATGGCCAAGTGAATGAACAAACAGACAACAGGCAGACAGGTGAGCTAGCCTGATAGCTTAGTTATGCTTGCTAGGTTAGTTTTCGCTTGGTTGTTCGCTTTTTCTCACTAAGACCATCAGTTAACAGTTTTGTTAAAGCTGTGTGTGCGGGACAAACCACATCAGTCTTGTTATTGGTGAGGAGGCTACTTATGTACAAGTGACCCAAGATTAACACTTGAATTTTGGCAAAAACACATTGCCCATTGAGTGGGCATTGGAAAGTTATTCACAGAACATATGTTGTACATGTATATTATTACATTATTTTTAAATGGTGAGCTCACAAAAGCAAAATTAACCTACTTAGAAAGAAAACATGGATTAGGTTCCCTGGGTCTTGAAAAGTTTTGTTCACACTGACAAATCTCGTTTTTTCGTAGTGTTTTTTTCAGTGGTGTCACACAAAGAGCCCTTTGTGGCACCTTTTTTTTCAGGAGTATATTTGTAGTTTTGAAAAGTTTTGAAAAAAAAGTTCATTTGTGTGTAGAAAAATGAGTATGACACTTTTAATCAATGCAGTATTTTAGAACTTTATAGCCATCTAGTATTGGGCTTAAAATGAAAAATTACTTTTGTGTGTGTGTGTGTGTGTGTGTGTGTGTGTGTGTGTGTGTGTGTGTTAAAAGCCCTCTACAGCTATAGCGACATACAGTACTGTGATTAAAACAAAGAAAAGGATAGGATTCTCTACACTCATTTGTATATAATAACCTTAGCATTCAGCTATTATTATTGACTTACTCTGAGTGAATTATGTCCACAGCCTTCATCTGCACTGGATCAGGAAAATGGTGTGATCTACAGCTCTGTAGTTACAGCTACCAAAAACAACACTGTAAGTAAACTTCTAAAAATACAGTAACAGTTCATTGTTTTAACCATGACAGTTTAAGTTGGTATAAAGCTGCAAGCGGTTGAGAAATGTTTAGTTTATATAGAAGTTCCTCAGCCTTAGTGAGCATTTAGTTTAGCTGGAGAAAGAGCACTCAGGGTGGTTGGAATCAAAGATCCTTCTTTATTTCTAAAGCTGTTTCATTTTCCAGCTCTCTCCAGCAGGTGGAGATGATGGGGTGATCTACAACTCTGTGGTCTGCAATTAAGAGGTGAGAGTCTCAGACTGAGGTAGTGAGTTTATTGAATTGCAAAACTGATTTGATGTAACTCTTTATTCAAGAAGAAATGATCAAGTTGTTTACTTGTTTTTTCTATTTCAGCAAGTTACTTCATTTCTCTGTTCTGTCTTGTATGCAGGTGTAAGCAGATGAATTTCTGGACAAAATACCTGAGCAGAGAGGACACTGTAATACAAGTGACCTGATAAATGGATATAGACTGTAGATTATGTGGCATGTTCATGTTCTCTTTTCCTTAGTCATATTATTTATGCCATTTGAATCCACAACATTTAATGGCTTGAATTAGAGCTGCTAATAAATGTTCTTCTAGCTTAAAGCTGTAAGTGTTGGTGGTTTGGAGACCTCTCTGGTGGAAATGTGTAATTGCACACAATGTACAGGAGAACATTTTGTAAGGTTCCTTGTGCTTCAGGTCAGTTCTCTGAGTGGATGAATCTGAAGATTGTGAGTGTGTTAAGTGTATTCAAAAGAATTCAGTCAAAACTTATCTGCTTTGAAAATTCAAAGTTCACTAGCTTTTTATTGCAAATGAATAACAAATGGTGTTAGAAATGCAGGCATAGTCACTTGTCCATATAGACAGTGATTTAAATTCTATCATAAAAATGTATAAATAAAAGTTGTGTTAACATCAAACATTAGACGTGACCCTTAAGTTATGAAGAAATTGAGATTTCAATGGAATTCCCTTTCCATGTGCTCAGCCTCCTGCTGTCCTGATTGTGAACTACATCAGTCATAGCAAACCTCTGGTTTAAGCTGCTTTTATCTTTATAGATGCCCTTTAAAAATATTGGCAAATTATGAGCAAAAATGTCTGCAAACTAATGTCTTTGTTGTATATTAGCTTGACTTTGCAGAAATAATACACAGTATATTAAAAGAAATTCCACTCCAAAAATCTTTCCCTCTCTTATCTCTTACTTTTTCCTCTTTTCTCTCTCTTATCTCTTTCCTACTTTCTACTCTCTTTCTACTTTCTACTTTTCTCTCTATTTCCCTTTCTCTCCCTCCTCCCCTCTCTCTCCCTCAAACACAAATCTCTCTCAACAGTGTCCAAATACATCTTCTTACTGATTGGCACAACAACTTTAATGCTTGAAAGTGAGTCTATTGCAGGTAATGCATGCTGCTGGTATAAACATTTAAAATGCAAGAATGCTGAAGGGCTAAGGGGATATAAACAAGAAAGCACTGAAAGTGCGCAGCTTGTTAAATTTAAAGAGAAAAGGCTACATACCTGGATTGCTTGCAGAAATGTTTGTACCATGTTTTGTGCCAGAGTTAATCCCATAAGGCCTCACTCTTGGTGTAAAATCATAGAAATTTACTGTAGAATTACAAGTGAGACCCATGAAGCATTGCAGTTCATAATAAAAATACAGTAAAATCGCTTCATAGTACGCTACTGTAATTTAGGACTAAAATTACTGCTGTTGTTAACAGTGTAGTCAAAAGCAATGGATGCACTAGAGCAGCGGTGTCAAACTCAACGTGTAAAAGGGCCATATTAGAAAATCTCAACAATTCTGTGGGCCAGAGGAAAAAAAATGTTTAACATATTATTTGGATAGTCCACTGTAGATGCTTTGTAGATACATAATTTACGTTCAATTAAATATCTTCTAAATTGTCCATAATTAAATGAAAACTATTTTAAAATTTAAATGTCCCCAGGAGCTCATTTAAACCTGCTTTTCTGATTGAACTAGATGCCTGGCATCACTAATACTTGGCTCAATTTCTGAGCAGCTGAGCCAATGTTAAGTGTTTATATTGGTTGAAATGCAGCGTGTTTGGTGGTATGACTGGTATGGAATTGTGTGGAACTGAGGTGTAACCACTGTTCCATAGACTGTTGTCGTGGTAGGTGAGTCGAAGCATGTTACATTGCAGTGCATGCTGGGAACTGTAGTGCAGCACATTGTGAAATGGACTAATATTAATAGAAAATTAAAATACTTTTGCAGGCAAGATAAGATTGTGTGGCGGGCCTGATCTGGCCCGTGGGCCTTGTGTTTGACACATGGGCTCTAGAGTGAGGGGGCAGTGGCTGAGTCAGATTGTGTATGATGGCCTGAGTCTTCAGGTCGTCAGTTACTCAGTCAGTCTCTCATCAGTTCATCTCTTATGATGTCAGTCCATAAAGTAAGACATGCTCTCTATCATGGTTTTGTGGGCTGATGGTAAATTTAGCTAACAGGAACTGGCTCTGCTGCTATAGTCACAGTGCCACCAACACAACAGACACAGAGGAAGCAAGAAAAGCTTCCATCTTATTCGACGTAAGAATGAGTCTAACATGGACTGCCTTTTGATGTTCATTTTCTTTATTCACAATAAGTCAACTTTTATGAGCAAAATAAACAATTTATACATCAACTAATAGACAGCAAAGTCTTAAACTGATGTACTGACCCTTAAGAATCTTTAATGCAACTAGTGAAAATAAGATAGTAATATTTGCAGAAAGTGACGTTTGGTCTGATGTCTCTATAGGCATTGAGAGCAGGAGGTGGTCAGAAAGGCAGTTATCTCTTCAAACTGGAGGAATGATCACCATCTCGTGTCATTATGGTATGAAATATATACAACATAAGAAATACTGGTGTTATGATGCTAAAACAGCATTTAACTACTGCACAATTCAGGCTTATGAAAATACTACAAAAGAGAGTAACAGTGACTGATTACCCAGCTCAGAGTCTCTTTACTGTGACTATGAGAGATCTGCAGAGTGGAGACACTGGAATGTACTGGTGTGCTGTGGAGATCGGAGGGATAACTGAGCTAGATGATAAAGAAGACAATATATCAGTGAAATCAGGTGTTAGATTATAAATCTGCATTACTGAATGTTTGTGTCTCTTTGAATATATTGCATCCTGCCATCATTACAGAATTGTCTGTCTTTGTGTCCAGTTCCTGATCTATCTGTGGTGGAGAGCAGTGTGAGTGGTCAGGAAGGGGGCTATGTCAGTGTCCAGTGTCCCTACAGTGCTGGATATCAGAATGAACAGAAGCAGTGGTGCAGATTTAAATACCAGAGGTGCTACACAGTGGGGAGGACTGACACATCCCAGAATTCAGCAGTGCAGATCAGGGATGATGGGAGAAGATCCTTCAGTGTGGAGATGAGTGGACTGCAGAAGAGTGATGCTGGCTGGTACTGGTGTTATATTGGAGATCTACAGATTCCTGTTCATCTCAGTGTCAGTGATGCTCCTCCAGGTAAGACCACAAACACTGGTATTTGATTTCTTGAACTGAATAAGTGAACACAGTTGTAATGTAATGCTTAACATATCAAGAAATAGTAAAGTGTTAGTCAGGAAATGGGCCTGCTCCAGTAAACACAGGCAAGCAATCTTTAAATGTATAAAATGTAAATGTATAAATGTTAATGTAAATGTAGAAGTGCTAAAGAGCATTTATAGCTTTGAATACTCACTGATGTTTCCAGTTACTTGTTCTAAATATAGAGTTAGATTTCAGCCAAGTCAAAACAAGACACTTGCTTGGGAGGGGGCGTGTTTTCTGGTTTACTTAGTTTGTATTAACATTTTTCTTCATATTTGGAGAAAATGCACAAACAATGATCATCAGAGGTTAAATTCACTTAAGTTCTGTACAAAAATATTTTCCAGGCTTCTATTTGTTCTGCCACTGTGTAACACAAATAAAACTACAAGAAAACAACCCACAGTTTATTCACTGTCTCTTTTTTAGGCTCAGATAAAGATGCATATTTAATTGCTTTTTGAAACTAACTGTAATTGAGAAATAAGGAGTTTATCTTGTACCCTGCCATAATGCAGCCACGTTTGTCATTGGAGTTCTGGGAAATTGAGTTCATCAATGAGTCAGAGCCAGAGGGATGCGTGACATTTAAGGTTCATTGACATTGCCAGATATACTGAACAAAAATGTAAACCCAACCTGTGATTGATTACTGACCATGCCAGTGGGGCCTGTGTCCAGGGGACTCGGGGGCCTCAAACCACAAAGCCTGAGATGGCCAAAAGAGGGAACAGTCCACTGCAGAGACAATAAATACATAAACAAATGGCTCTTGATTGTGTGACTAAATAAATGAAATCCTGCCACTATAACTAAAGAGCCCATATCATACATTATTCTTACATTTGATTTTTCACCTGAAGTTCACTTATCATGGTTGTGGTTTTCTGCACCAAAAACAATCATTCATTTTTACATGTTCATTTTTCAACCTCTTTATCCCTTACAATCAAACAGGCTGGTTTTATTACTGTGCCTTAAAGATGAGCTCTCTTCTGATTGGTTGTCCTATATTGCGCCTCATTCAAAAAGACATCCAGGCTTAAACACTTCAGTGTGAATTCGTGCAGCTAAGCTGCTGTAGGTGGAGGCTGTTTTACAGCTTAGTTTTCATACATGGACTGTGTGGACTGGACAGTGACTATTTTGAAACTTTAGCAATATTTATAATAATGCTACACCAAGCTTCTTCATTTCAAACAACTAAGGAAAGTTTGTTTCCACAGTATGGGCTATTTAAAATATTAAAAGGCCCCCAACACCAAAAATGTACAGAACTCTAGCTGTGCAGAAAATTGTAGGCTATTGCACATAATTTCAGAATGAACGACTGTGTTTCTCCCAGTGCTGTTCAAAGTGCACGTAAACAAACATGCCTCATCAGATCATGAGCCGTGACTTTCTACTGGAAAGATTTTACTGAAACAGGCTGGGTCATGAAACAGAATTTCTCACATTAGTATCTGGTGTGACCACCATGCGCATGTAGCAGTGAAATTCATTTCTAGGAAAAAATATCCTGGATTTTTTTTTATCAAACTGTTGCAAATGGGAGCAAAACCAAAAGTGTTACACTTATATTTTTGTTGAGTATAGATGACATTTTGGTTCTGTTTGCATGCATTTTAAGCAAAGTTAAAATGTCTGCACAATGTTTATTTAAAAATGCATGTTTGAGATATTCTGTGCATATAAAGTACAAAACATGGTTGAATAAATGTGTATTGACAGAATTTATTGTGTTACATTACTTTTTACAATTATGTAAAATTACAGAAGATGCTGTATTTTACTTACTGCTTATTACTGTAAGTGTACAGCAGAATCAGTGATCCAGGTGACTGGAGTCACAGTATACAGTTCTTGTTTTACTGTTAATTTATTTTACTTATTTACTGTTAATATAATAAAGTAAATTACTGTGAAAGTAATGAAACAAGTATCCGGTAATTTACTGCAATCCACTAACATTTGGGCAGAAGAAAAGGGCTCAGCATACAACGTAAGCTTAGAGGAAAATACTTCACGGCAGAAACTGTCGAATGAAGACATTGTGATCAAATTTATTAATAACTGTGTGAAATCACTACTCTATGAGAATGTCATTACCAGCGTCATCTCTAGAGGTTTACAGATGGGGGGGCTAAGCCTGTACTAGAAGGGTATGGGTGCATGTTCCCTCAGGAGAATTTTTTTAAAAAGGTCCCAAAATATCTGTTTATTATGGACCTTTAGAGTAGCAACAGCCAGAACATGTATAAACATAGCTATTTGGTCAAATTGGCACACAGTAGATCTGCGTCTTTGTAGTTTGTAAGTAGTATGACTAACACTATCCACTCACAACAGGCACAGATCAAGCAAAGGTACTGAAGTCAAGCGAATTAGATAAGGTGCAATGTCCTCAATATATTACTGAAATACAAAGATTATAGATCAGTTTAGTCTCAGCTGGTGCAATCAGAAATAGTTTCGCTCTGTAGGTATGTTTAATAAGCTGACTGGCCTTTGATGGAGCTGCCACCTCTTAATTTCCATCCACAGGTTGAGGAATTGAGGGATATAAAATTGTGTTATGTCAATACTATATGATCTTTTCACTGACATTAACTTTCTGTAAACAATATATGGCAAATATATGTCTGTCGCTTGTTCACACTCTCACTGTGAAGTGAAGTTAAACGAGTTGGCTTGTCAGCAGGCTAGCTAGTGTTAGTGATTAGCTTACAGCCTTCAAGGTCTGATATGATTGACCAGGTCATCTTTTCATGTTATCTTACTCAATCGCTGGGAGCACAGCAACAGCAGCACTGGGTTACAGCAGCAGCGGCTCCTCCCCCAGGTCACATCCTACTATGAGTATATTGTGAATTAGAATGAAATATAAATGAATTGAATTAACAATGTACATGTACTTGGGAAGGTATAATGCATATAATTAACATATTTGCTTTGTCCTAGGTTCTGCAATTGTTACTACAGATACAGAATCAGCAACAGATCTGTGAGTAGTCTTTAATTAGAGATTCATTTCCACACTTCATTATCAAGGCCCCCCGCCTTCGCTTCTTGCAGAAGAACAACTGAGAATGTAAATAGCATCACAGGAAATAATGAGAGAGAGCAAGATAAGTATACTGCCAAAAGTATTCACTCACCCATCCAAATCATTGAATTCACACGGTACTTGTCTGACTGCATTGTGCCAAGTGTAAAGTTTGGTGGAGGGGGGATTATGGTGTGGGGCTGTATTTCAGGAGTTGGGCTCGGCCCCTTAGTTCCAGTGAAAGGAACTCCTAATGCTTCAGCAGACCAAGAGATTTTGGACAATTTCATGCTCCCAACTTTGTGGGAACAGTTTGGGGATGGCCCCTTCCTGTTCCAACATGACTGCACACCAGTGCACAAAGCAAGGTCCATAAAGACATGGATGAGCAAGTTTGGTGTGGAAGAACTTGACTGGCCTGCACAGAATCCTGACCTCAACCCGATAGAACACCTTTGGGATGAATTAGAATAGAGATTGTGAGCCAGGCCTTCTCGTCCAACATCAGTGTCTGACCTCACAAATGCGCTTCTGGAAGAATGGTCGAAAATTCCCATAAACACTCCTAAACCTTGTGGAAAGCCTTCCCAGAAGAGTTGAAGCTGTTGTAGCTGCAAAGGGTGGGCCGACATCATATTAAACCCTATGCATTAAGAATGGGATGTCGCTCAAGTTCATATGCGTGTGAAGGCAGACGAGCGAATACTTTTGGCAATATAGTGTAGTGCAATGCTGATGAACTGAATTTTTATTTATTCTGCTGAAATGATGATTTTATTAGTCAACAGCATGTGCACTCTGAGGCCCTGATTTACTAAGACCCCAAATATGTAGTATTAATTTGCATGTGCAGTACATTGTGTGAATGATTAGTGTGCATTTTTGGGTGATTTAAAAATAATTGTGCGGATGACAACAAAAAGGTGGAGAAAACACTATGTAAATGAGGTATTTGCATGTGCAAACTGTGACAAGGTTAGATCTCAAAGAGTGCTAGCTGAAGTATGACTTTATAAAAGACGTTATGATGATTACAGGTAGAAGCTACAAAATACAGATGAAAGAACAAGACAAGGGTAGAGGCTGGACAGGGTGGAGTCAGAATCTGTCATTATGGTCCCTGATATGAAACAGTATGAACTGAAGTCTGACACCTCTGTTTGTGCTTTTATATGCACTGATATATACAGTGATATGTGATTTAGTGCTGCTTTGTTTCATGTTGCAGAGAGCCAGTGGAGTTCTGTATTGCACGCAACTGAATAATTCCACACATGCTGTGATCCTGGACATGTCAAGAGCTGGTGTTGAGGGCAGAGAGAGATATTCAGCAGCAACCTCGGTGTTTGTTCATTTATAATGGTTTGCTTGCAGTAATGGGTACTGATTAGTAAACAGCAGTGCAGTGTGTGTGTGTGTGTGTGTGTGTGTGTGTGTGTGTGTGTGTGTGTATATATATATATATATATATATATATATATATATATATATATATATATATATATATATATATAATATAAATAATATATCTATCAGGGGTCCAGGAGGGTTCCAGCACAGTTTTGTAGTTCCCCTATAAGCCCTACTAAACACCAAGAGTAACAGACAAGATGAAGTTCAGGAGTGTTTGAGCAGGGAAATCAAACTGTGCTGGACACCAGCCCTCCAGGACCAGAGTTGTGCACCCCTGATATCCATCTCATGTGATGTCTGTATAACAGGGATGGGTAATTCCACTCATTTCCTTTTTCAATGTTTGTTTTGTTGTTCTTTTTTCATTGCTTGTTGTTAACTGCTTATGTCTGTATTGCTTTTTTAATATGGATGTCCTTGATTCTTGTGTGTTTGAGCATGTTATGGCTTTGGCGTAGAGTAATTATTATATATTTTTATATATTAATAAACAAAAACAACCCCACTAATTTTCTTTTTGTTCACTGAGTCTTGTGACTATTTGCCTGTGTGTATGTAATAAGCAGCAGGATAAAGAGGAAGGAAAAGTAGTTCCTATCCTGTATGTTTATAGCCTTATACTAAAAAAAAGCCTAGTATCGATATTGTCATCAGAGGATTGATTTTCAAAAAGAAATATCAGGATCAGAAGTATAGATATTTTAGTACTGATCTGCCCATCCCTCCTGTATGACTGCTCTGTCATTTGCCTGGAAGAATCAAAATACAGCTCTGTTTCTGAAAAAGCTGGGACGCAGTGCAGAATGTAAGTAAAAATAGAATGCAGTGACGTGCAAATCATGTAAACTATATATTTTAACAACATATCAGTTGTTTTTGAAAAATACATGCTTAATTTAAATTTGATGCCAACAACACGTTCCAAAAAAGTTGAGACGGGGCAACAAAAGGCTGGTAAAGTTGTGTGATGCTAAAAACACACCTGGTGGTTAATTGGCAACAGGTCAGTAACACGATTGGTTCTAAAAGAGCATCCCAGAGAGGCTGAGTCTTTCAGAAATAAAGACGAAGAGGGGTTCACCACTCTGTGAAAGACTGCACAATTCCAAATTCAAGAATAACGTTTCTCAACATAAAATAGCAAAGAACTTTTGCTCTTCATCATTTACAGTACATAATAACATTAAAATATTCAGAGAAACCAGAGAAATCTCTGAATGCAAGGGACAAGGCCAAAAACCAGTATTTGCTGGTCATGATCTTCGGGCCCCCAGACAGCACTGCATTAAAAACAGACATGATTCTGTAGAGGAAATCACAGCATGGATTCAGAAACACTTCTGAAAACCACTGTCTGTGAAAACAGTTTGTCACTGCATCCACAAATGCAAGTTAAAACTCTAAAAACGCAAAGAAGAAACCATATATAAACAGTATCCAGGAATGCTGCCACCTTCTCTGGGCGTCATTTAGAGCTCATTTAAAATGGACTGAAGTGAAGTGGAAAAGTGTCCTGTGGTCCGACAAATCAACATTTGAAATTCTTTTAGGAAATCATGGACACTGTGTCCTCGGGCTAAAGACCACTCAGCTTGTTATCAGTGCACAGTTCAAAAGCCAGTATTCATGATGGTATAGGGGGGCATTAGTGCACATGGCATGGGTGATGTGTACATCTGTGAAGGCACCATTAATGCTGAATGATATATACATGTTTTGGCAACATATGCTGCCATCCAGCCTTGCTTATTTCAGCAAGACAATGTCAAACCACACTCTGCATGTATTACAGCAGCATTGTTCCATAGTAAAAGAATCCTGGTGCTAAACTGGCCTGCCTGCAGTCCAGATCTGTCACCCGCTGAAAACATTTGACACATCATGAAATAAAAAATACAACAAAGGAGACCACAAACTACTGAGAAGCTGAAATCCTGTATCAAACAAGAATGGGAAAACATTTCACTTTCAAAACTACAGCAATTCGTCTGCTCAGTTCTCAAACACTTAGAGTGTTGTCAAAAGAAGAAGTGATGAAGCACAGTGGTAAACATGCCCCCGTCCCAACTTTTTTGGAACGTGTTGTTGGCATCAAGTTCAAAATATAAAACACAACAATGAAGTTTTAGTTTAAATATGTGTTGTCCTTGTACGATTTTCAATTAAATATAGGGTTTAAATGATCTGCACGTTGCATTTTGTTTTTAATTACATTTTGCTCAGCGTCCCAACTTTTTTAGAAATGGGGTTGTATAATCTGTGTCCTGTACAGCTGTTAGAAAACAAAATAACATTTTTACTGTAATCTAGGTCTGACATGGAAATATTTAATAACTTCATTGTGATCACTAACATTAACTTTTACAATGGCATACTAAGCATACCGATCAACACAGTCACCACAACCGGAATCCTGTGGTCTATCCTGAGTTCAATGGTTGTTCTACCTAACATTAAGGAACTAAGATAATGCCTTTAGTATTTATTGTATTTATGCATAATTTCACATCATCTCTTTCACATACAGCTTTTTTCTTCCTTAAATCTGTACCTCTTGCCCACCCAGTGATGAAGCAGCAGACATCAATAACTACTCTTTCTGCGCTAAATACACAGTATATGTATGTAAACATTACATTCATGTTTTCAGCAGACGCTCTTATCCACAGAGATTTAAAACGGTAGTGTGAGGAGTCATGCAAAAGTACTTTTATTGGTGTAACAGTAATGTTATCACAGTAGCCCAGCATCATCTAAACCTTCTACTGTTTCAGACTACAATAAAAACATAATCAAATATCGATTTGAAATAGACAAATTTAAACATCAACAATTATCTGCCAGTACAGATATGCTTCCAATATTGTTGTGCATCCTTCAGTAGTTGTTCTGTTAAATGATACTCTAAAGTTACCATAAGTTTACAAAAGATTATTTAAGTGTAACATTTTTACTATTTTAAAAATAATGGCAATAATGTCTATTACTATTCTTTTTATTATTGTTGTTCTTGCTGCTGTTGTTGGTGGTATTATAAAAGCAGTTCATTATAGTTCCTTTTGTTTACATGACTTTAAAATGTCATGTTATTATTCCAAAACTTATTATTGAAATATGAAACATTATGAAAAGAGCAGACAAATAGCTCATGTACAAACAATGGGTGTACCGTGATTCATCACATCAGCACTTTACATGATCATATTCACATAAACATTGTTCAAGGTCAAGTAACAACTCACCAAACCTCTTCACACAACACAGTCCAACTGGGTTCTCCAGACTGTTTAAGATCGATTTTTCTTAAAAATATGTTCATCTACTCTAGATCAAAATCACCTGGACACAGTCGGTCCACTTCAAATAAAGTGTGTTAGGTTAAAATGTCACAGCAACATTTCTACCTGTTAAAGCTGACTGATCTTGTAAATAGGCTGTCATTGCTTCTCATTGTAAAGAGGGCACTTGCTATTAGTGTTCAAGACTAAGAGCAGGGTAATGGTGTCACTTCCTGTGGCTGTAAAAGGTTTGTGTTCTTTGGAGGAATGGAGGAATGGAGGCCTGGAGTCGCCTTGGGTAACATTATATGTACTGGGCACTATTACTGATCATAATGAATTATTTTCAGAGTTCGTAGCACAAATATAAAACTCATTGAACAATTGATTAATACCAGTGTCCTATGTTAATAATAAATGGCTGTGATGAGAATGAGATTCTGAAATATGCAGATTCTACTTATATGACTTGTATTCAGTGCTTTATAGTGAAAAGCAGTGGACATTGTTGGGTGAGGGGACAGATAGCTGGGTTAGATTTCATCCAAGTCTTGCGTTTATTAGTGTTTTAGTCAGTTCAGTTCAGAATGAACACATCTTCTGATTTCTGGTTTGACATCATGCTTTTAAATTTAGCAAACAGGAACTGGTTTAGCCTCTACGGAACAGTGCCAGCAACACAACAGAGGCAGACGAAGCAAGAGTCTTACATCTTATTCGACAAAAAAAAAAAAACACACAACTGTCAAGCTTTGCCTTTTGATTTTTATATTTTTTATTACATGTAGATTGCAGAAGAGTGATGCTGGCTGGTACTGGTGTTCTGTTATTCTTCTGAGCATCAGTGATGCTCCTGCAGGTATGAGCACCAACACTGGCGTTTGATTTCATGAACTGAACTAAATGTTCAAGAGTTGTAATGTAACATTTAACATTCAACAAGTAACTAAAGTGTTTGTTCGTCAAGAAACGGGCCTGCTTTAAAACAATGATGCAAAATGTTTAAAAAGGTATGAAGTTCCAAAAGGTAGAAGAGCATTTCACAGGCTTTGAATACTTACTGATGTTTCTAAACAAGCACTCAGTTACTTGTCTTAACTATAGAGTTGCTAGATTTCAGTCATGTCAAAAACAGACAGACATCACAGGGGGAGGGGCAGGGCATGTTGTAAAACAGTTCCATAATTGACTGGCTGATTTAGTTTGTTTTTACATTTTTCTTCATACTTGATGAAAAAAGCTTAGTTTACATATATGGACTGTGTGGACTGGAGAGTGATTGTTTCGAAACTTTAGTAGTATTTATAATACTGCACCAAGCTCCTTTATTTTAGACAACTGAGGAACGTTCAGCTGTGCAGGAAATTGTAAATTATTATACATTAATTCAGAATGAATAACTTTGTTTTTCCCCAGTGCTATTTAAAGTGCATATACACAAACATGTTTATAAACAATACTTTTCAGGTCTATTGTTTTCCGATAGTTTTTGCATTGTTGTTAGTGTGTCAAAGGCCTCCAAAGACACTTGTGCCCAACGACCTCGTCAGATCATGAGCCGATCTTGAATGCAACACTTTTACTGGAAAGATTTCACTTGAACAGGATGAGTCCTGAAACAGAATTCTCACATTAGTATCTGGTGTGACCACCACGTGTGTGTAGCTGTGCAACACATTTCTCAGAAAAAAATCCTGGATTTTTTTTATTAAACTGC